ATTAATTACGATTTTCAAGAATACATTGGTGAATTACAATGCTAGAAGTCAGGGGATCCTTTAAAGAAACCAGATGATTAATTCATGTAGTAATGCAGAGTGGAAAAGTACTGTAAGTGGAATTCTGATATTAATACTTGCTCAATTATGGCATTGAAGGATTTAGAATGGATGTAAGAGTATAGATGGGTTACAGATAAAAATGGAGTCACATCTCAATAATTATTTTAATGGTGTGAGGATACAACTATAGTTTATTAGGCGGATGATTGCCGTAATATATTTAGTAAAGGAGTGTGTTTGTAATTATCGTCCTAATGTGTTTTCGATCTGACTATGGGAGGATGCTATAACATCGAAGACAATGAATAACAAATTTTATCATGTGAAAATATCTTAGGATCCAATTGCTTAAAATCCAGAAATCCTAATGCTCCTTGCATTATAGATAATGATAATAGTGCAGAATTTCCAAAAATTAGTTCATGCAGTGGTTTCCCAAATAAAAAAGAATAAATTTGTAAATAGACTGCCCCTAGCAAATGCAAAGATGCTCAAGATTTGGGGAGTGTCAGTCCTATTGTGTGCAGTAGAGTTAGTGATAATTGCTATTACGATGGAACTAAATGTTCATCTGATACAAAGAAGAAGAAATGTAATGAAACATTTAGTTATAATGCTTGTCTTTCAAATGGATGTGATTTTACTTTAGGATATTGCTAATAAAAGTTTACTCTTCCTTCATTCAATTAAGATAGTCCATTCTACCTTTATCAATGCTAATACATCAACAAATTAACAATCAAACCTATTGTAAAAAGAAATATTTGTGCTTAAATGAACTTTCCTTGTGCTTTTTAAAATGAATTATGTGTTTCAGCAGCTCAAGTAACCTGTTCTTCTTTAACCAATATATACGTTACCTTATAGACTTGTATTTATTGCTTAAATGATGCATATGCTTATGACTCAGCAACATAGCAATGTAATCCATTATTAGTTGCTTAATAAGGATGTGACAATACAAACAAGTATGGATGCCTATCAATGACAACAGGTAAGAATTGTGCTTGGTCAGGAGTCAATTGTGTAGAATAAAGTGATATAGTTGTATAATCCTTAACAGATTGTTCATTAACAAACTCTTAAGGCTGTCCAAAGGTACAGAATGCTTGTTGGGTATCTCCATCAACTAAATTATGTTCGATAGTAGATGTATATTCAGACTGTTCTTTGATTAGAAAGCAAAATGGAAACCAACAAGCCTGTATTATTAGCAATTAGTAATCATGTCACTGGTTAAATGGATAATGTGAAGATTATCCATTAGACAGTATGGATTGTACAAAGGCTAACAAATTTGGTTGTTTAAATTTGACCAAACTATCCTGTGGTTGGTCAGAAGATGATCAAAAGTGTTATGAAATCGACCCAAAACTCTCTGTAAGTAAATGTTCCGACTTCTTTAACAGCAGCAAGAATTTAGTAAAATTCAATCCGAGATCCTGTTAATAGATTCCTGGATTTGCATGTTTTAGAGATAGAACACTTAGATGTAATTCAATTGGAGTCAAAGATAAACCGTCATGTGAAGCTACTGGGTTGAATTATTTAGGATGTATTGTATATTCCACAGGATATTGCTAATTTACAAATGGATAATGTACGAGTATCAAAGATTTACAATAAGTGTCATGTACATCAATAATCAACAAGGTCGCCTGTTTTAGTTTGAGTAAAACGTGTAAATTTGATAATAATTAATGTTCAGATTACGATGTAAGTTCATTTACCACTATTGCATAAATAACTACGAAAATGTCTTATCCTTATTCGCCTTATGTTTGTAAAGTCTACAAAGAATTGGAGGGACAGACTCTTCAATTATTTTATGATGAGATAAACGGTTGTTGTGTAAATGCAAACTAAGATAAGCCATTCATCTATAGTTGCAAAACTCAAGGTTTGAATGAGATTACTTGTTTAAAATAAACCAAAAGTCTTTGTTAATACTCTCAGAATCAATGTATGGACTTATCAACATCTGATTTGAAGAAAGCATAGAATTGTGAACCTACATTCAATTGGTTAGCATGTGCTTCTGTGAAATCGAAATGTAAATTCTATCAGAATTAATGTCAATCAGTAAGAGATTCTGAAACTTGCATTTCATTGGCAGGAATAATAGCGTCTCCTTTGACTTGTTCAAGTCGATCTTCATCTGCAATAGCTTGTATATATGATAGCGAGACTCATTCGTGTGTTACGACTACTAATACCAATCTGATGTGTACACAAAATGGATTAAATAAATATGGTTGTTAAATGAATACTCAACAAGAGTTCTGTAGATTCAATGACTTAAGCAGCACTTGCATGCCCACATATGAAACTAATTTGAATTGTCAACACCTGACCAATAAAAACAAATGCCTATTCATAAAGACTCCAAAATAATACTGCAAATTCGATAATGGATGTGTCCCATTAGAACCAACCTAAGTCATTGATTGTTACAATCTTACTCCAACAAATCCAATGACTTGTACAGCAGCAGAATCTGTAGCATGTAAGTATGACAAGGTAAGTTAAACTTGTGTTTCAGTCCCAAATGCAATGAATGCGGATGAACCATGGTCTAATGTAGTTTCATTTAATCAAGCTGCCTGTATGAAATATCAAACTGGCAACACTCAAGTAATATACTCAACAGAGGGGTGTGTCGTTGTTGATCCCCAATCTCTAAGTGATTTAACTTGTGATTAACCTGTCAATCAATTTACCTGTTCCTATATCTCCAATCCAACTTAATATTGCATATATTCCAATTACAAGTGTTAATACATAATACCCTCTAATATACCTGTGAAGTCTTGCACAAGCATTGGGTATGTCAATAGATAAGAATTCTGTGAATAAGCCAACGATGTTCCATGTAAATTCAATTCCTATACCAAATAATGTGAATAAATAGATATAGTGGCTGATCCACTGGCTGGTTGTATCAGAGGAATCAATAAGGTAGCTTGTGATTCTCTTCCAACTTGTCAATTTGATTAGTTCTGTCTAGATATCACAGCTAGTTGTATAGGTGGTTTTGATTGTGGAAATGTCAAAGTACAACCATGCAAAATAGTCAATGGCAATTGCATTCTGGCTACAGATTTGGATACTCTTTAATGCGATTAAGTTGCCAACAAGCTAGCATGTATATCTATTACTACTCCATAATAATATTGTCAATTCTCTAATTCTTAGTGTAGCCTTGAAATTTTGGATGATTTTATATAATAAAATTGTGAAACCATTGTAAATATTAACTCGCCTTACTTTTGTGAATAGCCTACTGACATTCCTTGTAGATATAATCAATTTGAAAATAGATGCATTGAATCACAATCAACAGATAATCTAGATTGTATTCGAGGTCTCAATGAATATGCATGTTTAAATAACACCAAATAAGATCTCAGATGCAGATTCGCTGATTTTTGTTATGGACCTACTCAACCTATGTTTGATTGTGATTAAACCATTTTCGATTGTTGCAACAAAGCCCCCAATAAGAACACTTGTTTATTATAGGATTTGATGAAATGCTAATGGAATGGTAGTCAATGTGTTAAATATGATACTCCAATCACTTCTTGTAATTTGACTAACACATCCAAATTGACATGTGTCCAATCTAGTGATTAAAATTGTGTTTTTGACCTCTAGACATCCTCATGTCATCAAATACTATCACCAACCTCTTGCGATTAACTTTAATCTAAAAATTAATGCTAATCTGCTTAAAGTCTACCTTGTGTTTGGTAAAATGATTCGTGTAAATATCATTAATCAAATGCATATGAACTTTGTCAATACATCACTAATCTAAATGGCTCTTCAAGAGCATGCCTGAATATAATAAGGAGTGGGTAAATGTGCCAATTTAAAGATGGCATCTGTTAATCATATGATCACACTACTGATAACTGCTTAAATAATATTAATAAAGTTGCTTGTATTAGTCAAACTAAAACTTTATGTATGTGGAACACTTAAACGCAACAAATCAAAATAATCAGATCCTCTGACCCTATTGAAGTTGAATTCGGATCATGTCAACCATATATTCCAAATCAAAGTCAAATTTGCAATGATAAATTAAGTTACTTATCTTGTTTATCAATCACAACACTTAAACAATTCTGCAAATGGTATAATGGTTAATGTGTTCAAATTTCTGAAACCAATTAAATCGTAACACCAACCACTCATCTATTAGTTAATGTGAATGCATGCTCACTGGTTAATTCTGTGCCTGTTTATTACAGTCCATTATAAGCTCTATGTATTCCGCTCTAAGAAGGTGATCAGATCTCTTGCTTACCTCCAACTCCTGGTTTAAACATGAAAGCCTGTCTTTCTATCACTAAACAAACATGCAAATGGAATTTTGACAAACGATAATGTGAATACTCGTAATCTTAAAAATTTAGACATCTTTGACTTTTACATCAATCTTTATCATAGAAATTATTGAATTATATAATATGATATATTCTATTTATTTTAAAAAACAAATAAAGTCTTTCATTGTATTATCATACATGCTAATATAGGTTATTCGAATTTTAAATAACTAAAATGTATGTAAACCCTTTGTTTAAAAATAATTAATTTAATATTAAATTATTCAAAGTTTATTCTCTTATTTCGAATACAACTAAGACCTTTACTTTTGTTATGATAGTTGTCCCTTAAAAATTAGTGCCCCATAATTTTCTATTCTTTATGGTTATCATTTAAATTTGCCTATTGAACACCTTGGTGCTTGGCATTCCAAATGTACATTAAAGAAAAGTGATTGAAGATTTAAAAAAGAGAAGAACAATTATTTGATTTTCATCCAAATGAAAAGCTAAACAATAAGATGAAGATAGGACCATATCCATAAGATTAGGTTGATTGCAATTAGGTCTCAATTTGCAAAAATTGTATAGATTATCAAAATGTACTTAATTACTCCTAAGAATGTTCATCTTATTGGACTTCATTTTGGATATAAATAAGAAATAATAGATCTATTTCATTCTTTAAAATTTATTGATTAAGATTCTGCATTATGGTTTGCATTTGCTGAGAAATCAATTTGTATAGAGAAAAGTCAATTATAGATTGATGTAATAGAATTGATTATTTTTAGATATCCCTTTAATCCATTTTCAACTAATATTAAACTCTGTAACATTCTTTGGAAGTATTCCCTCAATTATTTTCCATTCAAGATAACATTAAGTTGAACAACATTAAGATGATGGCGAGATTTGATAGAAATGAAAGAGAAGATTGGAGTTATGAAATTCTATCTCTTAACTACACAGGGAATTGCAATTCTGATTTATTACTTTGCGAATAGTTTTATCAAGAACCTACTAATGTAATATAGTAATGTAATTTTTAGGTTTAACTGAGAGTAAACGGAAAATTAAATATAATGGAGGAGATAGGGTTTGAGATAATAGGAAATAAAGATATTAAATAAATAATTATAGAAGAAATGGTATTGCCAAATTTAATTTTTGATTAATTGATCAAATAATTCTTCGGAGAGAGATTCATCGAATAGATCGAGTATGATTTGGATCGGCAATACAAAGTAGAGATTAAGGAGTCTCTTAAGGAGGATAAACTTGAATTAGAATTAATAATGGAGGAGGATTGAATATATAGATATTGGCATATTAAGTATTGATGAAGTCAGTTTGGCCGAGTGGTTAAGGCGGTGGACTTGAAATCCACTGGGTTTACCCGCGCAGGTTCGAATCCTGCAGCTGACGATTTTTTTTGATTTTATTAATTGATGATGTATTTGCTTTAAGGACTTATTATTGTAGTTAATTAATTAAATGTTGATTTAATAAAGACTGCCCATTATCTAATATAATGATTACAAATCATTTTTAAACAGTTAATGGTTGATGAATAACTATCTCACCGAAATTTAATTTATAGATTGTCTCAAAGAAGTAAGCAATTAAGTTGGGATGCTCAGCAAAGAAAAGGCTTAATTTAATTAAGAGTAGCTGGCTTAAATAAACACCATCAATCAAAAAGTAATTTTACTAACTTACTTTCTTTTTGGTTACCACATTATTTATGTGGAGAAATAATATTTCGTGTATGCTCTCTATAAGTAATTTTTGCTTATCATCATTAAGATAAGCAATAAGAATTGTGATCAATTACTTTCAATTACATCTTCCTCCCATCCCATATGTAAGTCTATATTTTTTGAATGCGTCATTATGCTACTAAATTAATCAACATACCTCCTAAACCAAGCAGATCAGATCTAGGTAGATAATGATATTGATGATGACGTATAGAATCTGCTTAATTCAAAACTATTTTACAAGATGGCTTATATAACTCTAATGGATTTGATAAAAGACACTGTCCTACAGAATCACTTCGATGGACAATCCCTGATAGCAATTTGTATAAATTAAATGCTCTTAACTGATTAACTTTAATCAAAATTGTCATTGGATAAAATAAAAAATATTCGATAGCATGACACTGAATATCTGATTAATTTGATGAGATTATTCATAGACAATAAGGACGATCAATTGCATATAACCAAATAGATACTTCGATATATATTCACTCTTAATGAAGAAAGAAACTGTTAGATATCCAAATTAGTGTTCTCCAATTTAAAGTAACTATCTCATTCAACTTCTCTAATACTTTAATCTATTAGAATTTGGCTGGAATCCAAAAATCAAATTGTCATCCAACAAATTCGATTGTACTTGGAGGAATATCTGAAAACCTCGTTCAACTAAATTCACGATGATTCTGATTATATTCCTATGCTGTTTCAAATTTTATGTAACTATAGTAATTTATTTAAGCCTCAATTTAAAGCTAAGGATTTATAGAAGAATCAAATTTTTCTGAATCAGTCTTTGAAGAATTAATATAAATCTTTCATTTTCTGTGGCATCAACTAGAATAAGAAACCAACGATAGGATGTTTGCTGAGAAAATTGAATTCTGGCAAAACTACACTAAAAAATTGAGAAAATAGTCAAACTTCACAAATCACAACTAGAAATCCTTCCCCAGTACGGTCAGAGACTGTGCTGCTCTATATCTGATTTTGCATGATCAACAGAATACTAAGAAATACATCAATCCAGCAGATTCCCTGATACCTTACATAGATGCTCTGTATCCACTTGAACAATAATAGGTGAAAGATATGCAGCTTATGCAAAACCTTATTAAATCATCTGTGGAATTCCTAGTTGATCCTATTTTAAAAGATGATTTGGTTGTTCTATAGACTTTGGAAAAAGTATTAACGTAGGTTCAATTGTTGAATTCTTCAATGAAATAGAAGGTCTTTTAATTGATCTGGTCGAGATGGTCCCCTGAAAATCCATTTTATGTAAAAATCTTGTAATAGATTGTATCTATTTTTCTGGAAAATGAAGATTAATAATTAGGAACAAGAAATAACTTCTTCTTGTCTATTTTGGCTATGGAGAGCGAGAAGAAAATAGTTCATCCACAGAAATTTCATACCCTATTATAAATTTGTTAATATCTTTGTCTTGAAAATGCTCCTGTAAATATGGAACATATATTTTCATAATCACAGGATCATAATTCTTGTTTGAAATTGAAAAAGTATAAAATTAAAAAAAGTTTCCAGGAATTCTTTTAAGTGAATAACTATTACTCAATGATTGTTAAATTAATTTCAGGGATTTAAAATACAACTAATTTGGTATACATCTTAAAGGAGTTCATTAAATTAGAGTGGTTATTAACAGAAGGATTGAAATTATCTTAAGTTGAATTTGCTGATGAGTTTGTTTAATTTTTAGAATAAAAGCTGTAAGTGTTTTCAGAGGATTAAATGAAAGAATTAATAGAACTACTATAAGATTGTTCAGTGTCAATGGTTAGTAGATTCCTCAAATTAAAGAATACTATTGATAATTTAGAACAATACGGAGAAATAATCATATAAAATGAATTTTGTTTGAAGGTATGAGGATTCTATATCTTTAGGTTTTGGTTGAAGTGTTTATATTCAATAGTCACCCATCAGAAAACCTAAAATAAAAGTGTCTCTAATTTCTTGGAGTTCTTTTATCATTTAATGAGTATAATTAATTAGTATTCAGAGAATGTATTCGCTTATCTGTAATTCACTCTCATTATATTAGAACTTCCTCTAATGCATGAGATATTAGAGAAACAAAAAGTTATAGTAGTCAATGGAAGATGTCTTAAAAAGATCTTTGTCCTTTATTAGAAATGATCAAATCCAGAAAATGATCCAAAATGCTCCGAAAGACCATTAGAAAAAATAAGTCTTTAGGCAATCCAATTTTTCTTAATATGTGGGTGCTACCTTAGAAACCTTTTCTGCTATTAGTAAGGAAGTCAAAGGGAAAAAATAGTTTCAACTTTTGGGCAAGGATAGTGGAATTGTTATTAAGAACTATCAAGATTTATGCACTAAGAAATGGAGATCCTTTACTATTCTAATTGAATTCAAGAAGGAAAGTTTCTACTTTATTAATTCGAATGCAAAACACAAGGATGAAGTATTTAAAGAAGAGTAGGTGATATTTAATATGAGTGGCATGTTCGAAACTTAAATGGGGAATAATTTCTCAGGTCAAAAATACAGCCTTCAATAGGTTGACTTAATTAAGGTTGCCCTCTTAAAGCCACCTTTTGCCTAAGAAAATTAGAAAATTAACCCTTTGGAGAATTTAATCAAAATATCTATATTAAATAATGAATAGAAACCAAATGACATGTATATAAATTTCACCTAAAAAACCAAAGATGAATTGATTTTATTGGCAATTATATTTGAGGATAAACCCAAACACACTTTCTTCGTTAAAATCTAAGATGAACCCAAAAAGACCTATCATATAAAATCATTTCTAACAGAATACGTGAAGAAACATTCTGATAAATATCATATCACTTTAAACATAGGAACTTATTACATTAATTAATAGTTCTAAAATACATTCTAAGGAGTCATCAATAATTTTATTATTATAGAAAAGGTTTTATATCTTAAGTAGATTGAGGCAGTTTTTCAAAGAAATTAAAATAATTTAATAGAAATTATAGAAAAGGAAGTATTACAAGCTGGAAATGAAGAAATTGAAAGTAAACATTCAATATAGCTTTAGGTCGAGAAATGTAATATCTGGATATTGAGAAGTTCAAGACTTGCTTCTCTCTTGTTGAGATCAACGATGCAATTAAAGTAACAAAGTACTAAACAATATAAGAGCAAAATTTCCTTATGAATATGATAAAGAAACAGGTCTCTCATAAGATGGTGCATGAATCCAATTAAGTAGTGAAGGTCTTTTATTAAGGAGTTAATATAATAGAGGATGCAGGGCTAGCTGATGTGTTTTTAAGCTTAGATAATATTGAAATAATACTCTTTATTATCTAAATATCTACCCAAACATATTTTAATTTGGAAAATTTTGAGAGAAGATCAAGTAGGTTAAAGACCTTATAGGTTACATTGCCGAATGAAGCAGGAAGAAATTAGGGAGTATTTAGAAGGATCAATTACTTCGATAATTTATTTAGATAGTACTTTTTAGTAAAAGACATGAGAAAATGCAGAGATGATTATTTAAATTGCTAATAATTTCATCTGAATTTAGTAAAATCCAATAGTTCTTAGTTTTCTTAAGGAGAATCCCCAATTGAAAAAAAGTAAAACTGCTTGTTAGATACTAGTGGGTCTATTGTTAATTCAATAATAGGTGGGTGGAATAACCCATCAGTGTCTTAATTCGTTTTGGATCATAGTGAATAAAATTAATAACATCAAATTCAACCACTTTAGTAACATTCAACCTATGGAATTGACGAACTAACTTAGAATAAATAAAATGATCCAGAAATAAAAAATGGGGCTTTCATGGATATAATTTCAGTAGAAAAGACTACTTTTAAATCTTAAACTGAAAAACTTTCATCAAACAAATACATTGAGGACACTAGAGTAAAATCATAATATGTGGGAAGAAGGACTTCAAGAAATTACACCTGCAATACTTCTCCTAAGAAACACACTTCTTTAAATTAATTCAATCAAAATATTATAGAAATATAGAGTGATAAAAATATAGAGTTTACTCTTGAGGAAAAATCGCCTACTCATAATGACACGAACATCTTTTAATGCGAATGGATTAGAGTCAAGTTGCAAGTCTATGGAGAATTGAGAGTATTAGAAAAAGGAAAAGTTTTGCAATTTTAAAGTGATGCCAAGGAGCGTCCAGAATAGGATTTCTATACATATGGAACAATTGTATTTAAATATTCATAAATATCTTTTAGTCTTTCAACCTAAGAAAAGTTAAATTAACAAAGAGATTGAATACGGCTTCTATTATTGAAATCTAAACTCGTCGCTACTCTCATAAGGAAATTGCAGTCGAAATATTTTGCAAGAATAAAAAATCTTATTTCTTTGTGTTATATGACACTGAAAAAAGAAATTAATTTTTAAATTGCTTTAAACAACATTATAATATTAGCTTAGTAATAGATCGAAGAGCTGGTAAAGTTTTATGTTATAATTTAGAGTTTCAGGCTAGGAATTATACGAAGAAATGGCTCAAAGGAAAAATAACAAATTTTGAATATCTGATGTTGATCAACAAATATTCTGGTAGATCATTCAATGATTTAAATTAATATCCTATTTTCCCTTGGGTTATTAGTGATTATACAAGTAAGAAGATAGATCTAGTATTTATTATATTTTGATAAATTAGAACAATAGAGAGCAGTATAGAGATTTAGACAAGCTGATAAGTAGTCAAAATAAGGAGAGATTGGAAAACATTAAGACGAGAGCAGAATCCCTGAAGTAGACTTAAATGGAATATTTTCTATTTGGATCTCATTACAGTGTGGCAGCCTAAATAATAAATACTTTGGTAAGAATTGAGCCTTTTACTTCCCTTTAATGTGATTTATAGGATGGAAAATTAGATTAAGCAGATCGCATCTTTTTTTCAATACCTAACACATGGGTATCGTGTTAAAATGATCATTAAGATTTTAGAGAGCTAATACCTGAATATTTTTATTTCCCTGAGTTTTTGAAGAATATAAATAAAATACAATTTGGCATAAGATAAAATTCTGAAGTGGTTGATGATGTTGTATTACCACCATGGGCAGAGAGTTGCGAAGAATTTATAGAAATTAATAGAAAAGCACTTGAATCATATTTCGTAAGTGAAAAATTGCATAATTGGATTAACTTGATTTTTGGACCCTATTCATAGGGAGAAGAAGCAAGAAAGAAAGATAATTTGTATCATTGGCTGACATATGAAAGTTGTTGGTAATCCTTAGATAAATTACCATACTAGGATAAAATGGGATATTTAACTTAGATTTAATCATTTGGTTAGGTTCCTTTCTAATTATTTACTAAACCCCATCCATAAAAGTAGAGATTAGAATAAAATTTGTATTTTCCTTCAAATTTAGTAAAAATACTAACAGATAAGAAACTCATTAATTCAAAAAGAATAATGAAATTTGATAAGAAACTTATAGTAAAAACATATAAAGAAAATGATAATTTGTATGTTCTAATGAATAATTGTTCTGTTTATAAATTAAAGTAAATATTATTAATGATAATTTAGATATAATGCAAGCTTAGAGAAAAAAGAAAGTGAAGAGAAGTTATTGTCAGCTTAATTATTTTCAATCTAAGAAGTAGAAAAATTGCATATGGAGAAATGCGATATATTGAAGGATCAATAATAAGTACATGAGACCTACAAAAATGCTAAGCCTATCCACATAACTGGCCAGCAGTTTTAATTTGACGATCATTTTTTATTTGTGGCTGGATATTTGAGTGGTTCTGTGTACATCTATGATATCCATTAAGATAAAGCGTAGAGCCCTAATGTTTGCCATAAAATAAAGCTTCACAGAAGGAGAGTTACATGTCTTTGTTATTCACCAAAATTAAAGGTTTTATGTTTGGGGGCTAAGGATAATAGAGTAACAGTATGGAAAGTGTAATAATCTAATGAAAAGACAATTTCATTTGGAGCATCTCCGAAATACATTCTTTATGGACATGATAAATCCATTAAATGTTTGACTATTGATGAAGATATGGAGATTGTTATAAGCCTTGACAAAGTAGGAAAGTTATAGATCCATTCCGTTATTTCAGGCTTGTTTTTGAATGAAATCAAAATCCAATTAAGCGTAGGCGAAAAAATTTGGAATGTCATATCAAATGGAAATGGACTTATAGCATTGTTAACTACTAATAGTGAGATTATTGTTACTAGGTATATATTGAGATATTAATTGTTAGAGTAAATGGCTTTGTTGTGAGAAGGTATGTCAATAACAATATTGGCTAAATTACACAAATTATGTTCTATTAGGAATCTCATCTACTTATTTCTACTCTCAAAGGAGAAATTCTATTGATTCAAGATGTATCTAGTTTAACAGAACAATACCCCCTTATTTTTCACATTTATCAGAATACGCAAAAGATTGGAATAATCAATTTTTCATATTGTAATATAGATATTTAAATAGAATTTGAAAATGAAGGCGTTACTTTTTTGATTAGCTTGATTGATGGATCCCTCTATCGCTTAATCTTAAGTGCAGGATAAAGTAGTTTCATTTTATAATTTTAGATAATGACTTTTAAAAATATTTAGGAAAATTAGGAATGTGATCAAACTAAATACTTGATAATTATATTTTTTCTCTTATAAAGTTTAATATTAATATCTAATTATGGGTAATAAATTGTAAGGGAGAGAAGCCATATCATATAAATTGAAAAGTGGAAAAGTATTTGAAATACAAGTCAATGATCTTTAAGGAGGCAAGAAATTTCCAAAGCCTCCCAAGAGAGAGGACATTATATTAAAATATAATCAATGGCTATCAGAAGTTTATCTCAATTATATATATTAGGTTATTTTGGAAGAGTCAGATATTAAACTCTTGTAGACAGTTGAATCGAAGTATAAATTTCGTATTTGCTACCTTCATGAATAAATAATGGAAAAAATCAACATATAGAAAAAAGAAGAATTTTAGACTAATCAGATTTTTATTGATTAATTAAAAAAAAGTATTAATAGATTATACGAGGATTATAATGATGTGGATATAAGCAGTAATATCTTAAACCATTCTCATAGGCATTAGTAAAAGTCTTTCGAATTCTAGTTGTATTGATCAAAAAGTAGAGCTAATTAAAAATATGAATTTCATCTCCTATTTAGCAGATAGATTGATACTTTTAGAAGAGACATCTAGAATTACAAATAATTTTAGAGATCAAATTAGAATATTAGAACTCTATTAAGTTATCTTGAACACATACAATATTAATCATAAGTCCCTATTTCATGAATCTAAATGTTTTAAATCAGTCATTCAAAATTTTCATCCAGTTGAACCTAAAGTAACTGGTTTAGTTTTCAAAATTATAGCAGGATAAAATGGATTAAGTTGGAAAGAAAATAACTTTCAAAATATCTAAGATGCCTTACAAAATCTGTAAGATCTTTATGCATTTTAAAATAAGTAATCCATATTTATATTATTAGATTCTAAATATTTCTTAGAACAATGTATTATACAAAAAATCTTATAATGATCTATTAAATTATAAAGTTTCTCTTTCGATATTTGTATTCATTAGATGATAAAAACTAATTATAAGTTGCAACTGAACTCTACACTTCAAAAGTAAACGATAAATAGTTAGAGGATGTTTTTAAGTAAATTAAACTTAGAATAAAACTGGATCTATATAAAAAAGAAGATTGTACTTATGAATCAGTTAGAAACATACTTACTACTTTTGAACATCCATTGATTTCCTATAACTAAGATGATCCGAGATTGACAAAACAATTTGCTTCATTTGTAGAGACAATTGTTGATGATAAAATGAATTACGAAAGTGATTATGACTCTTCCCAAAATATTTAGGATATCAATTTTTTATAAGATTAGTATTTTTACTATGAGGAGGGTTAGGAACATGTGTTCAAAGCCATAAAATAATCAGTTATAGAATGGATTGATGCAATCTAAAATATAAGTCTACTATCTTTAAAGGAGGATGAGGTCGATTAGTTTTTCTTGGAAAATGAGAAGACATAGCATTATGCATTTATTGGAGAAAAGGATATCAACTCTTCTAATTAGGCACTTTCTAAAACACCCAAGAATGATCGTTCTGAACAAGAAGATTAGAATGTGGAATAGAAAAACTATAAAAGCAAATACAAAGAAGCAAAAGAAATAATTAATGAATTAAGAAATCAATTAGATTAATAAACAAATCAACATTATCTAAAACTATAAGAACTGTCAGTTTAAAATTAGAAATTAAATGAAGAGAATGGCTAAACTATAAAAAAATTATAAGAATAAATTAAACAACTCTAAAAAGAAATCCAAGATTATAAAACACTGGTGGCTTAAGAGGATTAAAAATCAATTTAAGTTTAATTAAATTAATCTAATATCCCTATGAAACAATAAAAAGATTCACAAACATAAAATACTCAAGATTCTTAAAAATAATAAACTCCACCACCACCACCACCACCACCACCACCACCTCCACCTGTATAATAAACTGGAACATCTCTTCCTCCACCACCACCTCCTCCACCTATTTAAACAACAGGTGGACCACCTCCTCCTCCTCCTCCTATGAGATCTAACAATTAATAACCATAACAATTACTTAGAAAATAATAGCCTGCCCCATCCAAACCTATGAAACCACTTTTTTGGACTGCTATTCCGGATTCCAAAGCTTTCAAATCAATTTTTGAAAAAATCTAAAATGATGATATTACTTTGGATACATAATTTTTAGAAATGAACTTTTGTAAACCTCAAGAAATATAAAAATAAACAGATAATTCAGTGGAAGTTAATGTTAAAAAATAAAAAATTAAGCTTTTATAACCAGAAAGATCTCAAAATATTGAAATTATTCTGAGCAAATTACGTTTAAATATTAATTCTTTTTCTGATTCATTACTTTAAATAAATCTAGAAGTTTTAACCGAAAATGTAATAAACTCCTTAATTGCAATTTGTCCTTCCTAAGAGGAAATTGAATTATTGAATGAATTTACAGGAGATAAATCATTATTAGGGTAATCTGAATTATTTATTGATGCTCTACGTAAAATCAATGGTTTTCAATTCAGAATCAAAGCATTGCATTTCATGTATAATTATCATGACAATAAATCAACATTTCTAAAGGAGGCAAACAAATTGACTGAAGCTTTTATAAATTTGAAGAATTCCTAAGAGCTATAGACTGTTATTTTGATTGTTTTGAGATTGGGTAATTTTCTTAATGGTAATTTAACATTTAATAATTAGCAAAGACTCCAAAAGGAAACATTGCAGCATTTAAACTAGAAGCAATTGAAAAGTGTGGTGATTTGAAAAGCGTCGATAATTAATAGAATCTTTTATACTATGTAATCGAAAAATCAGAGTAGATTTTAAATAAAGATTTCATAAATTAATAAAGTAATGTTCGCTTTCTATTTTAGTTATTACCTAATTCGAAATTATTGAAAAAATTTCTTTATCATAACTTCAACAAAGCTTAAATGACATTAAAAAAGGCCAAAATCTAATTGTCCAATCCATTGAGTCTGCATCTGATAATCCTAATGATCTTGTGGCAATATAATTTTAACCAATTTTAACAGATATTCAATAGGATTTTGTAAAATTTTAACAAGAATTTTCAACAGTAGATAAACATTACAAGGAATGCTGCGAATTTTATTGTGAAAATTAATCAGAGTAATCAGATAAATTTGGTGAAAAAATAATGAAAATATTGAGATGTTTATACAAAAATAAATAAGAAAAGCTTATTAAAATAGAAAAGTAAAGAAAAGCTGAAGAATAAAAATTAAAATCATAACAATCATAACAAAATGAAAAACCAATAGCTAGGAATGACAGAGTGAACAAAACCTGGATGCCTTAAAATCAATAAAATTAGGGATAGACAGGAATTAAAAAGGGAAGAGAAAGCATGGTAGATAAAGAAATTAAAGAGATGTAGAAATTTAAAAATCAAAGCAAATTTTTAAAATGAATTATAATTTTGTTGTTTAAAATTCATCGATTATGAAAAGCTATCATAAAATATGCTATCTAAAAAGGATGGAATATATTCATGAAAGGTCTTAAGGAAAAATAAAATTTCTCATAAAAACTCGAAAAAAAATGGAAGAAGATTGGATTACTCTCGAATTAGGAAAATTTCAATAAAATCTCTGAAAAATGAATACCGATAAGCAAGCTGAGAATGGAATAATTTTGAGAAAGCACATTAATAATAATCGATTTCAAATTAAATAAAATAAATTATAATAACATTTGTTGAATATGAGAAAATTTACTATATTTTACAGAATCTTTTTCAAATAATTTAACATAGCATTTTATTATGGATTTTAATTGCATTAAATCCTCATCTATTTGTATTGTAATATAACACTGATAAATTAAGTAAAACTGAAAAACTAAAACAAATTAGAAAACTTTGTATTTCAAATAAATATGCTTATTTGATAAGATGTCACTATAAATTTTATATAGATAAAAGATTCATGAGATTTAACACAAGCAATCGTCCACTGGATCTCTTTCTTTAACATTAAATGTTTTCCAGTTTACAACCTCATATATATCAGCCAACCCAGCTTCTGGATTGATTTCATCTCTAAAACTGATTTTATGGTTTTTGGTTTTTGCTTTAATCTCAACATTATATTTGTCAGTTCTCTATTTTGTTTCTTATTACTTAGCACTTATTTCTGTACACATTCTTTCAAACCAGAGGTTAATATCTTATTCTTATTCAATCTCATCATCCCCTGTACATTTTTATATTCTAATCATTATAAATTAAATTAATGTTATTATGTCAACAATTCATTAAAAATAAATCAATAAAATGTTGATTATAATAACATTTACACCTAAGCTTTATAAAGAAAGTTGTTTGAGAATGATAACATTTAGTTGCTATTATCAAATATATAATCATTATTATTTTAACGAACAACAATAAATATTATTTGGCTAAACAATTTATGAATGCAATACTAAATTGCAATATTGCCTATTTAGATTCTTCTTAGCAAGAGCCCAAAGATTTACCAAAATGAACAAAATTATAAATTAGGTTTATACCGAACTAAAGTTCTTCAATAAAACCCAGAAGTTTATTTTACATTTGTTTTCAACTAAAATATTTACTATCATTTATATTTCTTGTCTTTTAAAAGGAAAGTATATCAATATTTCAATTTTGATATCAAGAGGGTAATCTCTAGTAAAATCTTAAAGCCAAAAGCATGTAATCAAGATAGACAAATATTTTTGGTTAAGGAAATGAAATCTCATCAGTGAACAGGAAATAATGGAAATACAGAATGATTTACTATAGAACTGATCATAAGATTAGATTTCAAATTACAGCTTAGTATTAATTAGTAAGGTTGTTCTTTTTTAAGGAATAATAATTTTTATAACCTAAAATTACATGTAAACTTAAAATTCAGAAATATAGCCAAACAATTATTTTGATTTGATAAGTGTTCCACCCTCAATGAGAAAAAAAAGTGCAAGAGTAGATTAAAGGCCAATTCAAACTAGCAAAATGTATTTTGAATCAGATTCTAATATTGATAAGTAAGTATGATGATTAGGGTCAAGCACATAATCTTTGCATAGTCTATTACAATAGAAAGAGGCTTAATTAGATTCATTACAGAGGAAATACATGTAAATTAGATAGGTAAAGTCAAGAAAGCCTTAAGGACAAAATTTTATGCATGGATATTTAGATGACTTGATTAATTCATTCAAAGATAAGGTTGACAACAATATCATCAGCGAGTTTATAAACTATTCAAATTCAATGAATGATATCTATAGGATATAATAAACTCATTTACAACTTTGCTAGTAAAGGTTGTAACAAGCAGATGCATTGGTTGATTAGCTCAAAATACTTAAAGAAGCAGATCTCTTCAATCTAAAAAAGATAATTTAATCTTTATAAGAATCATTGTAATAAGCTTAAGTTACAGAATTAGATTCAAATAAATTGTATAGGGATCTTTAGAACATGAAGTTGAAGTATGCAAAATTGCAAAACCAATTTGAAATAGTACAAAGGTAGAATGAATATACTGAAAAAAATATGCAATCGATAAAGTAGCATCTATAGCATACAAACGAGGAAACTCAAATTTATAAGAAGACTTTAAGAAAAGAAACTAGTTAGAATTAATTAAACCAAAGAAGAGTTTTTACATTAGAATAAAGATTGGAGGTTTTAAGTGGGAGTGATTATAAAAAAGTAGTTCTATTGATATTATTTTAGGACAAAGACTCATTAAGAAATATTATAGAGGATATGCTGAAAGAGAACGAGGCAAACAAAAGAAAGGCATTCTAAAAATGTCAAGAAGTGTTAAAGCTGGAATAAGTTGTTTAAGACTTAAAAGAAAAGAATCAAAAGCTACAGAAGAGAAATATGTTGTTGGAGAAACAATTAAAATTGCTAGGGTATTCAGCTTATGATTTAAATGGAAACACTTTTGGACAAAAGACTATAGTAGAATCCAATGATCAAGATGATGAGATTTAGGATGTATTTCAGCAGGCTAACTTGCCTAATAAATTAGAATTTAAATTAAATAATTTGAAATCGAGACAAAAGAATTTAGTTTAAGACTTATTAGATTGTGGTGTTAAATAAGCAATCGATTAATTATTCTAGATGGATTAGTAGCATCAAGTGGATTAAATTAGTATCTTTATGGATTTGTTTGTATAGTATAAGAATTTAGGAGAGAGTGTGAATAGTTTAATTAATTTAATTAAGCAGCTATTGAAAATTGATTAGATTGAAATAATAATGCAAAGACTGAGTTCTGATTCTTAGTTATTTAATTGTGAGTTGATTCAATTATGGTTGATAGATTAATAGACTGCCACATTTTATACTTATAATTAAAAAAATGAATTGGTCAATGCATATATTGATACGGATGAATTTTTGAATGTCGTTAAATCATCATTGCCTATTTATAAATAATAAGCATTTGTTTACAGAAACATTAATACTGCTAAATTCGCAAAGGATTGCTATCTTATACCTTTGTTAACTGATAGTAGATTGATTGGAATTATATCGTTGGAAAATCTAAATAATAAAAAATAGGATGCTAAATATCTTGGTTTGTTGATTTCATAATTGTTATTGCCGATAATAGATAAGGTATTGTAATTTAAACTTATAAATTATCAATTGAGATACAAAAATCTCTTATTTGAAGCATTTACTGAATTATCAAAGTAAAAGTCAAAATTTAAATTATAAAAATCAATTGAAAGTCAAGCTGAAACACTATTTGGTGTGGCCAGCAGCAGATTTTTCTTTTATAGTTAAGGGATCATTTATACTTATAAGGATGACTTACATACAACTGAATATAGCTCAGATATAGGAGTAATTGGTTATGTAGCAAAATCTCAAGAGGCATTGCTACTTGGCAATATTAAACAGCATCATTCATTTCATTAATCAGTCGACATGATTAGTGGATTACCAATATTTACATTGCCCTTGGCCTTTGGTGTTTTGTAGATTGTATTGAATTAGAGTGCACAATTATAATAAAATAGTAATGCATCCAATATATTCTAATTAGATAAATCAATTGAAGTTCGTAAGTTATTACAACCTGGGGAAACTTTACAGAGCATGGCATTAATGTTCACATAAATTTGTAATTTCGCATATGAAATTCTAAAAATAGAATTATCATGATACATTAAATAATAAAATTGACATTTTTCATAAAAATTTTATTAGATAGAACAATCTTATTAATATAAAATTAACAATAATGTAAACAATATGTTATACTCATTCTGCACTTTTTTCGGTAGAAGCTGCTACGATTGGAGCAACTGAGTATGCTTCTAATTGTAATTAGTTTTGTCCTAAAAATATAACTAATTTGAATACCAACAGCAACATAGGCTAATCCTTTCAATCCCCAACTGTCTCCCCAAGAATTTTCAATGACCCAATAGTTGACTCCGTCTTATTTACCCCAACCAATAACTTTGACTGCATGTCCATATTGGAATCTAATTATTTAATAGATAAGTATACTTTGAACTTCCTTCGACAACTTCATAGACTCCTCCTTTGTAAACAAGGAAATCTTTGAAGACTTAGATGACAGCAACAATTGGACCATTGTTCAATATTTCTCTTTTGATGTTTTCCTCACCTGAGACAACACAGTAATCATGGATCTTATATTTTTCACAATTTGAGAAAAGAGCATCACAATTGTTTTTGGCATCTTCTGTTCCACTGTATGGTAAACATGAGGTTGAAACAAATCCTTGTTTCTTACCAACTTCCAAGACTCTTGTTACACTACCTCCTCCACATTTGTAGTTCTTGTCATCACATGAGATTGGGGATTATGGTGACAATTGGTCTTAGAATTCTCCATTCTTTGATTTGCATAATCTATCACTTGTGGCTGATACTGCAGCAATTGAATAACTGGATGAGCAATTTCCTATACATATTTACAATTATTAATACCCTAGAAGTAGATTGGTTATGCACATTCTGGTTAGGCTTCTCTGAAATTGTAGCTCTCTGGAATTATGACACCGCTTTCAGGGCATTGTTAGATTTTTCCTTTGAATGTTAAATGATTGTTGAAAATGAATTTGGCATCACTGAATTTCCAATCTTTGAAGAAATCATTTGGACCTTAGAGGTAGGATCCTAAAGAATTGTGTGCAGCTATTTCCTCTTCATCTATTACAGGAGCTGTCGTTAATTTCTTGCTAGATCGTGTCAAAATGGAAAACAAAGCATAGACACAAACAAATCCGAATGCTCCTATGACCAAATGATAGGCGTATTTATCGAAAAAGCTTGGCTATGTTTGGTTACGTCTTTTCATAGCTTAAGCTGCTTTCTCTCTTTAGGCTACCTTTTCTGGAGATTAGGGAGAGGGACTTCTCTATCTTTGAGACACTTAACTCATGTATTAATTTAATTATTCAACACGTTTTATTAATTAAATTATATATATACTTTAAAATAACATATTTAATTAAGTCATAAGAAGAATGCATGCTCTAGGGCTTAACGTGCATTTATTCTTAATTTCTATGCAAATTAGATTAAATAAATACGTGATCATAAACAAAGATCTTTTCCAACAGATCAATCGCATCTTTGGTTGCCCATCTCTTGTTCTTTTTATTCACCAATTACTTGAAATCTATTCTCTCTTCAACTTAAGGAATATCTTACAAACGTAATTTAATATGATATTTTTTCAGATATTCATATAAATCCTTCTTTCCCAATTTCTAAATTATTTGTCTTAATTAATCTTTTAGATCCTTCCCTTTAAACAAGGGATCAGTCTTGAATATAAAATCAGCCAACATGCATCCAACAGCCCAAACATCAATTGAGTAATCATATTTCCTATATTTCAATAATAGCTCTGGTGCTTTATAGTATCTAGTACCCATTCTGACGGATAAAATTTTTCCACTGTCATAAAATTGACTTAAACCCCAATCTATTAATATAATATTATCATTTTGATCTACAAGTACATTTTCAACTTTAATATCCCTATGCATTATATGTAAATCATGAGCCTAAACAAGGGCACTGAATATTTACTTAAAGTATTTTTTTACTTATTTTAAAGTGTACCTTCTTTTTTTAAGGATATGATATAAATTACGAGTTGTATTTTGGTAAGTAAATATTATAGTGGTATCAAGAGAATCATTATGATGGGGGGGATCTTATTTAGCTTATATTGCTTAAGTCTCCTTATTTAAGAGTTATTAGTAATAGTCAGCCTATTCAACTTAATGTCCCTTGATAGCATCTATCATTTGAACGATATTGGGCAAACCTATTAAGGCTTACAGAATTTATATCTCTTGATTGATATCGCTCTCTCTGGTGTCATTGATGTGTTTTAAAACAACCAGCTCTTAATCTTGAATTCTTTATGCTAAGTAAACCTTAGAAAAGGCACCTTCTCCTATCACTTATTTTAATTCATAATCAAAAATGTTTCCAGAATTGTAATCCAATATTTAATTGACTTCATCAGAATTGAGTTATTATTATTATTGATATGTAAAAGCAAAGATTTGAAGTGGCATGAGAAGGAAAAACAAGATCATAATAAAAAAACGTATTTTTTTAAATATTGCTTAAAAACCAAAATAAATTCACAATATTTTAGAATCACTCTATTCTTTATTACAAAGTGGGCAAGTATTACTTTATTTCAATCATCCGTCAATTCAAATTTTATGTAATCCATGATCACATAATCTTTGGACTATTTTACACTAAAGGAGTAAATTCAGAATTTTTATAACTCTTCTAAAATTTGATTGGCTTCACACACCAAACATTTTCCAAGAGACTTTATTTATCAATAGCGCATCTATCTTCTTTAATATATTATGTCCAAACTCAAGCAGCTTGCAAAGATTTGATTTCTATGCTATTATCTATTCCATTAATTAAAATAATATGAAAAATAGTGAGAATCTATAGAGCTACGCAGTTGAAAAAAGAATTGGAGAAGGTGCATTTGCAATAGTGTAAATCTCAGATCATATGAAAGATATTTAGCTTAGGTACAAGAGAGTGGAGAGAAAGTTGCAATAAAAAAAGCTCCAATAGACAAAAAATATAAAAACAGAGAGCTGGCGAACTTAAAATTACTTGGAGAACATCCAAACATTGTCGCCTTAAAAGATGCATTCTATGTTGTTGGTTAAAAGTACAAATTCTATACATTATATTCAACTTAGTGAGGAAGTCTACATTAATTATGTGATGGAATATATGCCAGACAATTTATCTGATTATTTGAGAAATATGAAGAAGCAGAAACAATAGTTAACATAGATTCAATTACAGATCATAACGTATCAACTATTGCGTGGTTTGGCCTTCATACATGGCAAGGGCATGGCACATAGAGACATCAAACCTCAGAACATTTTAATTGATGGAACAATCGTAAAATATTGTGATTTCGGATCTGCTAAAATCATTTCAGGTGGATAGATCAACACTTCCTATTTATGTTCCAGACATTATAGGGCACCTGAATTGATATTTGGAGCCACTGATTATTCTACGAGTATAGATATTTGGTCTTTGGGATGTGTCTTTGCTGAACTCATTTTATTGGAACCGCTATTTCCTGGTGAAAGTTCTGTTGATCAATTAGTGGAAATTATGAAGGTCTTAGGGACTCCAACAGCTACTGATATTGCAGAATTCAATGCATCTAATACAGATTTTAAATTTCCTTAGGTCAAAGGACATCCATGGTCTAAAGTCTTTTTAAAATATAAACCTGATCCCCAATTCATTGACTTAATTAAGAAGATGGTTACGTATTAATTTTCATCAATGCTAGTTACTAACCTTAACAGAGAATCAAACCATTTATGGCTTTGATGCATCCATTCTTTAATGATCTGAGAGAGTTAAAGAATGAGGAGGTTCCGAATAAACTTTGGTAATTCACGCCTGAAGAGGAGAACATTTTTGGAAAACAGCCATTAAAACATTTGATGCCATCATGGTGGAAAGGTGGAAGATGATAATGATTATTTTAATACTGTAAAAAACAAATCTCTTTCAATTAATTGAAATTATTTTGTTATTAAAGAATTAATTATTATTTTCATGGATCAACAAATTAAGAAAGTGTTTCATACGGCTTTGGTCTTAGTTCCTCCAAAGCAATGTATAGATTAAATATAACTCCTAAGGAAACAATACGATAAAGCGTACGAAAGATGGATGCCTCATGTCAATTTGTGTTTTCCATTTGCAGATCCTGCTTAATTTTAATAAGTTTTCCAAGCACTTTAAAATCATCTGAGTAAGAAAATATAACATTTCAAACTAGAGGACTTTCCTGCTTTTTAAGTTCGGTTAAGAGAATTTAATCATTTTCAACATGGCAAAAATTGTGTAATGTGGTTAAACCCAGAATCTGAGAATGATGGAATCTAAAAGTTATACTAAGAAATCTTAAAGGTCTATCCCTAATTGGATGATCTAAATAAAAAATCAGAACATGGGTTTCAACCTCATATAACAATTGGATAGTTCGGAACAAATCAGATTGAATAGAGAAAAAAAGCATTCCAACCTTAATTTTAGGAAGTTCAATTTCAATGTTAAGAGATACACATGATTAGTAGGAATGGGTAAGATGACCCATTTTAAATAATTCATACCATCAAGTAAGTTAGTGATCTGATCATTTAGATTCAAGACTGAGAATCCATAAGCTTATGAATATCCAGGTCAAAAATGAATATAAATAATTATTATATTATATGTAAGGGTCTGAGATTTTAATTGCTCAAGCACAGCATAAAACTGAATTAGTTCATCAGTTGTAGGAGCAAGCTTATGAAACAGAATAAAAATAATTGGATAACAATCTAGTGACAAAGGCAATTGAGTACATTTTGGAGAACCCTCATTTTGGCTTTTTTTTAATTTATACCGAAAATCATCACGTCTTCGGGTAGATCCTGATGACCAAAGAATACAACATCTACTCTGGATTAACTTGCTGGTTTCAATCTGTAATATTATGAATTCAACCATTTTAGGTTTACGTGAAGAAGGATCATAGAATGAAGGGAATATTTAAGTAAATGTACAAGGAATTTATGAAATATGCAGCAAAGGAGAAAGCAGGGACAAAATTATATGTAGAAGTTGAGAATAAGAATGCCATCAAAGTATATGAGAAATTGGGAATGATTAAAACAGAGGAAACCATATTTGAAGATGATTTCGTATTTCATCCTGTTAAGTAAGTCAAATTGCTTATCAAATTAGAATTATTAATCTTGGTTAAGATTGTGTAACAAGGACTTCAAGCAACAAAAAGGAATTAGAGGACTTATTAAAGAAAGGAAAAAGTATCTTAGGGAATGACTTAACTCAATAATTGTAAATTGAGAATTGTTTAAATAATAACAAAAATGCATTTATAATAACAGAGAGTTCAACAGACTATCTGATAGGACTATATTTCATCGAATTTAGTGATTGGAGAAATGGAGTATTAATTAATTAATAAAATTAGATAATTCTATGGTTTTACGATTTTGTAAGTTCAACTTATAATAATGGAATTATTAGTATAATGATGAGCAATATGCTGAATTCGATTAAGCATAAATAGGTTAAGTTTAATCCTGAAGTGAAAGGAATTAGAATACTTGTAGACAGATCTAAAGGTTAGCGGTTAGAGTAATTATTGGAAGTCATTGGTCTAAAGGAGTCACACTATTATATATATTATTAAAAAAGTGATTGAAATGAGCAAGTATTTTAAATAAATAAAGTAACATGATTTCCATAATCAATTATTTAAGAAATTTAATTCGAATTTATTATTAAAAATGTCAGAATAACAAAAGAACTTGGAACCTCCTCAAGAATAACCAGATCAAGAACAATCACTCTTGTAACAAGCTCTAGAGAATAGATAGGTTTTTGATTCGGAAATTTAATAATAAATTCAGAAAGATGCTTTTGACTTTAAGATGGAAGTCAATAATAAAGAAGAAGACTTAGGAATGATGAAGAGAGATATAATCAAGAAGAGGAAGAAGAGGGAAAAGAAAGAGAAATTGATATCTGCAAGAAGATTAAAACGATTGCTGAAAAAGAAACCTGTTGATAAGATTAGATTAGTTTACTAAGCTTATTTCTTTATAGTTAGTATTACCGTACTCACCCTAAGTATATTGTCATACAGAGATCAAACAGTTTATGAAGGAGATTATCAGTAATTCGTTGACAATGTTAATTCCTATGTAATTGATGATATTCAATTCACATATACTAATAAAAATTGCAAAACTCAGTTCGGAAGTCAAGTATGCAATTTTTCATATCATAGTATTCGTCCCTTTATGAATACCATTGGCCAGGTACTAAGATTGGATGTGATTGTAGTAAAGGATTTAATTTCTCTTCATTAACAGAATTTAATATTGATGCGTTTTTCAGTGAATCCTTTATGCTTGGCCGTATTTGCAGTTAAGACTTGCTCTCTAAGAATTGTAATACAGTGAACGAACAGCAACCTAAAATCTTTAACTCATGGAATGATGGATCATATGGAAGACGTACTGTCATGCTTCAATTTTATTAGCCTTTGTATTGTGTGCCAGAAGATAACTTGGAATTGATTTACAATCTAACTAAACCAATTGTCAATCCGATCATAAAGTCTGTGGAACTGGTGATAATTCATTTTGCGTCCCCTCCGATATCAGTTGTCCTATATCAGAAATTGGATTTACTACAAATTCAAATTATTAAAATTTATCATTAAAAAACGATACAAATATAGGGAATATTTTTGATTTGGGATCAGGATTCTATTTTTATTATATCAAAAACACTTCAAGTTTACCAATTGTAGAATTTAGAGTTACTGAAGGAGACAAGGTATGTAGAAGGAATTTAGATCAAAATATTTCACCAAACCGAATAGATTATCCTTTAATGGTATCAATGAGAAAATAATGCGAAAATACTGACTAACTCTTCTAAGTAATCCATTCTATCGATGAAGAGTAATTTTATCTTTCCAATAATGTAATTTATTTATCTGAAAAATTACCTTATTTTAACATTGATACCAAATATAATTGGACACTTCATGCTAAAACTTTTATTCCTTGGGCACCTCAATGTCGAGGAGAGTTATTTGATTAGGTTCTACAAGAAGGAGCTAATTTGCATCATGTTTACATATCTTTAAGAGTTTAACTAGGAGTTACTATTGCCTATTTTATTGTTATTGGCCTTATTTTTAATGTTGTTGGAACGATGACTGCTTGCAACTTTGCTTGGTCTTGTATGGCAAGTAATAAATTATTATTTATCATTATAGCTAGGCCTGATTCATAATATAATTATATTTTCCTAATTGAAGTTGGATTCAAAATACTATTATAAATAACTGAGATAATTGTTATAATAGTCTCTTTTGCTATCATAGATGGCAAAAGAAAGATAATTAAATAAATTAATGATGATGGATGTGTATCTGATCCTGTTAGTGGCTATTTCTTTACTAATTTGGAAAGCGATTTAACTAAATTTGCTTGGTCTTACAATCTAGCCAATTTAGTGATATTCACAGTTACTCTTATTCTTGATCTAATCATAATTAAACACTCAATTAATTAAGGACATCATCATGGAGCAAAAAAACACCATGAAAAAGGAGAGCATTAAGAATTAGATGTTGGATCAAATGGTGAATCAGGAAATTAGTAAGAAATTAAAAGTGATGTAAAACTCTAAGCTAAGTCAGAGCCTCAAGTATGAAATTATTTAACATCAAAATTATTATTAATTAATTTCTAATTATCTATTTGTCAACATTAAATATTATTTTTGTTATATATTTTTGTTTATTAATATTATCAGTTATCTCATTTCTCGTGCTAAATATTCAAATAATTCCTATTTGTCATTAAAACAAATTAGGTTGCATTAGTAAAAATTATCAGACTATATTCAAAATATAATAAGTTTTAATGAAAATATGCTTTGCTAAAATTTATTGAAAAGAAGGTTTAAAGGTTAATAACTCAATTTCTATTATAGACATCAATAGTTACATGTTTTACAAGCAATAATTATGTATTTTTATGACCTATTTATTTTGGTTTATTATTCGACAAAAATTGTTACTCAAGACTGAAGTTGATTAAATTTCAAAATTTAATTTCATAAACTAAAAATGATGTTACCAATAAAATAATTACTTTAAAAAGGTAGACTAATTTTTAGATAAGAAATAAATGACTTATTGTACAGATATGATAACAACTAGTTTGATAAATACAAAATTAATTCATTTACAAAATGATTTAAGGCAGATAATTTTAGTTTATTTATAATAAGCGAAATATTGAACATAATGTTCTGTTTTGATCCTTTCTGCTTTGGAACTACAACAATATTTTAGATACAATCTTTATGTTTTCATAAGATTAATTATTTTGGCATAATAAATTATCATAAGAATTGTATTTAAGTGAATTAAATTAATTCAACTTACATATAGAACTTTTAGATTTTTAGTTGAATAAAACCATAGAATATTTAAGATTGATAAATCTTAAAAGTACCTACTTAATGAATACCTAATAAGTGTGTATAATAAGGCGTTTGAATGCAAAATTGAAAATCATAGGAACCATATGCTCATAGCATAAGAGAAAGATCCAATATCTGATTGAGTGTGGAAAGAGTTATACTCCTTAGATGATGAGGGAACTCTAAGGCGCATGATGAAAAACAGGAAATGATATTGAACAAGAGATGAGTGATTTAGGATAATTAAATTTAAAATTAGATTTAAAATTAATTAAAATACAATCAATGCCTGCCAAAAAGAGAAGTGTGAGAATTGGTAATTGGTACAAAAGTGATGATGAGAAAGTCCATTTCGTTAGAAAGAGAAAAGTATTTTGAAATAAAATCAAAAAAGGCTCCAAGACCAGCTACATTGAGAAAGATTGTCCCCGGATAAGTGTTAATCTTGTTGTCTGGAAGATTCCAAGGAAAGAGAGTTGTATTCTTGAAGTAGCTCAAATCTGGATTGTTGCTTGTAACAGGTCCTTTCAAAATTAATGGTGTCCCTCTCAAGAGAGTCAACTCCGCTTATGTCATCCCAACATCCACTAAAGTTGATGTGACTGGAGTTAATGCCAACTAAATTAATGATGATTATTTCAAGAGAACTTAAGCTTAAAGACGTAAGAATGAATAAGGATTTTGGGCAAAGAGAGGAGAAGTAATTTAATATCCATATATATAATTAGCTCACAGTTGAATAATAAACAGCAGAAAAAACAAGATTGGATGGAAAGAGAAATACACAAAAATCAGTTGATGCTGCATTGATCACTGCAATTAAGAAAACATAATTATTGAAATAATATCTCGGTGCTCGTTTCACCATTGGAAAAACCACAAGACCTCACGAGTTAGTCTTTTGATCATTACCAAGATATTATCGTACAATAATAAATATTATAAATCAATATATTAAATTCCACCTGTTTAATTATTTTTTACTCTCTCCTGTTAACTAATTACTTTATTCTCAATATGCTATCCCACATTTAAGATCTCCTCATATCCCCTAGATACTTAATCTCTGGACTATTAATTAAATTAGTTATTTTTATGAGTTAGAGTAATAAATTACTATATTACAACTAATATTTGTATTTTTATAAGGATTTTATAACTAATTTATTTATTTTATTTTAGAATTCACTACCTTTAGTTTATTTTCACTACTATATATTAGAACTCCAATTTATATCGTCATAACATCAAAGAAAAACTTAACAAATTTTCTCATATTAAGTATTGAGTTTTAGATGAATTATTTCAATGTTTATTACTTTATAATATATGTCTTGTTTTGTGATTATAGTAAATCTATAGTTTCATTGTTAAGGCTAATTTCTATGTTACTTTTTTTAATGTTTATAACGTGTTATTAAATTACATATATCTAACTCTAAGAAAATAAAATATTTCTAGAATTTGAAATAATCCAAAGATTGCAACAACATAAATTATTAAAAAATTAAAGGATGGTTTTAATTTATCTGGCTTAATATTAGATTTTTGCATTTCCACAAATATATATTTTATATTTCCTAGATTGTCGATTCTTATTTTAAATTCTTAATTTTATACTTTTCTTGAATGAATTTTTAGAATAATTTCAACTAGGTTGTTAATAAAATTGAGTGACTATTAGGATTGATTACTTTATCTGCTAATAAATATACATTTATATGTAATATAAAGATTATATCCAATTTTACAAGAATAGTTCATAAAATTTAATATGAATACTATAAAATCATTAATATGCTGCAACAATCTGATTGAGACTTTCATTCACCTCGTAATCAATATTAAAAAACTATTTTGGAACTTATTAAAATTTATTGATGGTTTTTGCCAATATATTCACATTACTGCTATGGTTACTTATCTAAGCAATTCCAGGATAGGCTTTCTCAAGAATGCCCATGTAAGAAGGAACTTAGGTGATTTCTTAGACCCACTTGACCTATTCTAAATTGGGTTCTCCTCTTATAATTAATCCTGTTCTATTGAATTTTCCTTCCTAATAATTAATACCTCCAAAATTATTAGAAAAAGCATTAACATAAGTGTAATCAAAACCACATGACAAAAACTTTTAATCGTAGTCTAAAAATAGATGTTAGGAGAATGTTGTCAAATCTAATTCTTTCTTATAAGATTGATTAATTGTAGCCAAACAAAAACTTAAGAATTATGAAATATTTCTTGGAGGATAGGATGTATATTATTTATTGTCCAAAAATACACTTCCATTGATCTACAAGCACACCTCTGCAAATTCTTTCAGCATTTCATAGCATTTTAGTAAACTTAATTGCTAAGAATATGATATTTAATCTTCAATCAAATTCACAAAATAAAATGGAACAGTAGGTATCAATTATTATTATTCTTTGATGTAATCGTCGTAATTTTAATTTGTTGTATTAATAACAAGGACTCCTTGTAGATTTTCACATTTCTCAACCATCTATCTGAATGAGGAAAACTATCAGATATATAAAATTACGTACATTCTATTTTGCATATATTTTCTTCTTTTGAAATTGTGAATCAGAATCAACGAATACAGTTTTAGGAACAAATTGGCCATTTTAAGTTTCATAATAAAATGATTTGGCTAAGAAATCTGATTCCTTGTTTAAGAGATTCAAATCCTGTATTAGATTTTCAGTGGCCAATTATTCTTGCAAATGATCTCCTATAATGCCCCCATTCCAACCCAAGTTGAGTATGATTATTTCCTTCATTTCTTTATTTTATATATTAATGAATTAGTTAATTATATGAGACCAATAATTTGGAATAAATTATTAAAAGATTTATTTAGTATTTTGAAATGGGAAAATTGTAAGCAATTGTAATATGGCTAGCTTGAAACCAGGTCGTTTAGTAGTTATGCTTGCCGGTAGATAAGCTGGAAAGAAGGCTATTTTGATTAAAGCAAATGAAGAATCAACTAAAGTAAATCAAATGTGGATTTATTTTAGGATGCAAAATTCCCTAATGGTTTAGTGGTTGGTATCTAGAGATATCCCAGAAAGGTAACCAAGAGAATGGGTTAAAAGCAAATCAGAAAGCGAACTACATTGAAGGTGTTCATTAAATAATTAAATCTTAATCACATTATGCCAACAAGGTAATGATTATATACAATTTTATTTTAGATATAGATTAGAGGAATCAACATTGAAGGAAGTCAGAGACAGAATTGAGAGAGTTAAGGAAGCTGAATTAAAGAATGTTGAAAAAAGAAAAGAATTGAGAAAGAATCTTAGAAAATACTTAGCTGAGAAATACAGAACATTACCAGCAGGTAGTTTGGCTGATAAGAAAGCTTAATCAAGATTCCTATTCTCAAAATTGAGATTCTGATATAATAAAGTATAATATAAAATATATTTATTATTGTAATTCTTTATCTCATACATATATCTATTTAAATTATTTATTTTTCAATAAAAACATATGAACAATTATATTTTGATGAGTAATATGAAACTTAACCTTTATTTTCTAGTGTTTCTTGGATTTTCACTGAATCTACCTATTGAAGCAGATGTAACTCGAAAGGTAATTACAAGATTGTAAAAAAAATTAAAGCAAAAACACTCATATATATTAGAAAAGTAGATAACATATTTCAAAGATTTTTGCTTTAAATATTAAATCAAAATTTTGAGTTGGTTCTGTAGTGATTTAAAGCAATTATCATTTTAAATTTTATGAAGATATTCATGAAGATCATATTCTTAAATGGGGGGGAAGATGAAAATCCAAAATTTGACTGATATTTAAAATAAAATATATTATACTTATATGAACCAAAAGTCAAAAAAGGTGCATGCGGATTCTCAAATAGAACTAAAATCTAAGAATCCTTAAAGATAGATACGCGTGGATACTTTTGGATAGCAAATTTTGAAAGGATAAAAAAATCATAAAATTGCATTCAAGGAACATATCAAAACAATTCACATAGTAGAAAATTGGAAATTGTACAATCTTGATCATGTGGATAAGGAAGATGATTCTTGTCCATGTTAATTAGTTTGAGAAACTATTGATAGTTATTTTTTGATTTCAGTTGTTATTTGTTTTATAAAATGATGTTGCATTGATATAAAAATTAGCAATAAATAAATATGTGAAGTTGATATTATCACGTAAATTCCTATTATGAGAATAAACAAATTAATTTCTTTAAATTGAGATATTAATTAAAATATGTACTCTTAAGGCACTTAATATCCAAATTCTAAGTACAAAACCTAACTTTGTAGACATTTTAGTATTGAGTTGATAATTATCTGAATAGCACAGAATGGAGTTTGCGCTTTAGCAATAAGATGTTAATTTGCACATGGACCATAAGAACTTCGATAGAATGCTTAACAGCCACAAAGCTTCCCAGAGCAAACAATCTAAACAAATGCGTTTAATAAAGTATAAGGAATCAACCCTATGATCGTGAATTACAAAAGTAAGATTAAGGACTAATTAATGTAGCATAATTATGTAAGCATTTTAATCCTTAAACTGGATAATGTAAAAATGGCCCTACATGCACATTTGCACATGGTGAAAATGAATTAAACACAATGCCATATTTACAAAATTAATATTTGTAATGTTATTAATTGATTATTTCTGATTAGATTGATGTAATAGCAGATGAAACAGATGAATTAGCAATAAATGTAGGCAGAATTAACATAACAAATATTAGTGATGATCTTAACAAATATGGAACATATTTTTCCAGGTTAGCAAGTATTAAATACTTTAATTGTAGTAAATACTGGCATTGCTGAAACAAGGATAGGAGAAAGCAAAATCAGGCGATACTTAGGGAGCAAGTGAAATTATCAAACTCATAATACACGATTAGGAGAGATCAAAAGAAGAGAAATAGTAATATCAATAAATTTATAATAATGCTTAAAGGCATTATGATTAAAAATTGAAAGAGATTTAATCTTCATAATAGTAGTAGTAATAGCTTTATTGAAATATATTATTATATATACAGATATTATAATGAAAATTGATGTTATATTTTTAGGGAGATGCAAGACTTGTAAGTCCTAATGGAAATGGCAAAGACACTTAAAGGTATGTTTATAATTAATATACATATTTTCATTAGATTTATTATTGCTGTTATTACTTTTACAATTATGCTTGTTTCCATTGTTTTAAATACTCGATTATTTATAAAATGTTTTGCTCTAATTAAGGCACTTCCTCATTATTCAACTCCATAATAATATTTTGTTTATAAGAACTAAACATAATTACAATATTAAACAACCTTTCGACCTCATCTTTGCTGACATCTAGAATTTCACACTCGATATTCTCTGTTATCTTCTTATCTTCGTATCCTCTGGCTTTGAGTCTGTCATATAAGACAGTGTTGTTGGTCCTTAGTAACACAACTAAGTCGAACCACTAAATTTATAACTCTGAAATACTCGTTCAGGGAAGAATGAAGATGTATGAAAATCAATGATCATTCCTCCTGCTGACATAGCATCTTCTAATTCATCACATACCATGTCCTAATCAAATTCAGGCACATTAAATTCTTAATTCCATTCCTTATACAATTTCTTTTGATTTATTAGCAACCCAATATCAACATATTGGAGACCCTCGATATGTTCACTCAACAATTTCCCTAAGGTGCTCTTTCCAACTCCTGGTGTACCAGTAACTAAAATGTTTGGCTTTTACCTATTATTTTCAATTTCCATAAATTAATTATGAATTGTAAGAATAAATTAAAGTCTTATATTCATTTAAGGTTTAGAAGGCGGTTGTGGTGTAGTGGTTATCACGTCAGTCTCACACACTGAAGGTCCCCAGTTCGAAACTGGGCAATCGCATTTTTTTGTTAATAATATATATTATATTAAAATTTATTATAAATTTATCCTCCCATTTTTGATTATGTATTTTTCATCATAATCATACAATGTATGAGATTGATATTATATCCAAAAAAGAATTATTGATAACTGTAAGATATTGGACATATTTAATAAAATTCTTTTTTTAATCTAAATTTAAATGAAAGTACCATCTTTGGAAGGAGAAATGTTTATGACAGCAGTATATGCTCCGAGTGCCAGAGCCTCTTGCAGAAGCTGTTAGGCTAAAATAGCCAAAGATGAACTTAGATTAAGCAATATTGTGGATGAAGATCATTATCACCAACAACTTCATTACCATGCAGATTGTTTCTAATTAAAACCAGATTTTAAGAATGCAACCTATAAAGATATCTTTCATGTAGAAAATTTAACAAAGGCAGATCAAGAAAAAGTCAAGGCTATTCTTGAAAAACTACAAAAAATGGAATACAAAAAGAAACCTTAATAAAAAAAAGCTAATTCAAAATCTAAGAATAACAAATAAAAAAAAAGTGAACTGGAAGATGGTGGCGATAGTGGGGATGATAACAAAAAAACCAAGAAATAGAGGAAAGAGGTAGCAAAAAAGGATAAAAAATTAGAGACTACCAAAAAAGCAGAATCATATGAAAGTCAGAGTGATGAAGATGAGCCTGGCATCCTTGTACTTTATGATAAGCCATAAAAGGAGGAATTCAGGAAGATCCAATAAGATTTAGAGAAAAAGACAGCAGGTTAATTGAAGTCGATGCTAAAAGCGAATGATCAAACATAAATGGGAAATAAAGCAGAACTTATTGAGAGAATCGCTGACTGTATGATTAAGGGATGTTTAGAGAAATGTCCCAATTGCTCTGGAGGAAGACCAAAATTTAATCCAACGTAGAAAGTCTTCAAATGTCCAGGATACATGGATGACACAGAATTTAGATTTTGCAATAAAGTTTATGGGCCAAAAGATCTCAAGAGAATTCCCTGGGTTGATGTTTGATATTTATATAACAATTATGTCGAAGATATTACTGATTGATAATATATGGAATATTAGCAATCCCAGTTATGATCTTCTATCTTTTTTGCACCGTAGACAAACCGACACTCTTTATAATAATTTCGATGAAATTAAACAGTGTGGAGATACAGGGTGCTTATAATAGTTATACTAGAGTGTATACTCTCCCGTAGACTCAAATATATTCAATTTAAGGTGTCGAAGCGCCCTCAACAATGAAATTAATCAAAGTTTGTGAATACAGCCTTAAGGTTTTGGGAGAGAGTATATTTATCACAAATTGTAGTACCATCTTCACATTAAGTATAATCAAGCATGCAAAACGCAAGACCTGAAAATGTATGCCAAGATGTATATTTAATTTGTGATGAAAAAGTATTTTAATTAATTAATTAAATCCATCAAATACTTATTCTCATTTCAATCTTGAGATATTCATATATAAATTTATTGCATTATTTTATATCTCATCTTTCAGGGAAGGAGGAGGGCAACTGTCTTAATATAATAATAGTATTTCAATAAATTTATAAACAAATGTTGTGTCGACAATAAAAAATGCAATGCCATTTGGATATTGAACATTTAAACACAAGTGAGGAGTAAAACAATTTATTATCATATGATTAATGGGACACAATTTGTTATTGAGTATTTATTAATTAATAAAATTTTAATTGTTCGATTAACGGAATAAAAATAATGAAAAATTCCCTGACTAAATTTTATACTTTAAACTCATTTTCACAAGATAAAAGCTATACCTTTGTGAAATTGCGAAAAGAGTAATTATAAGAGGAAATCATTAGAATCAATGATGAAACAGAATTTGAAGTAATGATAATTATGAATTAAAAAGGATTTTGCTGAATTCAAGTCATTAAATTAAAACGAAACCATAATCTCAATCAAATACACTGTTGATCAATTCTATGACCCTTTTTAATAGTAAGAGATAAAAGTGGAACATTATGTCTAAGAATTGATTTACAATGTACGTCGAAAATACCCCTACATTACAGTGTTGGAAAAGCGAATATCTCAATCCGCATAGTTGCAGTGCCAAATTTAACTTTACAATCAGAAACACAAGATTGTGTTGTTCAACAAACCATTTACAAATACCTAACATATCTTGGAACTATTGAAACTCTACATAGAGAGAGGAACAATCAACATTAAATTCATCTGTCACAATTAGGACATAATTGCTTTGGGGGGTCAATTGAATAATTTGTTTGAAGATGCTTTTATCACAATCTCATAGAAGGATAAATTGCAAATCAATGATAAGTCACATATCCCTGCCAAATTGATTACAATAAACAAGAAGCTTACATCTAACTTTATTAATTTCAAAGATCTCCCCTTAAATAACGATTATGTAGTGGATGTGTAAGGAAAGCATTTTAAATATGTGCATCAAGAAGTAAATTTCAAAGAGAATGTCATTGAGTTGGAAAGGAATGACATCATCTAGGCCAAATATAAATTGATTCATCAAGGGAAATTGGTAGAAGCCGATAAGTTCCTGGTTAATGGCATGCCTATCATTTTTAATGGCGAATATAGGTTTTGGACAAAACCGTAGATGGAATATATTGTTAATATCGAGAAATTAGATTTCTATCCTAAACAGCAAATGTTAATAACAAAAGGTCTGGGAGAGTATAGATAGGAGATTGAGATGATTAAAATATAGAAAACTATTCTGAGAATTACTAGTAAGAATATTATAGATTCATCCATACTTGACAGTGTAGATATAAGTATAGATGGTAAGTTTGTTGGATAGACAAATAAAAATGGTACCATAGTAATTTAGAATCTTGATTTGAGAAGCTTCGTAATCAAAGCATCGAAAAAGGGGTTTCTCACAATGCCTTTACAATTTGACATATCTGCAAATAACATTGGCTAAAGTCTATTAATTGAGATGTTTCCTGATTATTTTAGTTTAATGAATTAGTTCCACATTTTGGTAGTCAAACCTAAGAGTGCAAAGAATTTATCACTCTAATTAATTGATTTAGACGAGTAAAATAAAAGCAATATCCAATAAAAGATAGTTCCATATAGCAATGGCAATATAGTAAACTACGGAATACATATTGGTAATTTCGATGTGTTCGACAAACAGAAGAATATCTATCAATTGTTCATCAAGGATTCTAAGGAAGTCTTGCCACGATGCAGATAGAGCAGCTAAAACTTAAATAAGAAATCATAACATGTTAATTCATCGCCAGTAAATCAAATGAAAACTAGAATAAATAATCAGAATTCTGATTTAAAGACAGAGAGAGGGTTAAATCAAAATAAGAAATCTACTCCGAATCTAGAGGTTGAGCACTTACACATCTACTTATCTTTTGGAATGGATATAGTGTGTTCTCAAATTTTTGAGGTTGAAAAATTCGCCTCAAAAGTTTATGCAACGATAAATTGTAAAATTTATTGATTTATTTTATTAGTGCACAGAAGAGTTGTTGAGTTAGATGGTAAGGCTTATAGCTGCAAGAAACAGACGTCTTAATAAAAAACAAATAAAAGAAGTAACACTGGAAATATTCTATAATTATTAACAAATCAAATATGATTACTTTGTTATATGCATTATTTTAATATAAATAAAATCTATTAATAGTTGAATAAATATAGAACTCTTTATGAATTTTATACAAATAATCATAAATAAATTAAGAAATTGGCATGAATAACTCTAGTCTAAACGATGATACTCATTATTGTTGCATAATTAATAGTAGAAGAAATTCAGATTCATTTTTTGCAAATCATGTTATAGATGATGAAGTATAATACTATTTTATTTAGGGTGATGTATTAAGTACTAATGCAGTGCTTTTATAACTATATAAAGGGGGTTTGGATATAGAAGTTATCAAAGCCAATTTGGAGAAAGTCAGATTGAATCCGAATTGGTTGAGTTAGAAGAGAGATGATTTGGAGTATTATATACCATAATTTATCAATTACTTGGTATTCAAAGAAAATCATAAAGAATTAATAAATTTCTTAATAAATGTATGCGAAAATCACTATTTTTTTGCGCATTTGACATACTTTTAATTAAAATCCTTATCGCAAGTAGTGAATAAAAAAGTCATAAATCTCAAAGAGGTTTAAGAGTTTTTGATTGAATACATAAATATAATGAAAGCACAATATGGCGATGAATATTTAATCAACGGACATGAATATGTTTCCCATAACATAAACAAAGAAGCAATCTAGATTTATGGCACTGCAGATTATGATTATTCAACACCTAAACTTAATGCATCAGAAATTAATATAAAGCAATACACTTCAATAAATGGAGATGATTAAATGACAGATAGCAGTATAGGATTCTCATCTACAATCAATTTCTGGAATGACATAATCCGAATTTCTGAAAGGTATTTCAATTTGTTATTTAGACTATATTTAGCTTACCCATAAATAATATCCTTAAAGGCAGATCTACAAAGAATAAATGAGAATTTACCATCTTCTGTTTACATACCTTTTGTTAAGGACTAAATTAGAAACTATGTAATCTTGAATATAGTGGCATCAGAAAGCAAAGTATTCTCTACAAAAGAAAGATCACCCTTCTATATTTGCCTAGAAATCTACAGGCCAGATGTTGAAAAGGATCAAAGGAATGACTACAAATAATCCATTGCAATGACCTTACACAAATCTATATTACCATAGAAAATGTCGATAACAGGTTCAATCAATATTGATTAAGCCAAATGTATAGTGTTCCATATATAATAAGATACAAAAGTCCATAATATCTCAGTTTCACAGCCTCTTCAAATCATTGAAGAAGACGTCATTGATGAAACACCCACTGTTTAGTTTTACTCGCCCTAAAATGATGACGAGAAAAGTGTTTATTAATCATTTTTAAAAGAGCAGAATGATGATTTCGTTAGTGTAGCTAGTTCATTTGTATAAGATGTACAACAAAAAAGTATATTGCTTGGAGAAGATGGACAGCATTTATTTGGTGAATCAGCCAAGGATTAGGAACAAAGAATTAGGGATTAGTCCTTATTTGGTAATTTGAAATCCTGGCGATTGGTTCATCTCATTGTGAAATCAGGGGATAATCTGAAATAGGAGTAATTTGCCATGCAACTCTTATCAACTATAGATTAGATATTTATAGCTGAAGATCTTCCTATGAGATTATCCATTTATGAAGTGCTATCCTTGGGACCTAATTATGGATTAATAGAAATGGTGAAAGATGCTATTACAATTGATTCATTAAAACGATAGTTATGGAATAGACAATAAACATTGACCTAATTCTTCGAGTAATCAGTATATCTGTTCGATTATTAGTAATAATTTTAGTGATCGTCATCGAACCAATTTCCTGCATAGCTTAGTTGGATATTCTCTAGCCTGTTATATTCTCTAACTCAAAGATAGACACAATGGAAACATTTTATTAAAAAGAGATGGCCATTTAGTCCATATAGATTTTGGATTTTTTTTGGGAAATGCACCAGGAAAGGGAATCGAAATAGAAAATAAAGTCCCATTTAAGTTGTTAAGTGAATATATCGAAATACTTGGTGGGGTTTAAAGTGATTTGTTTAAAAAGTTTAGAGAACTGTTTTATAAAGGTTTTATGGCCCTTAGAAAACATAGTGATCGAATCTTATTACTTGTAAAAATGATGTAATTTATAACATATGAATCTAAAGGTACTCTGGACATAAGAACTCTATGCCATGTTTTAAAAGAGGAGATAAATCTATAACTCAATTGGAAGAGAGATTTTATTTGTAGGAGGAGAATCAAAGATTAAATGTTATCTGTTAAAAGTATAATCACTCTATATTTATATATTAGTATCATCAATTCGTCCATAGATAACTGGAGGGCAAAATGGTATGATAAATACCAATATTATTTTCAAGGTATCTTTTATTGATTTAAGTTATTTTCATAATTAAATAAATAATTTTGTAAATGCAATTATTTAATCACTTTTCGTCATCTTTTAAATAACAAAAGACAGAATTTTATTTTTGTAACTATATTTAAATTCAATTTTATTTTTTATATAATCTAAATTATAAAATTATTTTTAGCTCTCAAATCAATTTGAGAATCTTATAAAGGTATTCTATCAAAGTCCAAAATATATATATATAGATTTGAAATAAACTAAAGCAATCTATGAAACTAATAATTAGAGGAAGAATTTTTATATATAAATCTATGAGTAATTTGATGATTTCAATAAGACAAGAATACAATACTTATGTCTAATTATTAAATGAAATTTGAAGTATCAATGTTATTAATTATAATTAATTACAAATGAATTAAATAATAGGAAATAATTAAGAAATCGGATATTAGAAGTAATTGCAATCCTTTAAGAGTCACTTATTCATGGGAAAATAATATTATGGATAAAAGAAATATTGATTAATAAATAAAATAAAATGCTTTTCATTCTTGACACAATGGTTAGTGCAGCAGCAGACACTACTGAAATAAGTGCTTCTTCATTTTTTGGTTTTATGGGAGTCACAATGGCTTTGGTGTTGGCAAGTATGAATTAAGGATGAGTCTTTAAGATTTGGGTGCAGGTTATGGAACATTCAAGGCTGGTGCTGGTATAGCAGCCATAGGTATTTGGAAACCTGAGATAATTATGAAATCATTAATACCAGTAGTTATGGCAGGTATTTTGGGTATTTATGGTATGATCGTTGCAGTTTTGCTGTCATAAAAAGGTATGTGTGAGATTTGTAACCCAAAATAGTGAAAAACCCTTTGGAATACTCATATAAGTCTGGATTTGCACATATGGCATCGGGATTATGTTGTGGTTGCAGTTGCATAGCAGCAGGTTTTGCAATTGGCATTGTGGGAGACGTGGGTGTTCGAGGGAATGCACAGTAGGAGAGATTGTTTGTTGGATTGATTTTGATTCTCATTTTCGCAGAGGCTTTGGCATTATATGGTTTAATTGTATCCTTGATCTTATCGCAATCATGAGTTTGAAGATATCATAATATATTATGAAATAAAATCAAAATTCATCTCCTCTAATTCTTCTTGCTAAATTGATATCTCTTTGCATCACAGTCATTCTTTTGGCGTGATGTGCACAAAGAACACTGTCTTCTAAGAGATTAACTATAAATGCTTCCGTTGCCTCTTATAAGGCAAATATGGCGCTACTTTGGAATCTCATTTCTTTTTCATTCACTCCTGCTATCTCTCTTATTAATCTCTAAAAAGGAATCTTCCTTATTAATAAACGAGAGCTCTCTTGAAATTTTCTGATTTCCTTCAAAGCAACTGTTCCAGGTCGGAATCTGTGTGGTTTTCTTTCCTTTCTTTTGGATTTCATTTTTTTTCCTGAGTTTTTAGCAATGCTTTTCTTTGACATCTCTTTGCCTTCTTTGGTACGGGCCATAACTTTAATGCGAGGGAAAAAAAATAAAACAAAAATTATTATTGATTAATCATTTTTCCGTCAAATTTAAATTTGAATTACAATTTATATTCAATCAAATAAACGAGTTTAAATAATGAAATCACGTAAACTATTTAGATTCATTTTATAAAAGATAGATTAACTATGTGTTTAATTGAAAAGCATTATTAATTAAATATTATTGTAAAATTAAACAACTGATTAATAACTTTATACAATATTACGGGTTTTATGTAGTTGACGATCCCCAAATATTCGAACGTGGGGTAATAGCTCATTTGGTAGAGCGTATGCTTAGCATGCATGAGGCGCTGAGATCGAAGCTCGGTTGCTCCATATTTTTTATTTTTTATTTTTATAATAATTCACACGTATTATAATATTATAACATTCATGTTATTCTACGTTAGAACTCAATAGTTTATACCAAAATCAATACGATCTGATAGTTGATCAAGTATTATATATGTGTTTTAAGTGATTGAGGTTGAACGATGATTGCAATGCATAGAGTTTTGGACTTTTGAGATGATTGTGCAGATGAAAAATAATGATTGATGGAAAATCTATTGCGAAGATGGTCACAAGCACAGAATGTGTCCCAATTATAAAATATGGAGGTATTAATAATTTATATTCCAATTATATTAAAATTAGATATTTATTTTTTTAAATAAATAATGAGCACCTAATAGACCCAAAGACCTCAAAAATAAAAGCTTGATCCAGCAGATAACTAATTGCACGTGTCATCAAAGAAGAGTGCTAAGGAATTCATTTTCATCGCTAAAATATTTTTGAAGAAATTCAATAGTGTTGAATTACATGCATTAGGTGAAGCCACAAAGATCAGTGTTAGAGTAGCTGAAAATTTGTAGAGATAAGGTATTGAAAATCTTATCCTCTAGGTTTAATTACAATATCTAAGATTAATTCTTTCACAACCGATATCGATGGAAGAAAAAGAGTGAAATTGGTTATCATTTTGCAATTGACCTAAGACGGAAAAGCAAGAATTGATCAAGAATTATAAGCTTGAGTGATTAAGTGATGGCAAATAGTATACATATATTAATTTGTTTATATTTATCAGTATGAATCCTGAATAAGTCCTCTTTATATTAATATATTGTCTCTATACCCTTATAGAATAATTTAATTAAATATCACATCAAATTTCCCCTACTTTATATATTTATGCAGAATTGCAATAGTATTAATAATTATGCTGGTCATTAAATAGAATTCACGAATGCTACTCTTCAATTTTGATTAAGAGAATCAATTAGAACTATAATCAAGAGGTTTCTACTACTATTGATAGCTTCATATTGATTTCTCTTCCCAAGATCATGCAGGTTGATCTAATATTAAATTTAATATAAATGCTCTTTACCTAATATATTAATAAGTATTTTCAATTTAAATATGTTTAATTTTACTAATTCATAGATTGTTAGGTTTAATTAGTGATCTTATTTTATTTTGAATCTTGTACTAATTTTAGGAATATTTGTTTTTGTATATATAACTACCATATTTAGTTTCTTGGATTTAAGAGATTTGATGGTCCAAAAATATGAAATAAAAGGATATTTTTAATCCTAATGAGCTATAAATTTATTGTTTTGTTATTATTTCAATTCATCTAATTATTTAACAGTTTTCAACAACCATAAAGTTTAAATTATCTAAGAACTGTTATTAAGAGAACAAAATTGAAGTGTTACAATTAAAATCTAACAAATATTGAAGTTATTTTATTTAATGATTATAACACTGGGGCTTATTTAATAGAGATATTATTGACTTTAAAATCTTGTAATATCCATTTTTCTATTTAATTTTATAGGTAGTCATTTCATATTATGTTATTAGAATAAATTATTATAGATTCACATTCATAACTGCAATTAATGAATAGTTTGTTTATTAAAAAACACGTTTAATCTATTTTTATTTTTGGTTCTTAGTTATTAATCTGAGATGTAAAACAATATATATGTAATTAAAATATAAATATGGATCCATTTTATGAGGATTACACTCCAACAACAAACAATAAAGATGTAATAGATAAAGAGTATGAAATTAGATTAAAATATATCGAAATGGAGATTCAAATTTATGTTGCACGGTAACAATAAGAGATAATACGAAATTTCATGAAATACGTAAAACACTGCAATAAAAATGGGACACTTATTTTAATCGTCTTCGTTTATTCAACTAGGAAGGTGTGGAGATAACAGAGGACGATATTGATTATATAAAAAATGGAACTGTGTTGTTTGCTTCTAAGGGTATGAATTAAAGTAACTATATTTATAGGTGAAGAATTCGATGAGAGTTTTTAATTAGCAGAATATGAACAACTTCAAGACATTGGAGAAGGAGGGTTTGGTAAGGTTGTTTTGGGTAGACACAAACAAACAGGAGAGAAAGTAGCAATCAAAATGGTGAAATAAACATTGACTAATGCTTAAGTAATAACAAATTAAAATGTAGGATGTTGATATGATATTTAGAGAGGCTAGAGCTCTTAAGTCTTTAAAGCATGATAACATTGTTAAGATTTATAATGCATTCTTTTTACAAAATTTGTAAACGGTGTATATAATGGAATATTTGGAAGGTGGTGAATTGCTTTAATATTTACAAACAAAAGGAAAATTCGAGGAGAATGAAGCAAGACATTATTTCAAATAGCTTGTTAGTGCTATTTCATTTTGTCACTAAAAGAAAATTATTCATAGAGATTTAAAATTAGAAAATCTGTTGTTAACTAGCAAAGATTCAGGTGTAATTAAATGCATCGATTTCGGTATCTCTGGTTTTGCTTCAAATGATAATCCTGAAAATGCAGACGCAGGAAGTCTTCGATATATGGCTCCAGAACTATTGAAAGGTATTAGAATAATTGATCAATTTAGGATTGGATAAAGCAGTCTCTCCCTTAGTGGATGTTTGGTCAATGGGCATAATTCTATATGGAATGTTATTCGGAACTTTACCATTTACTGGCAACACCAATAAGGAAATTATCGCTTAAATCTCAGAAGGTCGAGTAATGATCCCAACAGATCTTATTAACAAATTGTCCCAAAATTGTTAAGACTGTCTTTATCGTGCTTTAGAACCAGACCCAAAAAAGAGAATAACTTCAATTGAGTTATTAAATCACCCATTTGTGACAAATGAAAATACTCTCAGCACAAATTCGAATAGTACAAATAAGTAATCATTGTATTCTAAATATTAAGGCCCAAACTTTAAAATTAATTATAGCAAATCGATGAGGTTGAAATCCCTGTTCAAAAGTAAATGTAATCGGCAACTAATAAAAAATAAAATCTTCAATTTTCTAAATAACATCCTTAAAGTTCGAGACAATTGACTCAGGCTCAAAAGAAAACTCCCTAATAATCCCCTTTATTATAAAAACAATCATAATCAGTTGGTTAGACAACAAAGATGACTAAGTTTAGTAAAAAGTGATAAATGCTTTCAAAATAAATATATATATATATAGAACAGATTCAAACTTCTTTTGAATGTATTTTTCTAGAACCAGAATTAACTGAGATAGCATTAGCTTCATCAGATACTCCTATTTCTTATTCCAATTCGCTTAAAGATATCTCTTGTTTCATGTCCATGTCTATTAATTGATATCCAAAATAATACTTATTTTATTGTCATCTTCATTCTCCAGATCCATATTTGGATAGAATGAATAAGGAACATCATGAAAATGAATTCCTGGTGCATTTTCTAAGTTTTTCAGATGATCATACACTTGAGATACAATTTTGTTTAAATCTTCAGCTTTATTTTTGTTTTCAACATGTTCTTGGATTGGAAAGTGTAAATGATAATCCCCGCTATAATTTTTATAGTAAACATCATTAGTTGGAATAGGCTATATTCAATAGTAATCTCCATACCTCGTCAATATTCTATCCTAAGCATAACCCTGTCTCGTAAGCCCAACATCTAGACACATTCTAAATGGTATAGCCTCCTCCTCCTAAAAGAATCAATGGAACTCCAAATTATTTCATATAGGTAATACACTATCCATGTCCTCTTTTAATAATATTATTCAATTTTACTTTATGGATAAATTTAGTGCTCCTAATCGATCCAGTGATAATGAATCTGCACCACATTACACAACAACGCAATCAGGACGAAAAGTCTCCATGACTCTGCTTGTAACTTTCTTAAACAAATCTAAGTAAGGTCCATCTGAAATCCCTGGTTTTAACGGCACATTAACTGCGTAATATCTGCCTACTCCTAACCCTACTGAATTCAATTATCCAGTTCCTGGAAAGAAGTCATCTCCATATTAATGAAATGATAAAGTCATGACTCTATTGGTTAAATAGAATGCTTCTTCAACTCCATCTCCATGATGACAATCTATATCCACATACAAGACTCGAACATAAATTCTCAATAACTCTAAAATACACAAGACTATATCGTTTATATAACAAAATCCAGCAGCCTCTTTTTTCTTAGCATGATGCAATCCTCCAGACCAATTGATTGCTATATCTGCTTATCCAGTTAAAATTGTATGTGCGCAATCTATACTAGCACCTGCACTGAATTAACAATATGAGAAAAGGCCTGAAAATGTAGGATTATCTGCTGAGTCTCCTACTTTGTATTCTGCATTCAGATTCTTAGTATTCTTATTTTGACTCCATTTAGTTATTAATCGATATTCTTCAAGTAGGTTCTCAGGTATTACACCATCATTATTTGTTGAACAGTACTCTTTTACAAAGTTTACCTTATTGTCACTCATATACTAACTTAAATAAGTAACGTATTCAGGATCATGAAACTTTTTCAATTCTTCTAATTATGCTTCTCTAATCAGATATACATCCAATGATCTATATAGTCTATCTTTATATATGTTTCAACTACCCAAAATTTACTATTAAGCTATGAGCCATTGCGATACGTTTAGGTTTCATAGGATGTTCCTTACCATAATGAAATTTTCCTATCAATCTATTATAAAAGTATGCCACTCTTCTACTTGAATCCGAATCAGCTTAAATCATGTATTAATTATTTAATTATAATATTAATATTAAATTTACTATTATTCAATAAATGCTTTATTAAAATATTATAATTGGCTCATATATAATTAAAATTAGAATAAATATTAATTTACATATTTATAATAATTATTTAGTTTCATAACAAACTCAAATCAATCCTTGCAAATTTGAAGTAGTTTATATAAACATAAAATTTCATTATCTCTAACTGAAAGATCTCTAAGCAGAATCGATCTTAGAACATAATAACATTTTCAGAGTAGATTTAGTAATCTTATATTCAAAACTTTTATCCAAATATTGAATTTATTTATTTGTGCTTCCAGCTTATCTAAAATATCAAAGATATTACTATTCTTTTTATTTCATAGGACTTGACTCATTATCAAATGTTATTTTGTTAAATGAATACTATACAACCTTGGGTAATTAGACAGGGTAAACATAATCATAATTTCTGTAATATTATTTTTAAGAAATCTAGGTTTAATTCAGTAGCTTCTTTGATGATTGAGAGTGTTTCTCAGTAAAAGATAAATTTTTTTTACTTTCCCCCAACTCCAATTGAAGAGTGACTAATTATTATTTGATATCTAAACAACTGTCATTATTACTAAATTTGTCTCCCTAACGTTGAGGAGAGGGATTTGTGAACTTAATTTTCTTCTCTGATTTTAAAATCTTCGAAGGTTTAAATGAAGGATATTTTAAAACTTTATTATTCAAGTAGATTTAATTTTCCATTACATTCCGCCTTGGTTCCTTCTTCTTTTGTTGTAATACAATCTAATCAATCTTAAATTTCGATAGTATTTATAAAACATCACATTTTTCTGGGCTTATCAAGGCTTATTCTGCAAAAAGTTTAACTGAACCAATTGAGGGTCTTATTTCAGGATCATAACAGAGTAATATTCTTAATAAATTATTTAAATTCAGACTATATTATGGATGATAAGTAAATTTGATTCCTTTTAGTATTTATTTATGTAAAACACTAATATTGTTTGCTTTGAAGGGTTATTCCTTAAACATTAATTAAAAAACCAAAACACCAAGCATCCAAATATCAGATCTACAATCATATTTTCTTACTTTTACAAATTCTGGAGCTAATAAATATATATCTTAATAGTTTTCTTAATAAAGATATTATAAAATATTCATTTCTCCCAAAATTGTAGTTTGCTAAGAACAAAATATATTTGATAAACTTATTTTTCCATGAGGATTCTTCGGATGGAATAATTCAAGTGCTGAACAAATCTAGTAATTTCAATTAAAAATACCTATATTAGAACATTAAGGATTTCTTATTCTTTTAAAGGACATTAATATTGTGTGTCGTGATAATCACTTATTACTCTTTTAATTATACATCAAAGTACCCTAAATAAGTATTATCTGCATCATGTGAGGCTTCATAAAATTTAACTAGATGAGGATTGCAAGTTTTGGATAGTTTATCAATAAATTGTAATAGAGAAGTTACTGTGTTCTTATTAATATCCTCTAAACTGTACAATCTCAAGATGTATGGTTTATTGAGTCTTTTAAGGATAATAGTTTTTTTGAATTTATTACATCGAAGCACCTCTACAACATTAAATTATGGATAAAGTTTTTCGATGTCCTTCTTTAATGATTTCATAATGTTCTTGTGATATTAATTTTATTATTTATCATAGTTATAGAATTCGTGTCACTAGTGGATATTTCAAAATTGATTGAGAAATACTATATCAAAAATTAGAGTTAGATTCCAAATAAACAGCCAAGCTTGTAATGATTCAATAGGAAAACCAAAAAAATAATGAAGGATCTTATATACTTTTTTATTTTGATATTTTAAATTGGTTGATTAAATCTTTATTTGTTGTGTTACAAGATTAAAGCATGTTGAAATTTTCACGAATTTGTGAAATTATGGTTGCCTAAAAATAATAAATATTTTTATTAATTGTTATATAAAATTTAATGTAAATAATTACTGGTGATGAAACAGGATTATTGAAATTGATTGATTTGGAGAAAAAGGAGGTGGTTAGGAAATATGGGGAATAAGGAAAGGAGTTTAAAATAATCTAAATACTCACTCTGAAAATATCTGACATTAGCTTTTTTCTGGTTTTGAGGGAGGAAAGCTTGGTATTATTGGATAATGAATTAAATGAAATAACACAAATCAGCATTGATGCATCACCTTTAAAAGCATTTTGTGATTCAAATCATGATATCTATATAATTTATACCAACAGAAAAATTAATCATGTAAAGTATGACTAAGATCAAAACATATTTCTTTAATAAGCAAATATTAACTCACAGGATTTTTTGCCATTAACCAATTGTAAAGATAAGTATGTGACTTCTGCTGCTATCTCTAATGATTAAGCATTGTTATTGGTAACTTATTTTGGTGCTCCACCATCCATTTTCAATTTAAAATAGAAAAAATTATAATGGCAATCAAGGAATGTAAAAAATGATGAATTAGATCTCTAAGTCAAAATGCATGATTATGATGGATTGTTCTTAGATGACTATTCCGTCGGTGTTATTACAACCCACTTAACCTTAAGAATATATAGTATTCTAGAACAGAGATCATAACCAGTTGCTGAGCATTCCTTAAAGCATTCAAAAACCAAAATCAAAATAATCAGACCTTATAATGAAAAATATTATATGATTAATGAGAGAGGAGAAATTTTAATTTACAAGAAAAATTTTACTTTTGAGAGAATGATTAAGGGTACCTTTGGAGCTGTCAGAGATGTGGCTTTTAATAAGGAATACATCTACACAGTTAGCATTGATCGTTTTTTAAGGTTTATTTTCATGTTTATTTTAGGGTTTATCACAATGAAAATGTAAGAATTCCATTATCAATTAATTTATCACAAAGGTTGCAAGCCATCAATTTCTATTGTGCTGAATACAAAGATATTGAGATAGAGAAAAAATAAGAAAAGATTTGGACAATATAAAATGTGAAAAGAGGCCAAGGCTAGATTTGCTGGAATGAGAAGACACACCATTAAATTGCCATATTTGGATAAGATGTTTGAGAATCATAAGCTTAATAAATAAAAAAAAGAATAATAAAAGCTGAAATAAGAAGAATAAGAAATGGAAATTAAACAAGAATACAATGAAGAAGATTAACAACCTAAATTTAGAAGTATAGAGAATAAGAAAATTTCAAAATAACAATAAAAAAAGAAGATTCTAGGATTAAAGAAATAAAAGTTACTTGACAATAGACCAAATAGAAAAATGAAATGAAATGATTATCTGTTACATAATGTTTAAATTTTTAATAGCAATTAATTATGATAATACAAAAATCTATAATCTCATTTTTGAATTATGGATAATATTTTATCAAATACTATTAGATATTACTATCAATAATTTAAAAGAAATCAGTAGTTATGATGAAAGAGAGAGACTATCGAATTTATGATAAACAGAATGGATTTAGTATTAAACATCAAATTAGGTATGTTATGTATTATAATAATGAACTAGTGGAAAAATTATTATTTATGTTCATTTATTTGTGGAGCTTGAGCTTTGACTAGAGCCTTCTTAGTAGTTTCTAGTTTTTTGTTTGAGTTACAAATAATCAGATAGTATGGATTTCAACCATTTCCAGGCCTGTTTCAGTGATGGCTACTCTCGAAAAGAATTTTCAGGGTGGCAACTAATCACCATATGCAATAATGATTCAACAAATTTGTGTTCATGGGAATATTTAGATCTTCCTTAATATAATAGTACTTTATGATTTGCAATTCTTCTGAAATATCTTAATTTTTTTAATTACTTGTAATGAGATCTTGTTCTAGTTTGAGAATCGTCTTTTGTAACTCAATATTAGTTTTTTATTACTAACTATTGTGCATAATCTCATGATGTAATTTATTGGATAGTTGATTTAATTCTTTGTTTAATTCATCTATACATTCTTGATCTGTATTGGAGCTTTTGTATTTAATTTCTAATTGATTTTTTAGATCTTTGACTTAATTGAGAAGTAACTGTTCTACCTTTCTCAATTGAGTTATAACATTATTCAAATTTTATATTTCTTCATCCAAATCTTTTTACCTTTTTGGTAATGATTTACTGGAACTCTTTTTTGTAAAAATAGTATCCTGATTAAGAGATTTGTTGGCAGTATATGAATCTGTTGATATATTGCCTTCAGCTTCGCTTTCACGAATAGAATACAACATTGAAATTTTAACGAAATTTATTAATAAATATATGAATATTTTTAGGTGAATAATTTTGTTTATCATTATCTAAATATACCTCCTTTTTTTAAGGCATTTTCAGCATCTTTGATGGCTAAGAGTTCATTATCATATTATTGAATTAAGGAGTTATGTGAAGCAGTTCTAAGTAAACATATTAATTCACTCTATACCTTTCAATCCATCTATTTTAAGTTGCAGTGAGATTGTCTTCAGCTTCACTCAAATTAAGTCTTGCATCATTAAGAATTGCATTAAGTGCCTTAATTTCACCATCCTTGGTCTCAATTTCAGTTTACAACAAAGGAATCAAGACATCTCTAATTCCAGTTATTTTGGCTTGAATTTCTGATAAAATGTCTTATTGTAATTTGGATTAGGCATCAAACTGATTTTATAAAGATGTTTATCCATCGATTAAGGATTGTCTCAATTAATTCATATAATTGATAACCTTGTTGAGATTCTCTTAATCAACATAGTTATTTTAGGCAATTTAAGTGAGTGCCTTTACTAATGGCTAATAGAAGACTCTCTTGGAGGAGAGTTATTTGAGACTATTATTAAATATGAGCAATACTGGGTGTGCATCTTTGATGAGATCTCTTTGATGTTGTCTGATTTTTATAACAAGGATGTCTCATCTTTTACTTCCTTTAACAATGCAATAGCTTAATCTAATACAGCAATTGTATCTGCATATTCATTGAATTATCTAGTAAATATAGATTTATCTGAGTTGATTTGAGCTTCCTTTGCATTAAATAATTTTGTAGCATCATAAAGATCTTACTTGGCTTCAGTCAAAAGTTATTACAATCTAGCTCTTTCATCAGTCAAATCCTTGACATCAACCTCTAATTAGGCAATCTTTCGAATTATAAAACACATAAAACTACCTTGTTCTTAAAGTCTGTAATTTAATTTTAGTAGTATTGTACATCTGCTTGATATTGTTGATATTCTTGTTCATAGAAAGCATTTTCCTCAACCTTTCTTTCTTTAAAAGATTCAGCCAATTCATCTAGAGCAACAAACAATTCTTAGAAATTAAAGTCTTTAGATGCTACTTCTGATAATGCTACAATCACTGATTAGAATGGATGTACTTGATCACCAACTGTCGATAATATCCCTTAGCTATTTATCATGATCATTTATACTTGGCTATTGTCAAATACAAGAGAGTCAATGTGATGAATACTTTCATTTTATTAATATTAATCCGTTTTTATGTGTATATATTAAACTTGATAAAACAATCATTCAATTATCATACTGATTTCTCGTTTTTGCCTAATGTGATTTCTTAATCATTGATCATTATCAAATTAACCTAGATTATATTTTAACATAATTTACATTTTTCAGATCAGTATAAAACATTCCAATAAAAAATGAATTCATTAAATATAGACTATAAGACAAGGTCGAATATATTTCACTGACCATATTGGCTATAAAGTCTTCTGAAGCACTTAGACCATCATTTATATTTGGTTCTCCTTGAGCCATAGGCATACCCATGAAAAAACTTATGAAATTTACAGATAAAACTAATCATATAATATCCTAGACTTACAAGCAGCGAATAAAAAGCAAATAACAGTATATAAAGCAGCCTTAATTTACTGACTTAATGAAAACTCTTTTGATTAATTAGAAATGATCAAGAATTATGAATTCTACTTATAACACATATAATAACTAGTAAAGAGGAAGTTCATAATAAAGGAGAAGGTTAACAAAATCCTATCTTCAGTATCTAAAGTAATAATAAAAATATATTATAAGAATTTAAGATACAGAGGAAATTGATTTGGTTTTTCTATTCAATTGGTAGTAATGCAAAAGCTAAAAATGCCAAATGGGCTAAAACTCCACTCAAAAAGATTTAAAAGGAAAAAGGTTTAAGAGAGCCATGTCTTGAACCAAACCTCTTTCTTTTTGGAATTTTTTAATTTGCTTAGTAAACCAAATAATAAATCAAGATTCCCATCAAAGTAATTAATGCATTTCCGATCTAAAATGAGTAATATTAAAGGGCATACAGTGAATAATTAATTTTTCTAGAATGGCAATTCTAAGAATAAAGGGAAGGTTTGTGCCCTTGGATATTGGAATTAGCTTAAAATTGCAGCAATGAGAACAATGAATGATATTGAGGTGTACATTGGTGGCAAATAGGTTATTTGCTATTTTAGATTTGTTTAAGTCCCTGCAATTAAATCTCTGTCATTAAGGCTGACAAATGATTATTGTTCATCCTCTTTTGAGATTTCATTCAAAATCATCAACAAAAACAAATAAATTATATAATTATTATATTAAACAATCAAACCTTATAACTCTTATTCTAACTCTTAGCATTACGACTGTAGTTTTCTAAATATTGACTATCTAAGGTGAGATTCTTATAACCAATTGAAATATCCAATTTTTTACCCTTTAAGGTAGATTCCCTCATTTTAGGTCTACTTTTAAACTCTAAATATTTACCTAGAGTTTGGAACAACTTAATATTGATTCAAATTAGGTTCTGGTTCATCTTATTCGGTTTTAATGCGAATATCTTAAATGTTTCTTTTGCCTGTAACTACAATACTATTATTAATGTTGGAATTGATGTTGATGTAGTTGTTGTTCACTTAAGGTGTTTTTTTATAAAATGTTCCACCTATGCTATAAAATCACAATATAATTACTTTTGGCTGTTTGTGTATTTTTGTTAAGTAATTTTTAAGATTTATTGAATTTATTTAGATCTATTTTTCTTTTCAGATGAAAGTGTGGGTGTGGCTCTAAATCCAAGATTGGAAGGAGGTTTAGTGATCACACTTTCTCTTCCTTGGCTTTAACTAGCTGCATTCAAGGAGAGTTCTGTTGGTTTGGTGATGGAAGTGTTAGATATGTTTGTTCCCCTTAATTTCTGCATTCTAAACTATTACAATTACTAACCTGGAGGATTTCAAGTTTGGAGCATAGTTGTGTTACTTGGTTTTGATCTATGATTCATCAACAATAAGATCGGTTAATTTCATAAGTCTCTCATTTAATGCTTTCATAAAATGTGGCTATGTTGCATCAGTCAATCGATCCAAATTATCACAATTTAGATTATAAGTAGTAACATCCTTTAGAGATTACAAAGATGTATCGGATGAAGATTCATAGTTTTCTTTGGGAAATTTAAAAGTGTGATTTATTTTACAACTCTTATATCTAAGTTTGAATTAAATTTGAGATTACTTCATTTCTATTTCGAGTTTGAAATCTTCAACTTCAGAATCCTCATCAGGCTAAGTTTTAGTAATTAATTCTAATGGGGCTTGTGGCTTAACAATCTTTTGATATATTAGATATTTCATGAGATCCTTATCAATATTTTTAGGTTGCTGCAATTATGGACTCTTAGATTTTTTATTTCTGTTGGACATAATCAAAATTAATTATAAAATTATTATACGAAATACTCATTAATTACTAATATGTTATGCATATATCTCTTTCTTTCCTCTCTTCTTTCAAATGCTACTCAATCCTAGATCGTGAGACTATGGTAAATGTGTAATTTATATAATTTGTATATTAACAATAATTTATGAATAAATATTATTTATTTTAGATATTGAAATGATTAGTGGTTTATTATACAGTCCAAATTGGACATTCGTCGACAAAATCTTGAGAGACCCTTAATTGGTAGATCTTGAGTATTTTGTTGGAGGTGGTCCAGGACATGATTGGCTTGCAAAAGTCGTAAGAGTAGATCAATAAAAGTAATGCATGCCTAAATTTATTTTTATTTAGATTTTTAGGTCCAAGGGCTAAATTTGAGAGATAATTTAAGGAAGACCCCAAAACTTGGGAAGTTTTCTCTGACAATTTCTATCGTCTTACAGTCCTTGCTGGAGTTGAAAGATTACTCACTCTTAGATAAGCATATGGAGGTTTGAAGACCAGATTTACCTTTGGAGATTCTAACACGTATTCCATAGCTTAATTTATAGAGCTTGTCTTTAATAAATATTCAATCAAGGATTATTCAAGGGGTATTTTAGGGGAGCATTATTAAATGCCTTCTAATTTTTAACAGTTTGGGCTCATCCATTGGTATACAGCAGAGGCAATGGATATGCTTCTCATTATCTATACTCTTCATTATTTGAATTGATTACTTATCCAATTGATACAATAAAGACTATTATATACTCTGATGTTCAAGGAAGATATAAGGGGGCATTCGATGTAATTGAATAAGTAATCAATCAAGTAAAGTCTAGGTTTATGCAAGAAATGGATTCAGTCATTTTTACAGAGGAATTGTCTTCAAATTGGCCTTCAATGGAACATTAATCTATCATCTCAGAAATGTCTATGAATAAGATTACATTCAATAAGTAATACTGCTTCTTATTACTCTTAGTTGGTATCGACACCTTTATTGGCTATTGGTTATGGATTCCTTACTATCAAGACAAGATTGCAATTAGCAAGCACAGATTTGAGTTTCTAATAAACAAATCAAAAGGGAAGAATAGCTGCAAACCTCTTCGCTTAAAAGACACCCTTCAGCATCTACAGAGGTGTTATTCCATTCCTGTTGTTAACTGACTTCTTCCACTACAAATTATTTGCACTTTATTCATCCACTGCTCAATCAAGAACTTTGGATGAATTCCTCAATCAATATAAACATCAAATAGGAAGTCCAAAGGATGAAAATTTATGGCAATGATTATGCAAATAATCAACAAAATGTCAATATAAAATAAAAGTATTTATAACTTGGATATAATTTTATTCTTATTTGCCTATTTCTGAACATTCCTTTATATCCTACTTCTTTTCTAACACTTTTCTATAACAATATCTAAAAGTGTTCATAATAATTAAATGAAAATAAAATATAATGTAAAATCGTTAAGAATTACAATCAAACCCTATTTTCCAATAGGTCTGTCAATAACTCAACTTTTAACCTGATTAATTAGAACCATAAGGATTTGAAGAGTTCTACTAAGCAAATTAAAAGAAATACAATATGGATGAAGAAGGTATAATTCAAATTTCATCATAGCTTGGATAGTATTATGGGAAGGACAAGAAGAAAAGAAATAAAATAAGTTACAACAAGTACTAAAAATAGTTGAATAAGAAGAAAGAAAAGCAGAAGAGGAAAAAAAAAAATCTTATGCTCATTTATTAAATTAGTTAAGTCAGAGTCAATCTACTAAAGTTTAACAAAAATAATTGGAAAAATTAAGAGCAGGTAATCTTAAGGATCTCAGATTTTATGTGGAATAATAAATTTCAGAATTAACAAATAAGAAGAGTTTTATCCCTAGATATAAAGAAATTGATATTTATCATGAAAGAAGAAAAATTGAGATGGATTAAGAAAGAGACAAAGTCCTTGAAACCAAAATTTTAAAATTCACTCCTCCTTTGGAGACAAAAAAGAAAATTGATAGTAATTTAGTTTTTGTAGGGTTGGACAAACTTGCTCCAAGATAAATTAAATTAAGTTCATACGAATTTGATGTTGAGAATTACGATCCTGAAGATGATGTGAATTATGAATTAGAATAACAACTATTAGATCAAATAGAAGAAGAACTTAGGCAAGGAAAAAGAACAGATAAAAATGTCACAGAAAATGTCAGAAGACCATAAGTAAAGAAGAAAAAAGGAAGTTAAATATAGGAAGTATAAAAAAGAAATTAAGAATAAATGGAAGAAAAAAGAAATTAATTAATAGAGAAATAGGAGAAGGAGGATGAAAGAGTTAATTAGAGGTAACTCTAAAAATAAAGAGAATTAAAATAGAAGATAATATCTAATTTTATGAGACAATAAGATAAGAAGGAAAATTAAAATAGAATATAATTAGTTGATGAATTGAACAATGAATTATTACAAAAAAAAATTGCTGAAAAGAAAAAAAAAGTAGATAAATTCCAAAAGAATAAATCTAACTATCATAAATAAAAATTTTAAATCAATAGATAATTGGATGATTATGATATGAATTTAAATCAACTTCTTGAGGATTATCAAGATGGAATGATATCAGCAAATGCATTAGAATAAGCCATTTCTGATGTTCCAGTCAAGATATCAGCTTAAAAAGCTTAATCTCAAAAACCCCAATTATCTCAAAGGAAAAAAGCTCCCAAAGCTTTAAGTTAAAAAAATTAATAAGAATTAGTTGATTTAGAACAAAAACATAACTTGGAATTAAGAATGGTATTATTTTGATTTATTTCTTAGTTAATCGAAAGAGAAGAACTTGCTGAATTAAATAGATAAAAATCAATTAATAATGGTGTCACATAAGATATATTAGAATTGTTTGAAAAATAAAGAGAAGCCTCTAAAAAGAGAATCTAAAACACTTTAACAAAATAAAAAATGGAGATTTAAAATAAATTAAGATTGCATTCGAAATCTCGCTGATATCAAATGATTTTACACTATATATTATTCATTTTTGAAACAAAGAAATAAATACACTGGTCTAAATTCTAATCATGAGCTTTTCCCTATCAATATTCAAATAAACATATTACCAATTACTTTTAAATATAAATATAAATTTATTAATTAAATTATTAAGAACTTATTTTAAGTTATGTAAATATTTATAAAAAAATATCAATTGCATAAGTTTGATCAACATTTAAATACAATCTAATAATAAATATAATGCAAAAATTAACTCTATTAAATATGGATTAATAAAATTGAATAAATAAAAACCTTTTATAAATTGTTGTTTCGTTTAGTTTTATGTTAATTTGTAATAGATATCAGATTTCTAACTTAATGAGTTTTAAATAGGGATAATTTAAAGATTTATTTTTTAGCAAATAAACGATATCTATTTTGATTATCATCTTTCAATATTAAAGATAATTGTATTTTATTTCTACAAAATATGGATAGTCATACTAATTTGAGACCAAAGATATTTATACAAATACAAAATGACTTTAAGAAATAGTTTTATTCTGATGATGACGCTGAAGTAACTCCAAAACGACCTCTAATTACAAAACCCTCGAAGTTTTCAAAAGGCGAAGGATAACAATTTTAGACTGACGATTCCGACAATACACCTCAAAAATTAACATCCCCGAGTTCACCTAAAGGATAAAATAAATTATCAAAATTTAAATAGAAGGAAAGCCACATAGAAAAAGATTCTGATATTTAATTTGACTCCAATGAGGAAGACAAGAAAGAATAACCTTAAATTATTTAAAACAATCAAAAAACTGAACCTTAATATGATATTTAGTAGATGTCACGTTAAATGGAATAAAAATATCAAAATCCGAAATCTGCATTTTAACATCCACCTATTTAGAAGTCCAATTCCTCAAAATAGGTTATGATAAAGCATATTAATATCAAAGAACACCCATTTGGACATTTGGTTTATGGCAAAAACATTAACTAAAGTGACTATCTAAGATATTTGTAAATAGTTCAGAGTGGATTATTATATGCACATCATTCTTTAAAAGGGCCATCAGAAAAATTTCTGAGAAGTAAGTTTATTCGACTTCGAGAATCGAATCAAAGAAAACCCAAATTTTTGATTCTTGATTTGGATGAAACCTTGATTCACAGTTGCACATTCAGAGACTCTCCTTAAGTTACAATTACACTATAAGATGACGAAGATAAAGTCGATGTAAAATCTCTCTTTATTTTAGTTATTTTTCAATGTTAGACCCTTTTGCAAAGAATTTCTAAGGGAAATGTCGAACTATTATAACATCTACATATTTACTGCTTCATCAGAACTGTATGCTAATGCAATTGTAAATCATTTGGATCCAAACAGACAGTATATAAATGATGTTTTGTGCAGAAACAACTGTTTTGAAACTAAAAATGGGTTTTTTATTAAAGATTTGAGAATCATAACAAATAGACATTTAAAAGATATTGTAATTGTTGATAACCTGCCACATTCGTTTGGATTATAATTAGAAAACGGAATTCCAATTTTGGAATACTTGTGCAACCCAAAAGATGAAGAATTAAAGTATTTGTAAAAGTACCTCATCAAATTAAGTAAAGAAGAGGATGTAAGGCTCTTTAATAAATAAAATCTAAAATTACTCAGTTTAATTGATTTTAAACTTAATATCTGATGTTTATAAAATGTTAACTTGTTCTTCATATCTATATATCTTAATTATTTACTGCTATTTTATGAACAGAATCACAAGGAACTTAAGAGCATTGTTGATGTTAATGTTTTATCCATCATTTTTCTCATTTATTTTATTCTTAACTATACAAATTGCAAATCATTTAATTATAAGCATCTTCTTTATTATAATATGTGTTTACTTTTATATCACTGACAATTGTAAATATTTTGTTAGAATCTGTAGTTTATATGAGAATGGAAATGAAGAAATTCTAAAGGAAAATCTGAATATGATTTTAAATTGAATTTAATAATAATTTATGTTAAGCTTAGATCAATAAGAATTAATTATACAGAGAATAAAATCAAAAAAGCCAATATTCAAGACTATATGTGAAATAGAGTATTTAATCAATTAATTCCTTTAGACAATTTCCCAAGTTGATTAAGAGTAGAGAAGCAATTCAAAAATCAATTTTATCATAAATTCAAAGATCAGTTTCAAATACAGATATGGATCCCTTGGCATATGGATAAAAAGAATTAAAAGATGTGATGACCTATTTGGAAGAACAATTAAAAACTGTTTTCTTACCCTCTCTAAGTTTAGATGAGAGAAAAAAATCAAAATTTTTGATGAAATAAGAATCCAAACAACTTGATTATGAGGAAAGCAACCATCCAAAAAAATAAAGAGTAGATAAAAACAAGTGTAGGAAATGCAAACAATCAACTATACCTATGATATTAAACTTATTATAACAAACAGAAAACTAGGACACAAATCCTCATGTTACTATGAAATCTATTAGATAATAAATCGTGTAAAAATCATAGAAAAAAGAAGAATAGTCAGAATCTAAAGTACCATACATCGCATTTGACTACTCTGATCGCATTATTATTTGTAAGAGATGCAGATTCAAATTTCATGCTGAATGCGTCTAAGTGCTTGATAACATCAATGATTGGATTTGCGATTATTGTTTGGACAGAATATAGGAACTCAAAAATTCTAATTAATGGGATTATATCAATAATAAATAGTTGAAATAGCAAATATGTCCAACTTCCGAATAAAAGAAGATCAATTTGTCACTAATAGAAAGAATTTAGAAAAAATAGAAAATCTTTATTATTGAAGAAATGGAAATCACGCCATTCAAACCTATTGATTAAATATCAGACTTCTTAAGGAAATATCCACTCTATAGAGGATAGAATGGAAAAATAAAATATCCTGTTTTAGAAAAGTTGGCTCTAGATTACCCAGAAGTCTTGGAAATTAAATAGAAACCATAACCATATATGATAAATTCAAATTTAGTTGAGGAAATCCTTAAAATCTAAACAAGCTATTAAATATTATTCCCCTAATGCTAAACTCCTCAAAATGTTAATCAAGATTATATTGAGAAAAATTTCTATGAAATTCTTATGAATTTGCTTACTGAATACTTTAATGAATTTATGCAATCAGACGTAGTCAAATTTGATAAGTATTGCACTTAGGCAAATGTTTAAGCAAATGCTTTTTTAGAAATAATGAATTATTTGTATGATCATTAAGAAGCTTTAATGAAAGATCTAATCAAAAAAACATGGGTGGAATGTGTAATTTAAATTGATCAAATAATAAACTATGACTGTGAATCAAATATTAATAAAATCGACTTTAGCAATTTAGAATTTTCAGATTAAATCTACATTTTAAGTCTATTAACTGATGGTTTATACGATTTAGACAAAATGAAGGAACAAATAAAGTAAAAGGACTCTTCAAATAATTATCGACAATGTATAATCTTAAATTATATTAGCCAATTTAAAAATATTATTTTAACAAAATTAATCTGCCTTTATTAATTGTGGAACTTATCTTGGATAAGATGCCGATGAATAACAATATTTTTATTTTACTCATGTTCCTAGTTCAATATTTGTAGAAACAATGGCAGGATGGGGTCAATATACCCTCTCAGATTTATCAGAATTGATGAATGCACTCAATTTGTAAGGAGTTAATGAATCTAACTTATTTGAAAACTTAGAATTAATAAGTCAAGTCAAACTCTTTGATAATAATACAACTCCCATAAAATCATAGAATCGATTAATTTAAAGTATTTGTAAACCAATAAATAGAATAGTAATATCATCTTGAAATCATAGAAGTTATTGAATAGTTTTAAATTACTGAAGAGACCTATACCAAATACTTGCTATCTAAAAATTTGATTTGGATAGAAAATAATAAAAAACAAAATTTTTACTAATTATTAAAGAATGAGAAATAGATTTAGCCTTTATTATAAGCACTGAAACTATTTTTCAATGGTTTATTATTGTTAAAATCTAATGATGGATATTTTGTTAAACCATTCAAAATTTTTAAATAAAACTTTGAGCTTGTAAATTAATTAGCAATCTACATTGATAATGCATAATCCTAATATAACGTGTATATTTCTTTAATCACTTTAAACTTACTCTTAGAAGAGTACCAATAGTATCAATCTTAAAAAGAATTGAAAAATAAGAAAAATCAAGCTCAACGTAAAATCACTTAAAAAGTTAATTAAAAAGAGGTGAAAAATATCAAGAAGAAGTCCAAATTAAAACATATTGAGGATGAATCTTTAGAGTAAGAATAAAGTCTTTAATACGCGAACAGTTTGGCTAACAAAAGGGAGAAAAGGGAAAATGCAGGAAAAAAGTAATAACGATTTATTAACCATAGTCCAAACATCAACTTTGATTAGTAAGTAAAGAATCAAAAGAAAATATCTTGTACTTCTTGTAAGAAATAGATTCCCTAGACTACATAAAGTGTTTAGTGTTCCAGATGCAGTAAACCTTTTCATTAAGAATGTTTATCATTAAGAAAAGACTATTGCAAGGATTGTGCCAGAAATAGCAGCAAGAAATAAAAATGAGGCTTTTCCTTAAATAAGCTTAATTAATACAGTATATTATTTTCATTCAAATATCTAATTACATTTCCCAAGTCAATGTTAATAATTCAAGATCTTATTTAATATTTGATGGTAGAATTAATCCATCTGAAATGCTGATGTATTTAGATCTAAAACATTGTTCTTATGATATAAATATAAGTTCTCATAAAATTTAAAAAATTCAAACTAGTCATAATATCAAGAAATCTTCAATATTATCATTCAAATCTTAAGTTTTCTTCAAACATTCGTTTATTTCCCTTTCAAACTTAAGAAATTTAGTATCCTCACTATTTTAAGTTAAAAGAACTGTCGACAAAAAGCATTTATAGAGTTATTCTAAATTATATTTTAAGTCCTCCGTCTGCTTATGGATCATAGTCACAGCAATTTTCATATCTGAATTTTCTTACTAATTTATTAATGAGATGCATGTACAAATTAAATTGGTAGAGATTTTGGTTTGAAATAATTTAAGCCCTTCATGAGAATGGAAGGAGTCTTGGAATTCTTGGATATTTAGCTCTCCCCATCAGATATCATAGATGAGTCTAAATTATGTGGTTCTACCATTGGAGTTTTTGAAATGCTTTGATTCAGCATTTACTTTTGCATTGTTGAAGCAGGTTATTACTTTGAGTGATTGATCATTTAAGATATCTATTAATTTTCTAATTGTAATTATTTGCTTGCAGAATTTAGATCGTTTATTTTCTATATGAATATAGAAACATACCTATTTTAATAGTGAATTTTATTGTTCTAAGCGATTCAATTCATTTAATGCAATTCCTCTTTTTTCTAAATGTTAATGATTGGTCAGTTTCTATTATTCTAATTCGTGATTCAAATCATTAATTTCTATTTTATTCTCAGCTATTTTTTATTTTAATTCACTGTTTTTTTAAGTTAATCTATTATAATTTAATATAATACTCTTAGATAGCTTACTCTAATTTTGACATTTATAATTCTTTTTCCATAACTATTTCTGGATTGATAGAAATCTCTGATGAAACAGTGCTTTCAGTTTTTTATTGAAGCAATTGAATTTATTCTTCAAGTTAAGTAATTTTTGCTGAGTATTCCTATTCCTACTATGATAGTTATAATTTCATCTATTTAAATTTATCCTTTTAATCATCAAATATTTCTTTTTCTTATTTTCTTTTTTCTTTAAAGGAATCTAATTGTTATTGTAACAAATTATTGCTTTGAAACAATTTAGTAGCTTCAGCCTTATATTGATTCAATTCTCTTTCATTTCTGAGTAACTATATAATATGAATAATCATACTTCTTTACACTTCTATTCTTATTTTAATTCTTCATGATTTAATTTTGTTTCCAGATCTCTGACTTTATTATTAAATTGTTCAGTTAAAGTGCTAAGTTCTGTACTCTTCTCTTCAATTTATTATAAAACTTTGGAATTTTCTTATTATACTTTTTGAATTTCCTTCTATAATTCATTTACCAAAGCTATATATTCACCTTTTAGCTTTTCTTTTTCATCTTCTTTAATTTAATTCAAGTTTTAACATTCTTTTTACAATTCCTAATATTTATTCTAAATTTCTAATAGCTATTGATCAACAGTCTTTTTCTCATTAACTAATTGCTCGATTTAATTTTGCAATTAACCAACCAGTTACTATTAAGTATTCTTCTGATTGTTAATTTTGTCTTTGAGCTACTTTTCAGATTCTAAGGACATAACTAAGTCTTGATTCTCAGATTGCAAATTAGCTACAATTTACAACGTTTTTTCTATTTGATCTTTGAGATGTTGAACTTCTTCTGTTTAATACTGTCTACTGGATTAAGCTGGTAAGTTTTCTACAAACATCAATATAGAGTCATCAATCTACTAAAGTAAATCATGGAACAAAGTGTCAGATACTACTGTTATATGAGTTGATACCCTCATCGTCTTTGTCGTAACCCATCTAATCATTATAATTTTCCAAAAAGTCATTCATTATGTCTTTGATAGTATTAAATAAAGACTCTTTTAATTCTTGACATTTTTTTTCTTAAAACTCTTAAGGCATTTACATCTTCTAGAGCGCTAAAATTTATTATTTGTATTTTTAGCATTCCTTGTTAAGTCTCTCTTTTTCCTAATATTCTACTTCATACTTCTTTAGAATTTCCATCTGACTCATTTTATATTGTTCAACTTCGTCCATTAATTATTTTCTCTCTACCTATAGTATCTCAATTTTTTAAAAGATGGGTTCAATTTCAACTCTTTACTAATCATAACTAATTTTTTTTGGAATTCATACGCTTTTCTTAAATCATTAATATACTATTCTTATTTTACAGACTACTCATTGGCTTTCTTTGAGTCATAATTATACTTTTTAACAGCAAGTGAATCAAATTCCAAAAATTGTGTAGGTTGTTTCTTTTATTCTTTTTTTGAGAATAATGACATTTTATCTATTGTGTATTAAATAATGAAATTCAAATATTTTTTTTCGAGTTATTCAATGCCTCAACTTGTAAAATATGGCATAGACACCTATTTCACGATTTATACAACTGCATAAACTTAAATTTTGATATTTTTAGTAGAATACTTACCATACCTCACAATACCATTAAGATAAGAAATGTGATTAAAATTTTACATGATCAATTAAATTCATAATATAAAATTTAAGATCATAAACAACTAGAAAAGAGAATTATACTAAAAATATAATATATCTATTCATTAAATAAAATTTTGTAATAGATGTTTACAATTTTTGAGTGTGTATCTTTTAAGGAGTGGAGGATTTATTTCTCTAATTTAATGATTATCACTATTTAATGGGTTTCTGCTATAAATTTATTAATAAATTATAAAATTTAATCAATACATATGCTTTATTCTCGACCTAAATATTTGCCAAAGTGCAACAATCATCCTTGTGAGACTGTAGAATCATTTGAAAATGCATACAAAAACAACCTTATTTAATGGTACTGAATCAAATATTTGCACTTCTTAAAGTGGACAAATGTTCACTTTTTGTTCTTACGATATATATATTTTATTAATTGTGGTAATTTTAGGGCTAAGAAATAAAATGTCAATGAAATTGCAGTTGTTTCCAAAAAAATTACCACTTTTATTATCAGAATGTATATCTATGATTTGTAAGTCGAAAGATGCAATTACGCTTTAGATGAATAAAATCCAAGGTAGCAGTATCATAATTATCAAAAGATTCCCCTCAATAACAGAAGATATTAAAAAAGTTTGTTTGCTTCGTAAGAGACGTAGTCATGAAGAAGAAAAATTACATTTAGAATAGGTATCTTTTATTTATAATAAAAATATTAGAAATTATTATCAAAAATTTACATTGTTGATCAAGATGAAATGTTTGAGAAATTCTGTTTGTAAGGGTCTTTAGAAGATAATATAAATTTATTGATAGAATGCTCAAATGGGCTTGCGTTTTCTTCATAACCAAAAGTTTCATACAATTGTATAACAAAACAGTATATTGTGAATGATGCCATCTGGTTTAATCCGAAAACATATTAGTCATGCACTGGATGGATTACAAATGAATTCGAAAAGGCCATTGCTTTATTGTATAATGTTAGTTCTATAACCTAGATATTACTAGCATCAATAGGATTGCATCGAAGAAAATAACCTAAATAAAGATGAAGATCTTAAAAGATTTTGGATTTAGGATTTGGATTTAAGAACTAAAATACTAAATCAAATACCATAGATTTGTAAAGAATTTAAGAATGCCCCAAAAAAAAAGAATACAAAATAAGAAGATATTTTATGGACTCAACTCATTTTAAAATAATCTTCACCATAAAACGATAAATAAGTAAATCAAGATTAAAATTTGTAAATGATGTTATAATCAATCAATGAGTCGGATGTTTCTACTATCATTATGAATAATGAATTAGAGAGTATAAATTATATGCCTCTTGAGAAGATTTTAACCATTTAGATTTTATGTTAAAGAAGAATATTGAGATTGATAAGAGATCACTATAAGGAAAAACTAATGAAAGACATTTAGAACATTGAGGGTAAGGAAAAAAAGAAAAATGTAGAATAAAAGAAAAAATCTAAAAAACATAAAAAGCAAAAAAATAAAAATGAATAAAAAAAAATTAATATGAATTAAGACAAAAGTAATAGTTTTGAATTAGCAGATAAGTAAGACACAACTCAAGACGATGTTCATTGTAATGAATATGAAATAGACAAGCCTGCAGAGTAATTTTAAAAAATATCTAATAGTTCAAGCTACGATATTACAACCAATGCTCACGTGTCAGCAAAATCATAGTTGAATAAAAATGCCATTTTAGAAATGAATTTGGTTGAAGAAACTAATTAAATACTTGATGCTTAAACAATCATAGAATTGAACAATAACAATTAGAATGATGATGATGATAATTGGGTTGTCATAACTGCACCTAAAAAATAAAAAAATAAATCAAAACAAAAATTAGCTACATCTTAAGAGGACTAGTTCAAAAAATAAAAGTCACAATAGAAATCAATTCCATCAAAAATCAAGGAATAATCTGTTAAATCAAATGCTCATGATTAGGATCTTTTTTCGAGCTAAAAGAGCTAAAAAAGAAATGCATAAGCTATTGAAACGATTAAATAAGACATATTGATGGTGAATAGGGAGAAACCTGTAAAACAATAATCTTAGGAAATTGCGAATCCATCATCTCAAGATTTTGCTAAAGATAATCAAATCTCTATTTCAAAGTAGGAAGAGACAAAAAATATCAGCCTATCCCCAAAAATGATAGAAATTGTGGATTTGAGTTTAAAAATTCCATAAGAGGTTGAGAAATTAGTTTAAACTAATCCTAATATTAATACTCAAATGGATATTTAAAATACACCTCAGAAATAGCCAATTAAAGAAGATTAAATAGATTATGCTATATTGAATTAAGCAAGGGCCTTAATGATCAAGAAACTCGATATGGATATGAGAGAATTTAGTGATGTTATTTTAGGGTAGAATCAGTAAATTCTAAAATTCAGAAGGATAATTTATGACAGATTATAATTTGTCATCAATTATCTATATAGAGGTTTCATTCATCATATATATTAGCTAGATTTTAATTCTTAAGTTTGCCTTTTCGGTTCATGTGCCACTGGATTAGCCCTTCCAGAAAGTGACATTGATATAGGAATAACTGGATTTGAAATGTGTTCTCCATCTTAGTTAAACTTACCTATTCAAAAGTTAACTGAATTTCTCTAAAAAATGAGATGGGTTAACAATATCGTGTACTTTAAATCAATATACTTTTTTAGAGCAATCACTTCATCAGCAATGCCCTTAATTAAGTTATAAGTAGATCCAACTATTTCCTTTGTCTAGTCCTCTTTGCCAATAGGCCTACCTTACATAGATCTTGTTTTAAAGTAATGATTCCCTTATTATAATAGTCCTGATGAAGATATTCCTAAATAGATCTTCAGTGTTGACGTTAGTTTTTTCCAATATTCAGGTCCAAAGTAAAATTAGCATTTGGGTTTGATTTCAACTGATTTAACGCTATAATGGCTGTCTTTTTATAGTGAATTGAGACCAATTGTGTTATTATTTAAAAGTTTGCTGAAGAAAAGAGGATTAAATGATTAATACAAGGGAGGAATCTCATCTTTTTGCATAATTTAAATGGTTCTGGCATTTTTAGAATGCTTTTACCATTAAAATCAAGTGTCATCTATAGGTTACACAACATATAATTTTTTGAAATTTTATGGGACAGAATTTGATCCCAAGACTACAGGAATTAGTTATAAAGGATTTAATGAAAAGTAATTTATTATTTGATTGTAGTCCATTTTATGAATTGAATGAGTATGATGATTAATCTGAGATTACAATAGTGTCTCCAATCACAAATGAAATTATAAGTTCGGCCACCTCATTTGTTTTAACAATATTATAAGACTTGAAGGCGTTGTATTAAGCAACTGAAAACGAAGTGACCTTTTTTTATGAGAAACTAAAATTCAACAAAAAAAAGAAAGGAAAGAAAGAGGAGAGAAATTTATTTTAAAAGGAATTGAACAGACTTCGACCTCTCTTTAGCACTACTGTATATAACAAAACTTGACTTTAATTTTTAAGTAAATAAAATACCAAAATTGGTTAAGTAGTTAACAATTTTTAATAAAATTCTTTATTCATTCTAATCCTTCAACATTTGATTCCTAATCTCCAATTAATTTAATTGGGGGAACAAATAGTTCTTGCATCAATTTAACAGTGTCTACTTCTAATTTGATTAGTGATATGATATACATGTATGTGCTTTTCGTTCTTTTCTCAAAATAATTAAACTAGGTTTCTTTATTCCTTCCAAAATCCCTGTTACCTTTTAGAATTCAGGTTTTGATCCATCACATAAATCCCATATCGGCAATCCTCCACCTTCACTAACCACATCTTCACTTTCAAAATAATTATTTAATCTTGAAGTTGCTACAGAAGGTGAAATATAAGAATCTAATTGATATGATGAATTAAGTTGAGGAATTTAAAGTAAGGTGGAAGAATGATTTTGCATTCTGAAAAGTCTGCTATCATCAGGTTTGATTGGGGATAACACATTTTGTTTATTCAAATCACTATTTTCTACAATATTAATCAAGAGGGGAGGTTTTTTACTTTTACCTGTGGGACTATAGACAGTCTTTTTAGTGCCTTTTCTTTTTTCATTCATTATTTACTCAAATGTAAGTTATTGATTTTGTGTTGACTTTTATTGGGAATCTTTAGTTTATTAATTGATGAACTGATTTTATTTATTTACTTGATTTAGTTTGTGTGGATTGAATGCAATTTCTACTTATTACCGTTTTTCTTGATTCTAGATTAATAAGAAATTACTTGCATAACATGGACTGTCTGATGCTTCTTTTGTTTGCTGTATTCAGGTAATCTTTCCCAATCATATGTAAATTAAGAGGAATTCATGGATGTTTATTTATTAAGGATCTCAATTTCTCTTTCAAAATATGATTTTAATTTATCATATTTTGGAGTTTCCTGGAATTCTAAAGATTTCACATCGTTCATGTAGAAATAGAAACACTAATATATATAAAATGAATTACTTTTGGTAAATTAGCACAAAGATCTTCAGTCTTAGTTTATTTTTTAATTTGATAAATTTTAGTATATTTGGCATCCTTTGAATCAACTTACAAATTCATCCAAGGGAGATTTCCTGTGGCCAAATAAATCAAAACATAGCCAATGCTTTCTAGATCATCTTTTCTTCCTTATTCCATTTCCTCATGGGCACTTACTGATGCATATCTCGCAGTTCCTATAAGTCCTGCCTTTTTAACATACGAGATGTGCTCTCCTTTACTATTCTAGAAATTAAGAACACAATATCATACAATATAATGTTTGGAGAGGCCAAAATCAATTAAATACAGCATCTTTGCATTCGGCCCGGACTCAATAACAAAATTATCAGGTTTAATGTCTCGATGGAGAAATCTATTATCATGCATAACTGAAATTCTATCAATCATCTGTTAGGCTAATATCATCTTATTTTGAATACTTAAATGGCTAATCTTAAGACAGTGGTTTAATTCATGACACACCCCAACTTCCTGAAGATCTATTCTAAGTTTTTTCCCAACAATGTCATGATGCAGTAAGTGTATCCTCTTTCTTATCCGTAGAATTTAATTTATGGAAAACCTTATTATTTTCTAATTTTGAATCATGTAATTTTACCTTAATTCAATGAGAACTTTGATTTCTCTTTCTAATAAACTATTTTCATCGTCCTCATCTATTTCCACCTTCATAGCCCAAGTAGCGTTATTATTATTTCGATCAAGTACTTTGAAAACACTTCCAAATGAGCCTTCTCCAATTTGTTGACTAATTAAAAAGCGATTCTAAATGATATCTCCTACCTTTGAGTATAATTTAATTGTAATACTTTTAAGGGTTGAACATCCTCTTCGCTCTCATAGTATTTTCTTTCAGATTATACATTATCTGTGAAATTGTCCTCATTTTTAGAAATCATTGATATGTGATTAATTATAATATTAAAAATGTTTCATAATTATTATAAATGGTGATGCCACTTGGTTTTTTCTGCAAGAATTCCAGGGTTAGACACATTGCCAAACTTCCCAAAATTGCCATAAACATTATGAGCAGTACTGAGGAAATGCCGTTTTACATTAAAACTTCAATTTAATTAATGAGTATATACTGTCTATCTCCAATTTCGATTTGCGATGCATTTTTGGCCAATAAGGGTGCTTCAGGCTCTGGCAGTCGAGATCTAAAGGAACCCATGGTGTAGGGCTCCAAAGTTTTCTTGTCAGATCCAACATGTAAATTAGGTTTTGGTCGATAATCATCGGAATAGGTTGATGTAACATAGACAGATTTATTGTGATGATCAATTTACCCTTTGTTTGCAAGTTCATAGTAGGGAACAGCCTATGGATTAATGGGAGTCATACGTAGGGGTTTCCTTTTTTCATGTGGATGTAGGAGCAGGAGTCGACTCGGGTGTCTTTAAAGTAGGGATAGGACTTTTGTTGTTTTTGGGATTGATGCAAGATCATGCGACCACTAATAGTGTGATTGGTATTTTGTGACATAAAATAAATAAATTTTAATGAGTTCATTTTATAATCATCAACCCAGGAGAAAGCATTCTCAAACATCGTTTTATCTAAAGACTCTTCATTGTCAACCATCACCCATAAAAGATTATAATAAAGATAACACTCAGCAAGAATATTTGCAGAATATGTTAAGGATGTAATAAAAAGAAATCGAAAGATTGGAACATCAAAATCGTAATCTCTAAATTCTGACCGAACATTAAAGTAAAATAATTTATTAAGAAAGATAAAACAGGACTCACTTCATTCCCAAAATTTAAGATAAAGATACTATGGGGTCTTAATAAATCATTAATAAGCAAAGGGTTGAGAATCCTTTGGATAAACCCATCAGACTCTAAAGAAAAAACACCATAAATCGTAAATTGACTGTGCTCTTCCAATAGGATGACACATTCAAATTGAATTCTCTATTGGATCTGAATATAACTGACGAGGAATTAATCAACAATTATTAAACCGATGGTTCCTTATCCTTAATTGAAGAGACTCTTAATGACGAGGATTGCTTTTTAGATGTTATTCACAATTATCCTCCCCAGAAAGTTTCAATAATCTACGACAAATTGAAAAAATTATATCATGAACACAATCTCATGTTTCACATCATTCTTAAACTCAAACTTCTCATCTAAAAAGGATTCATGATACAAAACAGTAAATTACTGGATGAGTCATTCCAAATACTAAGGGAATCCATCTTGACCATTATGAATAGTTAAGAAGTGAAGATATACTTGATAGATGAAGAAAAGAAGGAACTCTACTCTCGATAAGATAATCACAAGTACCAAATTGGAGAAGGTTTGGTAGGTTATGTGGCTGAAACCAAACAGATTTTGAATCTAAAGAAAGCTAAATATGATACTAGATTCGCACCTATTGATTCAAATGTGATCCTGGCAGCTCCAATATTGGATAATCAAAAATGTTATGGAGTCATCGTCTGTTAAGAAAAGAAGAATGCAGGTATCTACTCTGAAGAAGATGAATCCTTATTATAATTGTTATCAGAATAAGGTAAGATGATCTTATGCAATGTGATGAATCACAATTAATTGATGACTGCTGTGAATAAATTCAGACATGCACTCAAAAGTAGCATACAATTCATACAATTGAAAAGTCAAACCTTATTAATATAACAAGCATAAAAGAGATTAAAAGAAATGATGAATAGTGAGATTGCGACAATTAAATTAGTGGAACACATAGATGGGTAAGGAATCATGGGGGAAGCAATCTTAAATAAGTCAATAACTTATCATCACAATTCATATAACAGTTAGTCTTTCAATCCTAATATTGATCTAAACACATCATTGCCAATATTTACACTTCCTGTCATCTGTAATAAATAAGTAGTGGCTTGTGCGTAATTCACCTAAGTTCGAGGACTAGTCCAATAATCGTCATTATCTTCGATAGAGCAGGAAGTTTTGGAATTGTTTCTATAATCGTTCGGCTATCTTATAAGTAAATGATATATTTATTTATATATATTATAACATAAATTTAAAATGTTTATAAAAGAAGCCTATGAAAGAAGATAAAAATAGAGTGATGGAGAATAAGAAATATTATAGACTGAATAAAGAATTCATAAGATTGGTAGTATCAAGAACAATAAAATGAACTACGATAAAGATGAGCAATTCTTTAGCAAAGAGGATATACCACAAAGAGCATTGTAAATTAAAGAAACTGTTTAAACTTTTGTTGATCCAGTAAATTTAATTTGCCATTTAATATGATAGGATATTTTAGGGTTGAGAAAGAAAGAATGGAATAGCAGCGTAGCATTTCCTAAGAATCCATTATCAGAGGAAACCCATGAAAGAAAATTGGTTAAAATTCGATTAGGCCTATTTGATCATCCAATTCCCAAAGAGAAGGCTAATAAAATATATGAGGGCGTAGAAACCAGAGACAATTACATATTAGCAAAGTAAGGCTCGAGTAAATGGAATGTGAGTACAGAAACCAATAATCTCGAGTTCTAAAAGCAACTCATGAATCAGACTAAGGATGCATTAAAGAATACCAAGACGAAGGAGGAAGAGATTATAAAAAACTATTTAAAGCCAATAGAACACTAGACTAAATTGTAATTAGATCTTAGATCTCAGAAGATAAACGAGAAGGATATGAGAAGCAAGATAAGATTGGATTATCAGATGGCGAATCCTGCTGCTTCACAATAGGCGATTGATGGGGCGGTCTTTAGATTGGCTTATGAGAACAAATTAAGCAAAAACCAAGAGCAAATTCAAGTAAGGATTTATATGTTAATAGAGGATAAAAACTACACTTTTAAGCCGGATATGGCGAGAACTTTGAAATAGGATTTGGATTATAAGTATTGTCATAATGGTGTTTGGTAAAAGATGCCAGATGGGAGCGAGGGTTGGTCGTGCTGCATGAATAGTACATTGGAATCGAAGGGATGCATAACGATAAAGATCGATAGGAACAAGTGGGATTATTCGTCATTTACACATTGATTTATTAAATTATATCAGATAATATAAATAAATTTTGAAATGGGGAATTCAGATAGTAACGCAAGCATTAAAGCCTTGCATGCTAACTACATGGTGGTTCGTAATATCAAAGACGATCCAAGGTATGGGGAAGGCAGAATAGTGAAATAGAAGCAGACAAAACAAGAGGCGTTTTAGAAGGAGATCAATTTGACAGATGAAGATAAATTCAAGAAGCTCAAAGTAATGTTGGAGAAGAAGGAAAGTAACACATACGATAACCTCATAAATGTTACTAGTATTAAAGTTTGCATAACATTATCTAGAGCTCTATTATCATGAGGATAGTTAATTCTGTGGGCAATTTTTTAAAATTTACATTTTGTTAGAATTTATTCCATTTTGCTTATATGATATCATAGAGCAGAGATTAGCTAAGAAACAATAGTTCAGAGAATAAGAGCTGATGCAAATACTCAAGGGATGCATTGAGGCTTTGTTCATTTTGCAATACTAAAATATCACACACTAAGCCATACGGCCAGATACTATATCTTATTTGGAATAATATCCATTTGTGAAATTGACTGATCCTACTGTGAGTGGAGTGTTGAGTTCATTTCAATTAGTGGTGTAAGACGAATTGAAATAAATCAATTAGAACTATCTGAGTCCTCAGTTGATGCAATCTTTGAACGATGAAATGCAACCACAGCACAACCCTTATAAAAGTGATGTATATTCATTAGGAATGACAATGCTCCACCTCTCAACCCTTAATAATTGCGATGATTGCTATGACATTCCAAGATCAAAAGTACTCCATCAACAAGTCCAACGTAGATTACAATAAATAGAGCCCTCTTTTTCATCCTAATACATTCAAATACTCCGAGAAATGTTACTCCTCAATGAAGACTAAAGACCAGATTTCATACAATTAAAATAGGAATTGCAAGGAGTTTCTACTATTCAATCTCCCTAATAACCCTATTATTAAGAAGAATACGTAATACAATCAAAGAAGGCACCCATCGTTTAAGTGTAAGCTTATGAATAGGCAGTGGAAAGTTTCTCAATTCAACAGCCATCACAAACACCTTAAATGATTATGCATTCAGAATAGAGTGCTAAGTTTAATATCCAACAATCTACATAATCCATACGGAATAGTTAGGTCTAGAAATCTTAGCAATTAAAACAGTCTCAATAAGTCAATCAATCCATTTATGTTGATCGTAATGGAGTATAAGAATTGAGACCAGACATCTGCGATCATATCAAAATAGTAATTAACTCTTGTATATTATTAGTTGCCCTTGTCTGAACAAGTATCTGAACCATCTGAAATCGATCATAATATTGGAAACCAAATTGGAATGGATCAATTTCTAGATGTTACTCATGAGCCTGATCAACAAGAGAACTTGATGCCAATCACCTCTTTTGAGACTTCTTAATAATATTAACACTACTAAAATATGTAACAATCCAAATAAAATTAACCTGCCTCATATGAATCATATAAAATGGATTATAATATGCAAGCCAATCATTTATCTAATAACAATAAATATGATTATTTGTATGATAGAAATTTAAGCAATTAAGAGAAACTTATGAATTATTAGAATGACCTCAAAAGAACATTCGAACACCTCTCAGTCTAGGCTGAAAAAGTGATCGAAGTTTATGCAAATGGGTCAAAATATGATGGTGAGAAATTAAATGGTATGAGACATGGAAATGGGACATTCTTCTATTAAGATAATGGAGGAGTTTATGAGGGCCAATGGTTTGAAAACAAAATGCATGGAAGCGGTAATATTGTACATTCTACAATAGGAACTCTGTTTTACGCATCAGGTAAACCTGCATATGAAGGATAGTGGGTCAACGATAAGTTTTAAGGTAAGGGCACTTTGTACAATGAGGAACCATAAATGCTATTTAGTGATTTCGATTACGGAGATTTTGATTAAGTTGGAGAGTAAGTATCTTGAATGAATTTTAGGTATTGGACCAAATATGTTGGGTAATTCCATGAGGATAATAAAGAGGGATAAGGAACTTTATATTTGTCAAATGGCGATAAATTCGAAGGAAATTTCCTACAAGACTTAGTTAGTGGTCCAGGGAAGTATATTAAAGTGAATGGATAAGTGTTTTCAGGGAGATGGTGGAGAAACAAACTATAATCGTGAAATTAATTTAATTAGATATATATTAATAAATAAATTGATATAATTCTTATTGAAGTTATTTTCATTTCTTAAATGAAAATTTATGATTATTCTTTAAATTTATTATATCAATATCTAAATAAATTAGTTTGAAGTTTGATAAAATAGGAATAAATATTGTGAATAAGTAATTCAATTATTAGAATTTAAAGTAACCCATAAACTATACATTTAAATACAATTAATGAGTATTTAAGAAAGGAAACATCGAATTTTATTTATAGTTAAAATATATGAATATATTTAATCATTAAATTCATTACAAAAATATTTAATCTTTCTAATTAAAAACTATAAGGAATCTCAATAAATACTAAATAACTTTTTATATAACATTTATATAAAGTTCATATTTTAATAACTAAAGATAATGTTTTTAGTACCGAAGGAATGGGCAATCTATTTTGATCCATGACTTTTGTTAAGCCTTTGAAAACTGCCAGTTCCTAGGTATTTTTTTGATATTGCTCGATTAGTTGATCAATTATTTAATTCGAATTTTAATTATCATACAAATTTTAGGGTTTTACATCTGAATATTCTTAACAATAAGATGATCTCTTTTTCTATTGTTCTTCTCTTGATTATATATTTAAATGATCTACGTCTTACAATTATAAATGGTTCACAATATCCTGAATCTAATTCCTATTACCTATGCCTTATTCTAATTCCTTCAATTGAGATAAGTGACATTAGCATGGCTTTGAAAGGGTTAGTAATTATTAATTAAGTTATTCTAGTTCCAAAATCTAATGCTTATAAATAAATACCTTTTATTCCAATTTGCACACCTTCTTTTGAAGTATCAAGTTCTCCTTCAATAATTTTTGATAATCCTCAGTTTTGTGTTTAGAAGAGTTAGTATATTCTCTGCTATTTATAGTACTCTTTTAAGTGGATTCTATTTCTGGAATACGATACACTAATTCAATCTATTTATAATACATTATTTGTTGATGTAAGATATATTATCATTTTCCTACATTTTTGCTAATACCTAGGCAATTGCTTATTATGATTACGAGATGCTGATTTATTTGTTCTTTTACATAGTTGACAATCTAGGGTTGTTTGGAGATCTAGAATAGTTTTGCACGATACTTTTAAATGGGAGATGTTTTTCTAAGTTTATCCGAACTCTCACTCAAATTTATAGTAGCCTTTCGAGCTGATAAAATTGTATTTTATTGCTGTAAAAACAAAGCATTCTGAATTGGGAAATTTAATCCTTCTGCTTTTATTATATTATTTGCGGCTTTATCTTTTACTTATTTAGTTCTAATTCAACATTTATTTTAATACATTTTATCTCGAGAGTTACTATTATGATAATTTTTAGGAGGTGTCAAGCTTGGAACTCTTTTTGTAGATAATATGTTAGTTGTGTTTAATTAATAGTAACTCCTGTTGTTTTGGTGATTCATATATATATTTATAATATGTTAAAACAATTATTAAATACAATTTTACTTCAATTGATTTTGTTGATTGCTGAGATAAAAGTAAATAACTAATTAAATAAATAGCATAATAAATTAACAATGTATACATAAAAATATAAATGATGGGATTTCATAAAGATTATATCTGTTACCTTTCTTTGGATCTTAGGCAATACTTAATTATTTGAGTAAATAGCAGTATGATAGAGATCAATTAATTATATATTTAAAAGCCTATTTACTTTTTATTAGAAATAAAATCAATAATTACTATTATAAAATAATAATAGAGATTAGTCCTTATGTTAAATAACATATAAGATCTATTTCTATGATGTTAAAATATTTTTGTAACAAAAAATAACTTTAAAGTAGTAAGCAAATAAAATTTATGTCAGTTTATTAGAATATAACTATCTATTTAATAATATATTATCATTTCTTGTTATAAATAAAGTTTTTCATATTATTGTTTGTCCTTTCACCATTATACTTTGAATTAAATTGCATTTTCATGTCATTAAACTAGAAGGCATAATTTTATAATGAAATATGATTGGATAAAAATGGAGATTTCGTTTTGGCTGATGTATTGACACTAGATTTCTTGCTACCCCCCAATTTAACAGTATGTAAAAAGCCATCAAAGTTCTATTTTAAAAAAGGGGTTGTATTTGGTTACTCAGTTTTGCAAGTAAACAAATTTGAAATTTATCTTTACATTTCTCTAAATTTATCATCCTTAACTTCTAGTTTAGATTTTGGATATTAATCTGGTTTTGGTGGAGAGATAACCTTTGGTGGAGAAGCTGTCCTATCTAATAGAGGAGGAGTATTAAATTAATTGATTGTAAAGTCTCCTTAAATGTTGATGTATTTCGTAGGAGAATTATTTGATTTGTAACTATCAAAGAGATTTGAGAATTATTAGGAAGATCCTGATTTTTAGAGTATAGAGGATTAATGAGGTTGTAAATATGTTTTAATAGGTTGGAGTTCCTTATCATCGTTACATTGTTAGGTTTCATCAGACATCCACAATTATTCAAATTCTTCTCTTGTAATCTCTTAGCTTTTGGATGAATTTAATAAATTAAAGATTGAGGTGATCTAACTATTAAGCATAATTTGAAAATAATACCTATTAGAGGTAATGCCATGATTAGCTTTGAGTTCAATAGTCAGTTCTTCTAAATCTATTGATCCATTTTTATTTTGATCAATGGAGTCAAAAGTGGCCTTAAGATTAGAAAATCTGGATTGTAAATTTGTTTTCACCTTCTTCCATAGTTGTACTTTTTAAAGCATATTCGTTATAAAATTAATTTAAATTTATTCAAATTAAATTGGTTAAGGTTTTATTAGGATTTATTAATATTGTAATATTTTATGGAGAATTAAACATAAGTTCAATAATAATTTATCTGCAGAAAGCTTGAGCTAGAAGATTATCAAAAAGGATTTCTCCTTTGTTTGTCTTATTTAACAAAAACACCGGACCTTCCCTTCGAGAAATTTAAGGAAATATATAACAACTATCCTGGATGTGTGTATGTAGTCGAGGATGTTTAAGCGAAGTTGATTGCTTCTACGATAAGTTTAGTCATTGAATAGAATATCTTTGAGACCAAATATTATATTGAAAACGTTGTAACTCATCCAGATTATAGAGGAAAGGGTTTCGTAAGGGAATTGATGGAAAAAATCAAATCGGATGTGAAAGATCTGGTAAAAAAGGAAAATGGTGAAAATGGAAATGAAAATAATCAAATATCATTGGAATTGTATTGCAAGTAGGAAACAAAAGGTTTATATGAAAAACTAGGGTTCTAAGAAGATGGTTTTATTGCTTCCAAATACGTTTGAATATTAATAATATTTAATGATAATTAATATTAGTGACTTATTCTTGAGTTTTATAGGAGGAATCATGATTGGAGTGGCATGTAGTATACATTACATCACAAAAGGAAGGATAACTGGGATTAGTGGTATTTATTATGGTGTAATTACATTTAATTGGGATGAATTTTATTGGAAACTATCTATTCTTTGTTCACTAGTTTTTTCAACTGGATTAATGTATTAGATATTCGGGTATTATATTCAATATTTAAAGAGATGAGAGCATTATGGCAAGTTCATCTTTGGCCTTTAACGAAATACGTCAAATTACCAGTTTATCTTATACAATTGCAGGAATTAGTGGTTTATTGATAGGTTGTGGTGCTAAATTGTGTAATGGATGTACAACAGGTCATGGATTTTGTGGTATAGCAAGGATATCCATGCGTTCATTTGTGGCTTTTGGTTTGTTCATACTATTTGGAGTGTTAAGTTGTTTTATCACTATGAGTGAACACAAAGAAGATGGTGAGGAGAAATACAATTATAATCATGTCTCAATAATAATGATTGGATTAAGTTTAGTATTACTGTCAGCTTGTCTACTGGGAGCATATGTGAACAAAGAATAATTTATCGATACTATCGTAGCAATACCTGTTGGATTGCTTTTAGGAGTGGGAGTAGTATTTTCAGGGATGATTAAAAGAACAACCGTTTTGAGTTTTCTTTCTTTGTAGTAGTGGAATCCATAATTTTTATTTGCTGTTTTAGGGGCAATTGTAGTATGTTATTTTGGATTTAGATTATTGAACAAGCCTCTCTTTGATGTAGAATTTTAATACCCTCCTACAAAGAAAGTGACAAACATTCTATTGGTAGGAGCTTCTTTATTTGGATTTGGATGGGGAATGACTGGGATATGCCCTCTAGTGGGACTAGCTTTGTTTCCTTAATTTACATGGTAAGTTGGATTGATGTATTTGGGATCAGTATCTATGGGGATGAGAATCGCACAATGTTATCTTAATAAATATTAGAAAGTTGATGATTAAGTCCTTGAATTCAATAGCAATAATTATATAATAAAAAATGACAATGAATAAAATGATAGATTTTGATATATATTAATTTATATATACTAAATTATATTGTACAATTATAAGAATTAATCAATTAACATGTGAAAGAGGAAGTAGTTTTCTTTTAATGAATTCATAACTTGCCCATGCAGTAGCTCCAGACATAGTCTACATGCATAATCTTGGTAGCAATCCTTTATAGAAACCAAGATAACCCTCTTCTTTCAATATTGTTTTTATAGTTCCAAAGAAGGAATTATATTTAACTTAGGAGGAGTTAAGATGCCAACTCTAAGTCTGTAATTTGGTTTTGACAACATCCAATGGATTCATAACACAAACAGCTGCGCATCCTGCCAAAGCCGCACAACAGAAGTGGGTGACAAAATTATGTTCTGATTTCTTAAACATTAAAGTCTTGGTAGTTTCATTGGCAGCAAAAAATATGGCCTAATAAGGGGCAGACATTAACTAATTTGAATTATCTAAAGTACATAAGTGATTGGAAAACTTCGATAAAATGCGATCAGTCCTTCTTACTTTAAGACTGTTCTGACTGTTCTCTTGAAACTCTTCTCTTAGATTTGCTATCTTTATTTTATAACTTAATTTTAATAATAGAGATACCATCAAATGGTACCATAATTAGATCATGCCATAGAGTTGATACAGCTCCGATAAAAGCAAAGGCTTAAGGATGGATATCTTCATCATTAACATTCAGAAGAGTTTTCAAAATCTTGTATATCCCCAATTACTTATACCTCGTAACTACTGAAATAAAATGCATGAGCTGGCATACAACCTGCTGTGACTGCTCCATATCCATTAAAGAAAGTCTTTAATCCTTATTTCCTAAAATTCCAATTTGTTCATACCTCAAAGATGAAACTGTCTACGAGAACTTCGAATCAGGGAGCACTTAAAGATGAGTCTAGTTTACATAGTTTAGAGAGTACCTTCACATTATCTAATGGCAACATTGATACATGTTCAATCAATCCTGCTAAGCAACCAGCTTAAAATTTTCTTAAATTAATACCAATCATGTGTACTTTAAGCGGAGTGTTTTCAGATCTTTTTTCCCAATCCTCAATTTCCATCATAAATTAATATTAAAAAGGATAAAATTTTATTATTATTTTCTCCAATTTAAAATGAACATGAATCATATTTTTCATATAAACAATCAATCACATAGTTATAAAATAATAGAAGAACACTATGCCCACAAAATATACGACCAAAACTACCAAATTATATAATTGATTAATACTTTTGATAATATTTATTTTTGTATTGCTAAAAATCTATTTAAGTTTTGGGAATCCCAAATAATTACAATAGGAATGAAGCAGTATTACACTTATCAAAGAGCGAGTCTTCAGAAACACAGTTGCAGCATAAAATCCAAATATGAATGTGAACATTAAAATGAATACTATGATTTTAAACTATAACATTACAGGTTGTTAAAAGTGCCTTCATGAAACAAGCCTTAAAATCCCTAAATTTATTTGCTTCATTGTTGTAGATACTCCTATATTTTCTTTCCTTTTTGAAAAATGAGAAGAATTTATGAGAATGAGCAAGAGAAAACAAAATTGAAGTTATTAAACGAAAGTCACTCTAATCTTCTATATTTTAATAAAAAAGTGCCCTAAATGTAATCTCTTCTAAAAGTGGAGCCTATCTCATCAATAAAATATAGTACCAATACTATTCTTATCAACATCCTATCGTCAAAAACTTGATTTTGATTAAATCTATTTACAGAGTTTTCCTTTATTAGTACTTTATCCATAATTTAATTATATATAGGACCCAAGAATAAAAAAGTATTGCAAATCAAAGGGAATAAGATTGAATTCAAATCTACTTTTATGTGAATGCATTCCACTATGGATGAACAATTGCCAATTAAAAATCTTTGATTTAATATCATCAATAAGACTGAAGTAGCCACGCTTAAGGTCTTGAGTTTAGCATTGGCACTCAAATTAAAATATCTTTTTATTTATTTCCAAACGTAGACGCTTGAAATAAACATAATAGTGTATAGTAAAGGAATTTGCATTAAATAATTATATTTTGATATTTTTAAAATTACTAACAAGTTTTTATACAAATCAAAATAGATACTATCTTCACAATTAATCATTCAGTTCTGTTATTTGATTATATCTCCATTAATTAATAAATATAGAATTTATGATCAAGGCAATCGAGCATGCTAATTCAAGAAATACTGTAAAATTATAAAATGAGAATGAACACTCCATTTATCCCTAAATATTAATAGAATTTTACCTTCATTTTCTCTTCTATAGAAAATTCCTCCTATAAATTGCATAAATTGTAATTATTTATCTATGAAGCTTTGATTGAAATATAATCAAAATAAGCAGATATCAACTAATATGTTACAACATCAATATACTAACAAAACAGAAAAGGCTATTCCTATTTAAAAACTAAGTTCGCCATACTTCTTATTTGACTTTCGCAAGGCATAGATTCCGATCAACACACTTGAGATAGAAAGCAATATGAAACATAATCTAACTTCTGAAACAGCTATTTCCCAAGGACATTCAATCTTTATTCAATGAAATAACGCATACAATTGCACTGGCTTAAAGGTCTTGTTTCACTTTCAAAAATATTTCTGATCTTATTGGACCACTTATGGTTTTACAATTCATAGTCCTTCTCATTTCCACACAAATGTAATGGCCTCCTGTAATGATTAAATGAAGGTCATACTATTATTTGCAGATTCAATTTCACAAGTCCACTTATCATCAGAGCCAATAATACTGTAAAATAGTAAAATTAATAATAATCCCTAAGATTCTTTTGTTTTATTTTACTAGTGCAACCAAATTTAAGATCAAACTCTTCTTGGTATTTCCATCACTTTCGTACAATAATTTCTTGGCTTACCAAATTTCTTTGTTTGTTTTTGCTTATATATCCAGCATATTAAATACGTGTAAAATTAATAATTATTTCTAACACATATAACTATTACAATATATGTTGTTTTACTTAAATTAGTAGTCCTACAATAAGTATCTCCTGTATTGATGAATTGTGTAGGAAACAGAAAATATGATTTTGACTTTTCTTATTCATTAAATATCTATCAAAGTTTATGGAGGATGAGAATTCTTGTTTTTGTTAAATTAAGTTTGTGTAGTGCTTTAGTTAATTAAAAAAATGGATAAGTAAATAATAATTAAATTATTTATAACGATGATTTTAAATAATTATGGCTCTTTCTGGTTTATTTTAGTGCTTCTGTTTTTTATTTATCATACTATGAGGTCATAAAAGAAAAAAAGTAAATTAAAATTAATTAAAAATCATAATTGATACTTACAAATATATTTATCCGACCATGTTCAAAAGTCTTATACCAATTAAACTATTTTACACTTCTGAATTTTACCGGATTTACAATAAAATTAGTAGGAATAAATCTTTAAGCTTGTTTTTGATACTGATTTCTTAATCATAGATATACTATTTAATATGCCATCCCTTTTCTAAGCTTTTTCAAATATATGCAAAACCCCTTTTTTTGTTTAACAAATTCTTTTAGAATATCAAGTAGTGAATTTACTTATTAATAGTCTTGACTTTCAATTTGATAACACTGAAATATGGTCTGAACTTTTCTTGATTTTAATGTTGGCTTTGCAATTATTATATTTTTTGTGTTTTATCCATCTTTACTATAGTTAAAGAATTAAAGTTAGGAATCAGCTCTTGAGGAAATAGTTTTCGTCACTTTAGTAACGGGACTCAGAAGTATTAATCTCTTTATTTTAGAATGAATCAAATAGTGCAATCAATTTGATTTAAGTATCTGAAATTTATATATCATTTGGAACAAGGATTTACAAATAATTGTTTCATTATCCAATTATTCAATTGGCCTTCCGATAAATATTCACATTATCAAACTAAAGTAAACATAAGATTATAAATTTAGATTCTGATTTGAATTCTTATTAAATTTTAGTATTAATCATCACCTACTTAGTATTCTCACTTAATATCTTATTCTATATTCTGAACGAAACACATAACATCCAATACTCATTCAAAAAGGTAGATTATCTATCCCGTTTTTATTCATTTGGCACTCTGCTGCAATCATTCACAATAGAAACCATGATAATTGTGGTTTCAATTTTAGATAATTTAGGAATGGATGAGATGGTCACTTTGATGATTCAAATAACCCTGCTGACTCTAATTTTAATATTATCCTATAAAAACCCATAATATTAAGAGGAATTGGTAAATAAAATTCAGATATAATCTTTTTCCCTTTATTTATCCATTATTTTGTGTATACTCATATTTGCGGAAGGACTTCACTAGGATTTTTCGGAATTGATAATGATAATACTTCCATTTGTATTTGAGATTTCTAAGTTAACATTACGAAAATAGGAGAACAAGACGCAAAATTTAAGTTATGAAAATAAGAATTTCGATTGTTTGATGATGAACATTTATAATCAGTGCTAAGAAACTCTAGGTAGAAATGGAATATTGTTAAATGAAAGTAAATAAGAATTGCCAAAAAATTTAAATCTTTATTCATTTTCCACCAACCATTTAATTAATTGCGAAAATGTAATCGATTGTTTTTGTTGCTGCTACAAAAAGCAAGATGATCGCTTTACTTCTCGATCAATAATTTAAACAATATGTAAAGGAATTAATAAGATTCCATTACGAATTAAAATTATTGAGTTTAAACAAAAATAATTCGTAACAATATGTCAAAAGCTACTTTTATTATATCCTATACATATCAAAAGGTGATTAAGTAACCTACAAAGGCATTTCATGAGATAATCAAATTGAAGAATAACATGTATACTGGTATGAACCTCTTGAATCAAATGTTCACAAATTCAATTGAAAATCTGGTCAAACAAGATTTTTTAATGATGATTGAAAACAAAAACATTACCAATCAAAAATATGATTGCTTCAAAGTCTTTAATTACATCCAGTCAATAAACTAATGGAAGGAAAAGTTTGGATAAATCTTATAGATGTAAAAATAGTGGTACATGACTCTATTAAACAAAAATCTTACATAACTTATAACTGATGGTATACACTTGTAAAATTTAATCTCTGCATAAGAACAATAACTTAAACTACTCTTTAGTTAAAATCCACTTTCCTAATAGTGCCATGTCTTAATCCATTTATTTTATAAGTACATTAATTTCAATAAGAGAAAGATTGAAATTCCTGCATTGGATTCTTCCCTTGCTTATAAATTTTCGAATTCAATAAACGGAATTTTGTTTCATAAAGAAGCTAGTCTTGTCTATTTAACATTATTAGATACTAAAGGGATCATCAAAAATTACACTAAAACATTTAGAGATGCTCTGTGTACAATAGATAGTGAAATAATGAATAATTCCATCAATAATTTCATTCCAGATATTATAGCAGAAGTGCATGATCAATATCTAGACAACTTTGTTGAGAGAGGGAGAATCAATATAATGAAATCAGACAGAAGATTTCTACTGGTCAAAAATAAATTAGGGTTTATATTTCCAATAATAGCTAAGGTTAGATTGGAGACAGATTTGGGATCAGATTTTGGTTCATCTGCTCTTATTCTTCCTACTTATCAAAATTATCATTACATTATGTTGAATAAACATGGTTTAATGGAAGAGATTAGCAATAAATTGTATAATGAAGTTATCTTACCAATTCTTTGCGTTGATCTAAAAGGTCTTAAATCTTTGGATTGTCTCAAATTAATACCAAAGTTAATAAAGAGTTGGAAATCACTAAATTAAACTAATGTTTTGGACTAGGAACTGAAAGAACCAACTCAATCATATATTGTGATTCCAAAGAAAAGAAAAAAATAATAAATACTTTTATCCTCTTAAGTAAAAGAGAGGAAGTAAACCATTTATGATTTCTTAAAAGGTTAGGATCTAGTTAATGAGAAATACTTTGACAACTTCAAAGAGATGTATATGTTTCGAATTACATTCAAAATTGTTGAGTTTCACACATTTTAAGAAACGTAAGCTACATTTTTAATTTTAGGATTTATTGTATTGAGATTTAAACAATTAAGCCTGTTCGCGAATCACAAAGAATAGAAATATTTGAAAAATTGATAGAAAAATCAGAATATGTGAATTTGAGTAGAAAATTCATAAAAATTAATCAAGAGAAAATGGATTTCAAGAAGTTAAAAACTAAAAAGTTAGAAGTAACTAATTAAAAGGAATCACTAGGGTTCATATCCTTTTAACCTGAAATCTATAATTTGGACACCTCAAAATTGATAGAAGATGATTATATGATTAGGTAGAAGGAAATGCAAATTCATTTGACAAATCCTATGTATAATTTAGAAGTAAATCTTAAATTAATATAAGATAGATGAATGTTAAAATCTAATTAGTTAACCAAATAGTTAAGAAAAGAAAATACAAGATCAATAGACATTTCGAATGAAATCATCCATAGGGCCTAGCTTTGGAGCTTTGAATCACTTTGGTAGCAATTTCTCAAATGGGGTTAGTTAAGTCTTTGGGTCAGATTAAAATAAACTCATTGTACACTCCAGTGCAATATTGGAGGCATTGAATGAAAATAAAGAGTCAATCAAATCCAAGATTTCCGATGAAGTAATGGGATCAATAGATAATTTTCTATTTGATGCAGATTAGATGAATTCTATATCTTCCTCTTAAATCAGCGATATAAAAGTCAAGAAAACCCAATTGAAGCACAACTTGTTTGATGAATAGACTAAGCAGCATTGGACTATACGCATAATTAATTTGATGACATTTACTTTGCTTATCATCTTTAACATTTTATACTATTATGTTGTGAATCAAGAAAATAAGGTAAAGTATAATAATCTTACATTTTGTAGATAATAGATTCAGCACTACAAACATACAGATTGTCAAACACTTTTTAAGAATAGCTAAATAATTTCATTCTGACCTTCAATTATTCGAATACGAATAGATTCAACCATTCTCAATATATGAAATTTTGTGCCAGTCGTTTCTAGAATGACATATCAAAACTCTAATATTATTCCCCGAATATAGAAAATAATTCAAGTAATAATAATTAATTTAATATTTAGTTCAATATCTGTAGATTAGCGAATTTGAAAACATTACAAATCTGAGTTTGTTTTATTCATTGGGATATTTCTCATAATATTTACTCTCACAATCAAATTGTTCTAATTAGGAATATTTTTTAGAATTTATAGCCAGAAATTTCATAACAATAAGTACTTCAAATTCTGTATTGAATGCAACAGTCATCAAAGATGGAATAGATTAATTTAGGAATGCTTAACAATAAACAAAATTATCGTTTTATTTTACTTTGATATCACTTTGCATTGCATTTTTGTTTTACCTCATTTTTTTGATCATCATTAACAAAGCTAAGTAGAAGATAATTAAATTGTTCAATACTATTTCAAAGATCCAGTTGAATTGTTTAATTGATTAGATTTCAATAGTTTTACATTAATTGGATAAGATTGACTTCATTAATGAAGAAACCACTGAGCATCAATTTGAATAGATAAAGTCAAAAATTGCTTCTACTCCGAGGATAAAAATCAAAGTTCCTTAAAAAAGGTAATCTTTGAAAGTGAAATAAAATAAAGCGAAAGAAAACAGTAAAAGTATTTTTTTATTTTAGATTCTAGCTGCTCTTATTTATTTGTTTTACTCTGCATTATTATTACTCGGTTACTTTATTATCTCTTCGTAATACATAGGCTCTCAAATTTACTAAAATTCATTTGAGGAAGATACAATATATGCTTTCAGATAATTACTCCTCTACAAATCATCGCAATCATATCTGTTATAACAGAAGAGTTTTTAGAAGCTCCTAATCAAATATGTGTAGATAGGAAAGGAAGAGATGCTGTTTTTAAATCAATGTAAAATCATTCATTTATTGAATAGGGGACGAGGCATTAAAGTTCATGGAAGGACAATTAGATGTTCTTTAAAGTTTCATTCAAAGATTAAATGATTAAAAATCGTTTTCAAATGAAATCTTCACAAATACAATAAAGAAGAATGCCTGTTAGGCCTTTTAGTTTACAATTGTGAATACTACGGAGGATAGCTAGTTTTTCAATGAAGAGATCTGCAAGAATCTTGATAGTCTGGCTTCGGGACTAACAATTTAATTAGTTGCTATGTAATAAACTTTATAATAATTCTATTCGATGAATAAGTTGAATAATAAACAATTTAAATCCTATTTGTCAAACATGGAGACGAATTTAACCTTAGAAAATGATATCGTTAGTGTGCTTTACACGTCTCATGTTTTGACATTGCTGCATGAATTCGTGGCTCAATAAGGCTAATAGGAATTATATATTAATTATGTAGTGCATACTATCAGATTCATATTTGGATTATTGCTTTACCTTGTTTTAATTATTATAAGCAACAAGAATATCAGGTTGTACTTGCATAAAGAATTAATTAGAACAAAGCAATTGTTTTTGCTGATACCCTTGGAAATATTATGTGAGAATGCAAATGTTTTATAGCAATTAATAAGAAATTAGAAATGAAATGTCATTATTATATATTCTAAATATAATATTTATAAGTTACTTTAAAATGTCAAATTAAGTATCTATATCAGTTAAAGAATTGAGAGTCATAAAAACCCCGACTGTCAATGATTTTAGTAGTTTTAGAGATTTATAAAGGCTTCCAATAACTAAATCTAATTTTAAAAGAACTTATCTGAAAGGTGCTTCACATAGGGTAAAATCATTGAAGGAAGAAAATCAATTTGCAGAGGCTCACAAGAGATAGGGAAATGAGAAGTTATTCAAATTCAATAGATAAGATCAATTATTGAATATCAGAAATATGCATTTACATAAATTAGCTCCAATAAGTACAGAGCCTTATGTTGATGAAAATAATAAAATTTAAAACAAATAAAAAATAAGGAACGCAGATCCAAATAATTTAAACTTAAAATTGATAACCAATTCAATTAATTAGACTATGGAATTAGTCTACAACCCTCAACCAATCATCAAAAAATCGATAAGATTTCCCTTATAGAATGCGACTCAAAAGACCGAATTTCAAAACTCATTGTTAGTCACTTAAGTAACTCATTCAGGTCTGAATTCTCCAAAGGAAACATAAAAGAAAAAGGTTGAATTGTCAATTCTGAAACCTTCACATAGGAAATGTCTCAAAGATATCTTCATCGATTCGATCTAAACTACAAGTTATGGTTCCATTCGTATGGATACCATAGAAACCAAATACATTTCTCCTAAACCAAATATAACTACATCTTTGGATAGCACCAAAAAAATATTGAGGTAATATTTATGAAGAATTTTATTAATATTAATTTGTCTGTTGTTATATGTTTTCAAAAACCAACTAAGTGTCTCCAATTAGAACTCAATCTCCTGCCATTGCTCATAAACACTCAAATCCAAACAATTCTACTTAAGCATAATCTTATTATACCTCATCCAAAACCACACCTATCAAAATGCAAGAATAAAAATTTGAAACCATTCAATAAGGTGCAACAATCCCAACCCAACCTTAAACATCACCAGAAAAAATTAAGATACTCAATCATGACTTTGAATTGCAAGTCTTAAAAAATGAAATTACCTTCAAAGAATAAAAAATAGTCTCCTTAGAAAAAGCCTTAGAGTTAGCTAATGAAGATAGAACGAGATTACGCTCAGTTTTAGAATAGAAATCAATTATATGCGTCAATAAGGAGAGGGAAATAGCAAAGTTATTGGCTACCATTCATTAATTGGAATTCAAGAGAAATGAGAATTAAATAATCAAAGAACTTTAAACCTAGATCGATACCTTAAAATAGTTCATTTAAGAGAATGCCTTAAATAGACAAAGCATAAAGTAGGAAGATACGACTAGTCTTAAAAATAAATTAACTACTACTTAAGATTAACTTGCTTAATCCATAAGATAAAATGAATCACTCTAACAGTACGTAAGTGACCTTATGAAACAAAATAAGGAATTGTCTCAAAAATATCAAGAGAAATTTCTGGAATGGCAATAATTGCAGATGTAATTCAACTAAACCTCAAATTATCAATCTGAAATAAAAGAAAGTGAATAACCTGACATTCAAAAGAATACATTGAATTACAATTATAATTCCTCTGTAAAATAGTAGAGTTAGTTTGATTAACAGAATGAAATTTTGAAATTCCTATCACAGATTAAACAATAATATCTGGAGGAATCACCAAAGAGAGACATTGATGACCAAGAATAAATAAATGTTTATAGACCAATTTACAGTTTTCAATCCACAGAAGATATCAATAAAACAGAAAGATTAAATAAGTGAATCTATTATATTAGTAACTATTTATATATCAATTGATTTTTGTTCTACAAACTGGACAAGAATTATTAATCTTTAACCATTACGTCAAGCAATCTTTGTGAAAGTTGTGAGAACAACTCATTTCTAACTCTGTCTCGTCTTACTTAAAGTCCTCTTGACAAATATAGCAAGTTTATTATTAATCTTCAATCATTGCCACATGTTCCCTTAAACTACTTATTTAGGACTCAGTAGCTCCTTATTATTGTTCTTCTAAGAATATTAAATTCTCTGTAAAATGAGCTAGAATATTTAGAAAATCTGAGATTTCACTAAGGTTCTATGCCCAACTAGATAATACCCTTGATTATTGAGCCTCTGGAGATATGTAGATCTCAAAAGAACGTAATTCTGTATCGTTAGTATCTTATTCCATTTATTCTAATGGACTTTCGCATAATATGCAATACTCTTATTAATCTTCCACCTAATTATAAGTTCTCTAAATTATCTCCATTTTACAAAGATGACACCAATAATTTTCAAAATGATTTCTCCCTTCAAACACACGTCTTAAAACTTAAAACATTTTCGTTAATTTATAAATTTTTAATAATTTCAAGCTTTTAGAAACATTTATAGGAACAATTCTATATCATCAATTAACTCTCTTAACCATTAAATTAGAATAGATCTTTAAGAATCAACCTCTGGGTCTAATAGCTCTAATATATTTATTTCATTCTTATCAATTATTCCTATTAATTGTAATACATGTCAATATATTATGAACATATATGTATTTGAAATATAGGCTAAATAAATATATGTTAACCAATAAAGATGTTTTATATTAAATTTAAATAAATAAAATATTTTATACAAAGTGAGAATGTGCTTTTAAGTAAATTTTGATTCTAAACACGTAAATGTTAATTAATAAACAATAAGAGGACTTACAAAAGAATGTCTATTTTCTATTAATCATTTATATTCGCATATACTATAACAATTTTAGTATTGTCCATTTTTGCCTGGAATGTTATAATTTCATAATTATCAAATAGTAATATAGTGATCTCACAAAGCCTTATGTTGACAGAATATAGAATTGGGAGTTGGACCCAATTTATGAAGTTTATAAATAAGAAGTTTGCGAATCTGATTCAGATGACTTTTTTAAATTGTAGCAGGGTTAAACATATTATACTAAATGGACAAATTCAAATTAAATATTTTCCCTTTGCATAAGAAGATTAAAAGATTACAACTTCGTACAGAGTAAGGCTTAACTAATTAATATAGAATATCAGATATACCCTAAATGCTTGGATACTGAAGAATTATGCGGTGGCGTATATGTTTAGAATAAGTATTGTGCACCAAAAGGATAGTGTCCAATTAATAGTATGCTGTTTGTAACTGGGGATGGTAAGATAGATTAATATTAAAAGAGTTGAAGAAAGTTGATAAAACGAAATACACAACTTAGTTGTAAATAAATGATAACTTTTACTTGGTAACATCAACCTTGGCGGAGAGTCTGCCAATAAATCAACTTGAAATCTATGGGACATCTCCTTGTGTTATTAGTTAATATACAAACTACGACACTATCTTCTCTAATGCCTTTTGTGAGAATGACACAGCCTATACTCTTTTGAATCAAATTGATGAAATGACATTTGCAACTTCAAATGGGTTTACTTCCAATACTGCTGATAAGTATACAATTTATTATCATTTTAGGGTTGGCATATATTCTCGTAGTTACACTTAATTTAATATTGAATGTAGATAGTAGAATCTAATTACTTGGGGGATCAGAACTCTAAAAGACAGTGATGCCATTTATCCTGTTCTATCAATACTAATGATAACAAGTATAATTCACTTTGGACTTGTTGGATTTGTCTAGTCTTTGTATTACTTTATGTAAGTTCAATACTAAGCTCCAACAAATAAAGGTGTTCATTAAGGATTGTTACTAGTCAAAATATTCATCTAATATTTTCATTCAGCCATGATTACTTTGGCATTTGGGTTGTGGATAGATATTAAATTATTTCTACAAATATCACACGATATGAATTGCAGTGATACTTAAACAGATACTTTTATAAGCAATGAATTAGATAACATTGATAAATAGTGGAAATTATGCTTTGTTATGTTTTTGTTGTTTGTAGCCTTTGCTTTACTTGAATGTACTGCTTTCTCTATTTGTTTGGATAAGAAACTAAAAAAGAAGATTGAACCAAAATATAGATAGATCACATTCTCAACAGTCAATCAATCTCAATTAGGAACCAAGTCGGATAATTCTAATTTATATATGTATTTTAAACCCTAATTCAATTTACAATAAGAACTAAATCTATAATAAGAATTGGGGGCTAAATAGATTGACTAATTGGAATTTCCAAATTAAATTTTAGATAACTAATAGCAATTCAATAATAATGAAGCTTCTATTTCAATGAAACAGTCTAATTCAATTGATCCATCCCTTTAATAGTCAATTCAGAGTCCCATTAAATAATAATCATTAGAAAAATAGCAATCATTAGACCAATAAAAAAACAACCAAGCTCCGTATATGTAATAGATGCAACAAAAATAAAGTTAGAGATTATAATAGTAAGGCTATATAATACCTCAACAATAAATTGATTTAGCTAACTTTTAATCTTAACAAGTTCCCATTCAGAAACCTTCAATGAAGTACGATATTGATGATCAAATCGACAGCGAAGAATAGAATAATCGCACTTATCAAGTTCACAAATGAATTTATTCTCATATAAATAATATTTTAATTAGAATATCAATCCATTATATTGCAATGAACACACCTTCAAATTTGCTAAGTAAGTGATAGAACATTTAGTTATGATCGAGACTACCTAAAATGTAATATGGATTAGATAGTGATTTTAAATATAAATTGTGATATGTGAATAAAATTTCAGTTGTTTGCTTCTTATGATTGTGCTTGATTTAATCCCACTCCTAATACCTTTTCCATTTCAAACACTCTATGATCCAATAGATTAGATTATTTCTTAATTCTGGCTTTTTCATTTTTTAAGGTGTCCACTTAATTGCTTAATTCATGCACTTCAGCATTTGCTTCTTCAGCCAATTTTCTAAAATTTCGAGTGAAATCGGCTATCTCTTCAATAAAGCTAGTTGAAGTATCATCATTAATTGACGATTATAGATATGACTCATGAATGATTTCTTATCTCAACATCTACAATTCCTTCTTGTCTTTTTCTAATTCATGTAATAGATATTCTAACATAATCTAGTTTTAATTACTAATACATTTAATTTTTCTTCGTGTTCAGTCATTGGCAGATTCATCGAATTTTTTTAAAACTGTTATAAAGCCTCTTTATAGGATTGCATTGTGTTATTTAATTAAATATAAATAATATTTTGAAAATAAGAATTAGTAATAAATTTTGAACAAAACCACAAAAGTGTATCATGAAAATACAACCATCAAAATCTCAATATTCATATAGCATACAACAATTATCACTTCGATCAGTGGATTCAATCATCATAATGAAGATTTGATTTCATTTAAAATTTGTAAAATCATATGACCTAATAATTCAATATATTGTTGTTCAAAGTATTTTCTTTAATATTACTTGACATTGGCATATCATTATAGCTGATATAATAGAATAATTCATAATTAAAAATCAATTAGTATGCTTCCACCTTAGAATAGTAAACAGTTAGTGATTCCTTGATTTTTATATTAACTAAATTTTACAATATGAATTTGTATAGTTTTATTTTCTATTCTGCAGTTATAATATTTGATATAGACAATCCAAAGACAATATATTTAATTATAAATTTTGATTATTTTTTGTGCAACGCACTATTCAATTTCCTTTTTAAAATTCTAATTAGTTTTCTTATCACATATGGAGAGTCAGAGTTTGCCATTTTGAAAGGGATTTAATTAAAAATTATTGATTAGATCTCATATATCAACATAAAAACATTTAAAAGAAATCACCAGATATTAATACATTTGTCTTTAATTGCGGATGCTTTGTTGACTTATTATCAATAATTAAAATTATTTAATCATCTATCTGTTCGAGTTTAACCAAATGAGAATCGCATAGCATAGCAAGTCTTGTTAAGTTTTGTAACATAAAAAAATCTTTACTTTTAATGATGAAGAATTGATTAACACATCAGAATCAACTCCAAATTCATCAGGAAATACAGAAAAACCATAATTGTTGGTTTTTAGAAATTAAATAATGCCTGATTCATAAATTGCAAGAGAACTTCATGAGGCATCAATCCAGTCACATTGGTATGTAGAAACACCCAAAGAGTATGTGGATAAGCGTGTAGTGAAACTCAAGAAATAAAAACGTATATTTTGACCCTCAATAATTATTTTAGTTGAAAAAGTTGTTGTGTTGGACCTGGATGAGACTTTGATTTACTATAAACCTAACCAGACTATCGTTCGTCCATTCTGCTAAGAATTCCTGGAAAGATTATCGAGAATCTGTATTTTAGTACTTTTTACTGCTGCCAAAAAAGAACACGCAATAAACGTAATTAATTGATAAATTTTAAGATGTTAAAAATTATAGATCCAAATAAAAAATATTTTAAGGCCATTTGCACTTCAGATCACAATGATTGGTAATGTTAAAGATTTAAGAATTTTTTAAACTGATCTCAAAGATATTGTAATAGTTGAAAATTCTCCAAAAAATTTTGTGTATTTTCTTTCTCTAAATAAGTGCCTAAATCAACAATGGTATACCTATCATACCATTTGAAGGTTAATAAAATGACAATTAACTTGAATTGTTACTTTCGTTCTTAGAAATTGTTCTATTAGTTGATGATGTACGCGTTCAATTAGCTAATATCTTTAAACTATAATATTTTTATAAGGAACTGAATGGAAAATAAGCCATAAACAAGTTATATAATTTAAAAAAAAATTAATGACTTAGAAATTGTAATCATTTATATTTATACTATAAAAATCATGTCTGATTATTATTTTTATAAACAAGAAGAAAAACAAAAATCACACAGAAAACCGACGAATTTTTTATCAGACTCAGAAGATACCAACTCTCATCCCCAATTGAGAAATGCATAACGGTTTTTGTAATTATGTATTTATAGAAAGTCAGTCGTAAACCTAAAATAATATAAGAACTGATCAAACTGCCTCAGCCTTAAGTCTAATATATCACTCCTGTATCTATTCTTATATATATCCAGTATGTCCCTGAACCCATTCCCATACCTGAAGCTATTAAACAAATCGACAAGAAAATACAGGCATATCGAAGAGTAATGGAGATCACAAAAAAACAAAAGGAATTATAGGAACAATAACGAAATGTGGAAAATGGATTTATTTAAAAGTAGTCTGTTGATTTCCTAACCAATCCTAATATACAATTATAAAATTAATAAGATGATGAAAATGAGGAAAAATAAACTCAAAATTAAAACAATCAACAAGATATTGATAAAAACACTTTGCAATTGGAAAATCAAGGTAAACCAAGATAGTAATATTACTCCGAATCAGTTAAAAATCGTGATTATATTTATGATAATATGATAGAAAGACTTTATGCAAAAAAATAAAATCCAGCTTTGTTTGCAGTAATGATTTGATATAATATTTCCAATTAGAAATTGCAAAAGAAAGCTCCTGCTTTGAATATTACATCAAAGAATAAAATATAATCAGGGAGCGGGAGGATGGATATGGAAGAACATAAATTAAGAGTGTATAACAGAGAGAATGTACCAACAATTCCTGAATTGATAATCCCAACTTTTATGATAAAAAAAGATTCTATGGCAAAAAATATATTGGCATATCTAGTATTCATTTAATTTAGCTTTTAGAAAGATTATTCTCCAATATATAGACAACAGAATCATAATGAATATCCCAAATGTGTATAAAACATTTTGGAGGATGAGAATGATGTTATTAATAACCATGATAAAAAGTGAAGTAAGATTGATTTAACATGTTACAAATGCATTCATTAATTCTAGATATAAACTACAATATAAGTTAATATGCTATCATCAATCCTATATTTAACTGTTAATTTATGGGTTGATTGTGTGAGAACTACATTTTCTTTTGGAATTCTTATCTTGAATAGAATCAGAGTCCCCTTCAATTTCTACGTTTTGTTATTTTATTTGACTCTACTCATCATTTTTTTTCATTTCAATATTTTACCTTTAATTTTCATCTTCTTCTTATTCCACATTCGGATTTACTTGAGCATTTCTGACTTTTTTAGAACTACAACTAATTATATTAGATATGAATGAAAGTTTACCAGAATCTTTGAGGAGTTTCTATTTAAACTTGTTATTGGAATTTTTTCTGTCTATTTTACATAATCCAAGAGTAAGTGGTAATTCCTTTGAATTTCAACCAAAAGTGGAAAATCATTAGGTTGAAATTAAGAAGAAAGAGAAGACCAACTAAACCTACATTTATCCAAATCCATATCATCATTCTAGGAGATTAAAAGATGTATGAAAATATTGCAAAAATAGTAAAGGTGATTCCAAATAGAGATACAAAAACTAATAATTTGAAGAATTCCTAATAATTCTTTTTCCCAACACAATTGTTCAACCATTTACAATGATGATCAAAATCTGAAACGCATCTAGAAATTTAATTAATCTTCTACCTTTCACAGACCTTACAATGCTTAGTTGTACCACTTACATAGCTGTCACAAAATTAACAAAAATAATCATAGAGCTCTTAATCTAATGCTCTAAATATCAATGAACCATATATACATGTTCAATCCATTTCTTTATTATATTATAAGATCATCGGTTGGATCGATGTAGGAAGTCTTAAAAGCATAAAAAAAGATCATTAAGGCTAAAAAGTAGAAAAAGGATGCTAAAATAATCTAGTTAAATTATCCTCCTTACCTAAATTATTAAATCAGTTATTGGGACTATTGCAATTGATACACAACACATCAACTGAATAAAGAATATCATGGTAAAAACTTGGAAAGGGTGTTTCGGTCTAGTAAAACCATTAATAATTTTATGTTCTCTGCTACTTGTAATCATTTAATTTTATTAATCATGATTACTTGTAAGGTAAAATTCTTGATTAATGATTGTAATATATGATAAAATATATCAATTTCATCTTCCAGACCATGAGGCAACTTATTTTTTGAACATAATGATGACTTCATCTAAAATAGCATTCTCCTCTTGTCTCTTAGCCTTGGCTTCAGCATAATCAGCTCTTCTGCTTTCTAAGTCAGCTTGGGCTTAATCTAAGGCGTCTTGAGATTCTTATAAGATGATCTTTGATTTAGCTTATTAGGCCAAAGCAGCTTAGATTTACTAAAATTGGAATGATATTGTACAGTAGCAGTTCTGTCAGCAAAGACTTATTTTCTCTCATATTCAACCTCCAAGGAAGAAATTTCAGCTTCAGATAATGAAACCCATCCGGCTAATTCCCATGATGCATTGATTTCATTCTACTTCAAGTTTTCCAATGAAGCAGACAATTCAGATTCTAATCCTTCAAGAACACCCAATACTTTTTCAGCTAAGGTAGCTCCATGACCAGATGATGCTCCTTCCTAGGATGATGATGATTGTATATACTTCTTGTCCATTAGCTAAGGCCAAAAAGGATTTAATTTGATGGTCTTAGAAAAGATTGCTGTATTGTTTCAATTTCTCAGCAACTGATTAGGCCTTGACTTAGGTAAATTCAAATGAGTCTCCATTGATGATGTAACCAGCAACGTCTTATTTTAAGAGTCTGATGACTTCAAGAGCTTCTTAGTTGTGTTTAATGGATTTGACGAAAAGTTAATTGCTAAAGCATTAATTATCTTAGAGAGCATCAATTTTTCTTGCGATTTCATCTCTTCTAGCTTCATTCCAAGCTAAATAATTCTTTGTTTATTTAAGAACTTCTTCATAATTGGCTCTATTCTCAATGGCTTAACTAAAAAGTTTTTAGTTCAGACTTTTAATCTTTGTGAATTGTTCGATAGTTCTAAGTGGATTATTATGATTATTTACTATGCACCGACCCATTCATCTGTTTCATTCTTTTAATCTGCAGCAAATTAAGCATCAATATTTGATTGCTTTAAATCATTGAGTAAGCCAAAAACTGTATCAATAGCATCACTTGCTTTTGTTCCAGTCTATCAGAGATAGCAATAATTTTACCTATAATAAAGCAAGGATTTGGTCCTATGTTTTTGAAGCATAGGTTGTTGCTGCAAGAGCGAATAAAACAACAATAATGAATTTCATATAATTATTAATCAAAAACGTACTCTCATTAAAAACGATAAAAATAAATAAAATGTATCCCCATTATCTTCCCATTATAAACAATTTCAAATAATAATAATTTATTAATCATATCCCTATCATTCATTGATAATGGTTACCCACAAATGAACAGCCTTCTTACAAAGATTTACTCTATAATTTTATATTTATGTAAAATATGCTCTAAATTAAGATTTCAATTGTATTAAAAGGATTCCATTATTCATTTTTTAAAATAAATCTTCAATAACTTCTCCTTTTTCTCTGAATCAAATTCTTTTATATCATCTTTCTTTTAAAATGACTCTATGATCTTTTAAGATATATCAGATTATTCCTTTAATTTCTCCTTTTGATTTTCATTCTTTTTTGACTCTATCAATGACCTTAATAAAAACCATTCAATATCACATTGCTTATCCAAAATCATTTAAACAATTAACTTAAATACTTTTTCTTAAGGTTTTCTAGATATTCCCTTTTTGTTCTATACTTGAATGTTTCATTATTTCGATCTCTTTTTTGTTTAGTAAAATCATAGAATAATTTTTTTTATAAGATTACATTTACAATGTAGAATTTGAAATATTTAGTTTTACTTTTAATTACTTCACCTTATTATCAATTAATAATTCATCTTTCATAACTAAGATGTGTAAGAAATAATTATATTCCCATAAGTTTATTCCACTTTATTACTTAAATAGAATTATAGTTAATATTTCTTATTTAAATATCTCTTTATGCTTAAAGATATTTGAAAAGGTTATTTTTGTTTCCTTTAGAATTACTTCAAATTTAGCACCATTTTCTATTAATTTCTTTGTATTTTTTAAATATCCTCAAACATATCATTATTTACCTTTGACATTTTGTGGTTTATATAACAAAGTGTTAATTTGATTTGCCATATTAATAAATGGGAATCATCAGTTTTAATTATTTCTTCCTTAATATCATGAAGTCCTTATCAAATTTTCTTTTTCTTCCTAAATATTGCATAAAACTAATTTAAAATCTTTAATTTCTACAACTTCTATTTATAATTTTCCTTTGTCATTTTATAATAAATAAAATATTTAAAAAATACTTCATGCATTATAAAATCTATTCAAGAAAAGACCTAAAGGATGTTCCAATAAACTAATTTCCATGCATAAATTTGAAATCTTAATGATTGCATAAAATAAATTATAGATAATTTTATATTAATCAAATAATATTATTAAAATTTAACTAAAATAGTGAGTTCACAAATATAATCACTGTGATCACAAAATTCTTTTGTTGTAATAGATAAATATAAATAAAAAATGAGGGATAACTTCACTTTAAACAAATAGAATGACTTTCATAGTAACAACTAAAATGAAAAAAGAAAAGACTATATTACATTTCAAATTTAGAAGGAATCCAAAAGATTGATTATGCAAGTATTAATCATTTAAAGCATAGGTAGAATGGGGATATACGCTAAAAACAAGATTCAAACATTTCACTTTTAAAAAAGAATTTTTAGAAAACAACTACAGATGATTAGAAGTCAAATGATGTGTTTCTAAATAGATTACCAACTGATTAATTTAAGAATTTGTAAATTTCTAAGGAAAAATAAACAGGATAAGCTGGAAATAATAAAAATACAGAAATACAAACAGCAAAATATTAGTTGAATAATCACATAAGTGATTAATTTGCATAATAACAATAATCGATTAAACCTATAAATAAACCTACTATCATTTAAACTAATAATGAGCCTAAAAAGGTAGGATTTACTTCAGACTGTGTATTTTGGGATTCTTCAAAGAAGAAGAAAAACACTGATAATTAAGATTAAATAAAAAGAAACAAACTACCCAACAGAGAGGCAAAAAAATCATTTTTCTTAATGGAATAAGAGTTAGAAAGAAAAAAATTGGATTCTTTAGACAATAAATATTTATAGGAACAAGGATAAAAATAGGTTGATGAATTGCTAAATGAGGGTCAATAATATAGTTCAATAGCAATATAGAAAAAAAAGATTAATGAATACAAAGGATCAGTTTAGATAAAAAGTAGCTTCGAAGAACATATTGATAGTTTCCAATAACCTGAAAATTAAGTTTTTGAATACAATAAGCTTCTCAAATATTTATTTATGAAAGATTACTTTGAAAATAGAAAATAAGATTTTGAATTCAATCAAATACCCACTAATTTTTCAAGTTGGGAGTCATATAGCAAGATATTTCAATAATTTTTCTTAAATGAAGCTTGTGCTTAGATTAAACAAAGCTTTATTGAATTCATGTTCAAACTAAAAAAAAATAACAAATACAGGAAACTGTAAATCAAATTAGACGAATCAGAGGCCAATAAAGATGGTACTATATTTTAAATAAGGAAACTTTACGAAGAATAAAACATTGAATAAAATTAATAGCAAATAGATGAAGACAATAAATAAACTTAATGTTTGAAAGGGTCAAGTTTTGAAGAGACTAAAGATGGATACTGCGAGTTAACAACTTTAAAAAACTATTTGGTAATTATCAGCAATAAATTCTAAATTAAGTTGGGTCAATTAAATTAAGTAAATGAAAAAACTATGCTTTTCTTTGGGATCTTAATCGAACCTTAGAAAGCAACAGTACTTCAACAAATAAAGGTATAAACTTTTGTTCAACGATAAAAATTCGCCTCTTCTCGTTGGTACAATGTATTCTTAATACCATTTATGAAGATAACTACCATTATTAGAGAATATTAAACTCTTTCATAATTAAGGTATATGATGACACCCTTATTTAATATAATTTATGATCCAAATAGATAATAACACTTGTTGGGAACTGAAATTGGAGGTTCATGGACAGCGTAATTTAGGAATTAAGTTTCAAATAGTGAATATTTGACTAAGTTTTTTAAATTGGTAGATTAAAAATTTAATAAAAGTCAAGCTAATTCTATAAAGGAAATATTGTAACAAGAGAAAGGCATAAGTTTACTTTAGGGACCAGTAAAATTTAATATATATATTTAGCCTGGAACTGGTAAAACTCATACTCTGATTGGAATATTATCTGGGGCTTATGAATATATGAAAATGACTGACAAATTTCCAAGAAAAAAAATATTGGTATTTCCTATTTTTAATATAGATCTGTGCTCCTTCAAATGCAGCAATAGATGAAATCATTTTGAGAATCATGAGACCAGACAGCTTATTTGATTCAGATGGTAAACCAAGAGAAGTTAAGGTAATAAGGATAGGATTAATCGATGAGGAGAGTGAATTTTCAGATACTGTCAAAAAAGTCTCTTTAGAGTATTTAGCCTAGAACATGTTACTAAAATCTTAAATAATAAAATAAGAAGCAGATTAAAAGACAACAGCTGATTTAAGAATTGATATTTGCAAGATCTAAAATCAAATTAAGAAATTACAGAAAATCAAAAAATAAGATCTAACAGATTAATCTACTTATAGTGAACAACTATCTAACTTGAAATCAGATTTGTCAATTAAATAGCAATATCTAGAAAGGATGAGAGCAAAAAAAATACAATATAAGGAATCATATAATTTATTTTGTGAAAAGATTTTGAACGAAGCTGAAATTATTTGTAGTACTTTGAATTCAAGTGGATCTGAGAAATTATCTAAATATATGGATTAAATTGAATTATTAATAGTAGATGAGGCAGCATAATGTACTGAGCCTTCTAATATTATTCCATTACGATTAGGAGTTGAAAAGATGATTTTGATTGGAGATCCAAAATAATTGGCTGCTACTACTTTTTCACCTAGTTCAACTACAGGATTTTATAATAGAAGTTTATTTGAAAGAATTTTGGATAACAATTTCTAACCGCATTTCTTAAATATTCAATATAGAATGGATAGTGAAATAAGAAAATTTCCATCCTTTGAATTTTACCAAAACAAACTCATAGATCATGAATCAGTAATTTAAAGAAAGTTACCTGAAAATTATTTTAAAAAGTAAATGTTATTTCTAGATATTATTGATGGATAAGAAAAAAGAGATAATACTTCTTACATCAATGAAAAAGAAGCTAATTTAGTTATTTAATTGATAAATAGCATCAAAGAATAATTTAAAACTTAAACTATAGGGGTTATCTCATCCTATAAAGCATAGGTTAAACTTATCTAAACTTTAATTAAATAGAGTAATACAAGATTGAAAGATATCGACAATAAAATCTTAAGTGTAAATACGGTTGATTCATTCTAGGTATTATTTAAACTAATATTAGGGACAAGAAAAAGATATTATCATTTTTAGTTGTGTCAGATCATCTGAATGCAAAGGAATAGGATTCTTAAATGATGGCAGAAGAATAAATGTTGCATTAACAAGAGCTAAATTTGCTCTATTTGTGATTGGAAATGGATTAACTGTATTTCTTAATTCTATAATAGTTATCCAAAGGATAGCTATGGAGAAACCTTTTGTAAAATATGCAAGAAAGACAATTATACAGGAAAATTTAGATTACAGAAGAATTTTCATTTGAAAAAATACTCAACGATGAATGGGAAGATTCCGATAGATAAATGTCAGAAAAATTAATTGCCAGCATATCATCCTAAAAACTCTCAAAATTTTGATCTTTTATTTTATAGTGCTTTTTACATTTTGTTATAGCTTATTCATTAGTAGATTAAATTCTTACTACTTCATTATATCAATTTATAAAGTCTATAATAAGATCATTCAATGTAAAACTTCCTGTTAAAACATTTAAGCCAACTCAGTAAATATCTTTGGTTTCAAACACATTAGAGCTACAATTTGCATTGCACTGTAGTCTTTATATATTTCCCATTCCAACTGTAAATTATCAAAGGAAGGATTTTGTTTATTTTATTTAACTTCTGCCATCGATTTTAGAGTATCATGAACTAGATTTCGAATTTACCTTCCTGCCATTACACTTTTGAGGTTCTTATGATTGTATCTATTATTAGCAACATTATCTTATAGTGAGAATTAAGCTTTTTGTATATAGAAAAGTAGAGAGTGTTATAGACCAGAATTCTTCACTACTTTTTGAGATTTTGAAAAATATCTAAATATGATATTCTTAAACAATACTTTTTATAGGCTTCCATGCATTCATTAAATAAATCCATTTTCAAATATTTGTTATTTCTATAGGATGTTAACTAGTATCTCATTTATTTATTCTCATATTTTATTTAATCAATTTAAGGATCAATTAATTATTCCTACTTTTAACTTGATTGACTTAGTGGTTTTTATGGATAAAAGGTAGTTTAATACTAGGTTCTCTGAGTATCAGATGTTTTCTTTGATTTTTTCTATTGATGTCTGGCTGCATTGATTTCTCTTAAGAGAACAAGGTTCTTTGAATTCTGTTTATTGAGTGCTGCATGTTTATATTCAATTACTCTTTTGAGATTCTTACATCTTGTAGTATGTTCAGAAATTTGATTTTATAACTTATTGATATTCTCTGTCAATGCTTCACTATATGTTTTATAATTGTTAACATCTTCAAGTACTTTTCTAATTTCAACACTTTTTTCAATTTTATCTTGCAATTCCAATAATGATAAATTATACTTAATTAAGTTATTCTTGGCTCTCTCCAGAGCTTATAAAATAGATCGATATCTAAAATAATAAATCACTAAAATTACCTTTTGCCAAGATAAGAATCTTGTTTCTCTCTTGTTTCATCGATTGTTGGTTGAAAGTGATCTAAATACTCATCCAATTTTTATTTATCCTCCTGTCTAGAGTCTATTAATTTTCTATAATTATTCTTTCCATTACTTGACAATTTCACGATAATTTGGAGTAGGTTTCAGAGGTTCAGGTACATAAAATATTTTAGTCAATGACATATAATAAATTTAATAATTGATTATATTCTGATTTAGAAAAGTATTAATAAATTTTATAATAGAGAAAAAACAATATGAGATTAATTAATAAACAATATATTTTATTATTAGTATTTTTGTTTTGTAATTAGATCTATAAATAAATATATCCAGTAGAATACTCTTTCATCTACAAAGTTTAATTTATTTACTAATATCTAATATCAATTGAAAAAACTCAGATTCCAATTGTTAGATTAGAAGATTCAAAATCAATATTGTTTATTAGAATCTTTATTCCAGTTGATCTAAAAGTTAAAAGAGGGGATTGCAACTATCAAATAAAATAATATTATTTTATTTTTACAGTGATATTTAAATTAAGATTTCATATATTAGTTATCATTCATTCACCCCCTAAATACCTATAGTTAACTTTATTCTTATTATTAGGTCTAGTTCTAAGTCTGCTATTCACTTGAAATTCAGAATTCTAATTTTAAGAAATAAGAATTACCTTATCCTCTTATTATTATTATTATTGTTATTATTATTGTTATTATTATTATTATTACTATTAAGGCGTAGAATTTATTTTCATTATGGGGGAATCCGCTAAATTCTATTTCTTAACCATTTTCTTGCCTGCATTCCGTAGACTATCTAAGTCTTGCTTAATTTCATCCTCATAAAGATTAAACCTAAAAGCTTATAATTTCATAACATTTATAAATTTACTATATAAAACTTTATTATCTCTTGTGGCAACGAAGTTAATATTTTTCTCTCTCATTCTATTGTCATCGCATTCAACAATTTGCCTCTATTTTGGTTGGTATTCTTCTGTGGACTTTTCTTATTTCTTTTAGGGTTGAGAATTTTGTTATTGTTTCTTAATGGTTTTAGAGCAATTCAAACAATGATATACTTTATTTTCAGTTTCTTCTTTGATGTTTTGATTCCTAAATTTAGCTTCACAATTTAAATGATTCTTTCAAATAATTCAATAGCTTACCCATTTTTCACAAGCATCGCATTAGATCCACTCCTATTCATCTTAGTCATTAGCACCATTTGAATATACCTGTTGATATTTTATAATAATTCTTAATACCTATTCACAAAAATCACAATAATTTCCACGATTGTATAATCTCAAACATTTCTCACAAAATTAGAGAGCCTCTCCTTTTCTTGATTTGGCTTTTCGATCACCTTTATTATGGCATTTTTAATTGTGACATTTCTACACTTACTATGGTTCATCATCCTCAACAGTAATGGGATTATTAAAAGTATTAGTTTTCTTTTAATTCCCTAAACCCATCTAGCAGATCAATTGATTGGACATGAAAGGATTCAAAGAAGATGGATTAGCCATCTAAAGACTTTTCTGAAAAAGCTTCGTATAATCTAATGCATTTAATGCGCCCCCAAAACCTATAATAGAACATAGTAAATTTAAAACTATAAGGGCATTAGATGATAATTATTGGCGAACTTGATGATATCTTACCAAAATTGACATTAAACAGATCTTGTGGTTAAAGGGTTCTATTGGCATTGTCTGGAACTTATTGAATTAAGCCTGGAAATAACAATGGTTTCATATTAAGGAAAGTACTCAGAAGTTGCTATTATCTAAATAAGGTAATTAATTGCCGAAATATTGTTTAGATCTAATATGGTGATATCATAAGGTGAAAGTGGATTTGGAATCATACCTAAGCTGTTGTTAATATTCCTCAAGTTAAGAGGGAATAAGTTATTGCAACAAAGAATTTTAATTGTTCAACCCAGAGTTCATATTATTTTAATGATAGTTTAAATTAAAATGGTCATTCCCTATTTAATTATTATATAACCTATGTGAACCCAGTTATTTATTTACATATAAACTATTGTTAAGACACTTCAAGACAAATAATCTATTAGTTTCCTCTTTTAAAAATACACTTATGATAACAAGATAATATTTTATCGTTTTAATATTATTCTCAACAACAAAAAAATCGATAAAATTGGGGAAGAAACCTCTTCCTTCTTTTTTCGATTGATCATCAATATTTAATAATCACCTCTTCAGTATTTTAATGAAAACAAGCAGAATTTATTTAAAAAAATAATATCAATTGCATTTTTGTAATTAATACTGTTATTTTAATGTTAAAACTTTCAATCTAATATTACTTAATTATTGAACATTGAAAACCTGTTGATTTATGAATAAAGTTGATTATATCATACTAAAACTCAATAATTGCGTAGATTAAATGAGCAGATTTTATAATAATTAAAATATCTAGCACATATACAAGAAATTCAAAAAGCTATATTTTTATTTGAGTTAGATTTAGATCACTTAAGATATAATAATATAAATAATCAATTGCAGCCATTAGAGCTTGTCATATACTCATTTTGGAAGGTAAATTTTCTTGATTTCTTCTCCTGATCATGATGGTGCTATTGACTATAAATATAGAATTAGTAATTATACAGATGCTATTTTCAAGAGTAACGCGATGGAGAACATATTTCTAGCACTTTCCAGATTTTAACTTTGATCGAATTTATTTTTCATTCCATTATTATAAACCAATAACATTTTAAGTGTAATTTGTTTCTGGTTATCTATTTGTGAGGCTATCATCTTATCTGTTTCTAGCTGGAGATGATTATTTTTGCTTAGTGCACCCCATAAAAATACTCTAAATTTATTTAAGATTTATAATCTAAATTAGAATTAAATTCTCATTTTTTATATTATTTTATAATTTTTAATAATTTAAGAAATATCTTGAGATTTGTTTCATCAAATACACATTTTCACATGTATTATAAATATTGTGTAAATTATAATATTTGAATATATCTCCTTAATAAATATGATTTACTTCTAAAAGTCATCCTAGAGGATATTAATGTATAAGAATATTAATGCTTTATCAAAATAGTAATTCGCCTATTTCATCATCTATTCTGTAAAAATATTGATTCTATTACTAAGAATTTTTGATATACTAATCAAAAGGAGGATCAAATAAGCCAAGAAATTCAACTTATAAGATGGAACAGAACATTTAAGTATATCAGTTAAACCTATTATAAAAGACCTTATTAGTATGATGGTTTTATTATCTAGCAATCTGGCAGAACAGAAATCTTTTGGGATTAATAAAGTTTCAATCAGTATATGTTTTACATCTCGGATTTTATGAAAGAAGAAAAATGCACAAAATAGAAATAAAGCATCATCTTGGAGCATCAGTATTATTTAGAAAATAATTTGGAACAGTGGAAAACTAGAAAGAAGATTTAATCAATTCATTTAATTTAAAATATTGAATTTAGAGAAAATAGTTATATCATATAAAAAATATATATAATATTTGTATTTAATTATATTTAAACTGTAATTATACTGATTGATCATATAAAATCACTTTTTACTACTCTTTAAATCATAGTTTAACTAATCGATACATTTCTTCATTCTAATGTTGTCTAACATTAATTCTTCATAGGAAGGTCTTCCAACATTACCACTTGCACCACCCCATTAATTTGATTAATTCATTGGACTAACACCCATTTTGTTCTAAGAAACTTAATTAGGAGTTCCTAAATATGCACTATTAACTTATTGACCTGGTGGTCCATATTATCCACCAGGGCCATAAACTGGTTGACCATTTGGTCCATAAATAGGTTATCCATTAGGTCCATAAGCAGGTTGGCCATTCTAAGGACCGTATAGTGGCTATCCATTGGGACCATAGAGAGGCTATCCATTGGGACCATAGAGAGGCTGCTGATTAGGATTGTATGGCTAATTCTAGGCGGTTGGTCCAAATTATCCATTGGGATTAGGTTTTTAACCAGGTTACTATTCAGATGGATCTAACAGTCCTAAGAGACCATTGTCTTTCAATACTTTCAAAGCCTTATTGTAGTCATCATGAACTTGTTTTAAATGTTAACTAAAATAAGTATTTAGATTACTCTAATTCTTCTCTTTCAGCTTTCAAGTCATCTAATTCTAATAAAGCATTGTCCAATTATCTTTTTAATTTAGGTACATCTCCTGCCTTTTTGGCATCATTTTGGACATTGTTCAATTTTTTGCCAAGGTCATCTTTATCCTTTCTATAATGATATAAAGATTATTATCATACTCTGCATCTTTTAATTTGTCCCTCACTTTACCCAATTCATCAAGCAATTAGTTTCTATTTTTATGTAAATCATTTAATTAGTCTTTTGTTTTATCTCTATCTCCTTTTACATCACCTAAATTCAAATGTAAATTATCGTTATCTAATTGAAGATCATTGCATTTCTTTTCAAGATCCTTGTTGGTCTTTTTCAAATCTCCCAAATCTTTTTAGAGATCATTATTCTCTTTGGCCAATTTACCCAATTTATCCCTTAAAAAATCAATAATTTATCTACTTGATTGATCCATTTTGTTTTTCCAAAGCTGCTAGATCCGCTAACATTTTATCTCTATCACCCTTCAATCTATTCAATTTATTCTTGAGATCGTTGTTCTCTTCCAAAACCTTATCATTATCTTTGTTCTTCTTTTTTAGATCTTCAATTTCTTTTTTCATACTATCATTATCCTTAGCTGCATTATTTGCTTTATCTATATTATTTCTTAGATCTTTGACTTACTAAGAATATGAATAATTAGATTACATTTCCCAATTTATTATTGTCATCAAGTAAATCTTGATTCTTATGTCTTGCATCTCTTAATTAATCTTCTAACGGACCGAGCATTGCTTTAAGTTTCTCGTTTTCTTCTGGTAGATGTTTGATTCTATCTAATTCCGTCTGTAATCGAGCCACGTCATTCCTTAATTTTCTGTTTGCCTTAGCTTTTGCAGCAATATCATCTCGAAGTTTCTAATTTTCTGTTCCAATATCATCTTCTGGGTCTCCATCCCCAGTCACACCTTCACAATCAGGACAAACACCATACTCATACTCTGGGAAATTACTATTTCCTTATTGGGGCTTAGCCTTTTACGCCTCTTACCTTGCTAATAAATCATTCTTGTGTTATTAACAAGTCAAACAAAATGGACAATGTACTTCAGGCTACTGTTAAATTCTCACTGTATTTTCCATCGGTCTTGGTTAGTATACTTGAGATTGCACATATGATTGTTGACCCATTTGAGGAGGCATGAAAGGAGCAGGAATAGCATTGCTTGGATAGTTCAAGGGATTCTAAGATTGCTGTTGGATTGGTTGTGCTGTCAAGATATTGTTGTTGCTCTAATATTAACTACGACTCTGAGGTTAGGTTATGATTTAATGACCAGACATTTGTATGTTAGGTTTTAATTTCTATATTTTAATTACGTTTTATTTATTTCAATCGTATAATTATTACATTTGAGATATATTATTATTATAATAATGTTATCCCTATGCAAAATGGAAGATGTTTAGACATAGAATTTTAACTCAATGAAAAGTTGAATTATGATATCATCGTACAATATGAATTTAGAACAATCAATTTGCTGGTTCTTTTGGTTCTGATGAAGCACTAGTAGTTGTAGTTTCTACATTGCCTTCTGACACATAAGAAAAGAACACCAATTTATAAAATAAATACAGAGACAATTGCATTGTAACTACTATGGCTATTATGATATACTTTTTTTGAATCTATAATTTATCTAGTTCTCTAATATTATAATATTAAATGATACTCTTTTAAATTGAAAATTAAGAATAATATTGAATTTCCAACTCCATATGTTATAATTAGCCATAAAAACAATTCATTCTAAAAGTAACATAGAATTGTGATGGGTAACAGTGTTGACATGGAATAACCATATAAGCAGATGGTTTGGAAGAAACTTAAGTCCACTCCTAAGACCTTCATAACAACAGCTAAAATCGCAGGAGTTCCGAATGCAATTATGTATAACAAGGCCGTTGCTTAAGGAACATAACCGACGTCAAAGGATTGGTTCTCTTTCTCTGAGTCTACTTATCTCAAATTAGCGATAGCCGTAATCATAAAAATCAAAGTAGCATTGATCCATATTGGTCCCCATCTACCAAATATATAGAGCATATATACAAATCTGGGTTATCTTTGGTAATGTTCAGAAAATCTGGACGAAATGGAAGAAATGTGGCTTTGACTCTTTGTATAACATCATTTTCCGTGACATTGAAATATGGAGTGTAATATCTATTATAGAATTGTAGTAATTACTCAACTGTCAGAAATCCACAATATCCTGTTTGCCTTTTATCACCACTATCATTCAGTTTGTTGAATTATCCTTTTTAGACTTGCTTTTCCTCATCTGTTTATTTTTGTACTCCGATTTCCATTCTATTCTGATATTTTTATTTTAAATAATATTAAAATTCTTATTCATCTCCCCATTAAATCAGTTAAAATGCTTACAATTATGAATCATTTTATAAGCAATAGATCTTGCAATTTTCATATTTTAGAGTTTCTGTTTTTATAATAATATTAAATTTATACATGTAAGACGATTTTGTTTATCATCCTGAGATCATGAAATCATAACTAAGTATGCTGCCTCCTATTGAATAACTCACTTTGTAATAGTTAGCTAATAAACGAAAAATAAATTTCAACATGATGCTCTCATTGCCGGTTTATTATTAAATTTCTAATTGCAGTTTCTACTGAAAGACAAAGCTTTAGAAGATAGGAAAGATACTATTGCCATCTATAGAAAACATAAATTTGAGCCATTGAAGCCTTAAAAACACAAAGTGACTTTGATAAACAGTGGTCGCATTCACTGTCCTGAGTTCTGGTCAGATAAATATCAGAGCACTGCCTTACGTGGTTCTCATATAGATAGAAATCTAGACAAGTACAGACAGATCATTAAAAATAACATCTAAGATTATTTGGTTAAATTTGAGATGCAAGCTAAAGAATAATTGGAAGAATCAAAAAAGTATTAATTAAATAGATTCAAGAATTAAATATTAAGAAATCTTTAAAAAGCAATGTTCCATCTCTGATGAAGAATGTGCCCCATCAAATAATGAGTTAAATCTTAGTCAATGCACCCAAGATGAAATTATTAACTACTATAGAGATGTTAAAAGGCAAGATTCTGCCAAAAAGACAAGCTTGAGAAATCTTGATAAGATTACTTGCAGTAGTGTTAAATAGAGTTTTATTGAAAAGTTCGACAAAGTCATTACTACTTGCGATCGCAATTCTATTCCATCCAATAGAAATTCCTTGGATAGCATAAAGTAACAATAAAATCTATTAGATTAGCACTTGCGGATATAGGAATATTAAATAAAGAAATAGACATGTTGTTGGCAGCAAGACATGCAGAAGTCATTATAATTGATACTAATTAATATATATATTTATGATCAAACAAATTTCATCACATTATTGTTTTTACTCTTTATGAAGAAGAGGTGAAACTAGATTTTTTTAGATTAACTTTCTTTTGATTTGCGAAGTAAGGTTATAATCTATGTTAAAATAGGGGAGCTGTCTAAGGAGCAGTATGAATTCGAGTTTCCTTTGTTTCTGATAGAAATTTTATTATGGAATCTCTTTTAATTTATTCATAAGGTTTATGTTTGTATTTATTTAATTAAAGCAAAACATACTTTTTTTACTTAGGTACAAAAACTATATTCTTTCTTGTTTGTTGTAACTAAATACTAGGCTCACTAGGGGAATCTGATATCAAATCAGAACATTTTTTTTCCAATGGTCGTTAATAGTAAGTGCGATCCTTGGTAAAAGTCCTTAGAACCTTGATATCCTACATGCTGGCAAAATGAGAATCCCTATTAGAGTTAAGTTGATTTGATGGGTTAAATTGGCTTATATTTTATGTATCTATCTTCTTAAACGATTTCTGAAATTTTGTTTTCATTCTTCCCTGTATTGCTCTTCTTCTAAGATCTTTGACTCTATCTAGAAATTAATGTTATTATATAATAGTTCTAGGGTATTTAAGGTCTATATTCAACTTTACAATAAACTAAATCACTTACTATTTTTTATGAATTCATGCCTTCATTGAAGCTCTTCCTTCTTTGTCTTGGGAAATCATCTGAAATCTTGATTAGTTAGTAGCTGTGAATCGCATTATTGGTTTTATGTAAGCTCTTCAAGACTACACTAGGTTTGACTTACTTATGCAATTTATTGTAAAATTCAATTTTTTGGAACTTGACTTGTTGGTTTTCTGAACTGTCTTTAGCAATTAATCTTGGATATTATTTACAATTCTTATCCTGGTCATTGGTGATTAAAATCCTCATTAAATTAATTAAATGCAAACATCAATAAAAGGCAATAATGAATATACAATAATTAATAATTTCAAATTTTAATTTACTATTAATGAATTAACAGCGTCGACTTTCTCCAGCTCCTTAAAGTCCTATCCAACGCAATACCATAATCTCATGTATGATTCATTCTTAAATTAGAACATTCTAATCGATTTCAATTCCTCTAAGTGACTCCATCCACTCATCCTGTGTAATATGTCCAATTGTAGAATTGTAAGAATCCTGCATTTAACAATTAGACAATGAACCAAGATAAATCTCTAGAGAAAGAGAGAACAATCAAATTCCCTACCAATAAGTTTGTCCAAAGGGATTTTAGAGTCTGAGATTATTGAGTCAGCCTGATGGTAATTCGAGTAAGTCACCAGTTGCTCCAGTTATGTAATCCTAACCAAATATCAGACCGAATTAAAACTCTAATTCTCTACAATAATACATAGATAATGCTCTCAGAACCTAAAGAGAGGAAATGCTAAAATTATTAGAATAACAAAATAAATAGATCGATTATATGCATTAATAATAGCAACTTATCATCTAATAATAATAGTCGCAACAAGAAAAAAAGAAGGAGCCTGTTAATATTGAGTCGTAACTCAATTAAGTGAAAGAACAACTCAATTTTTAGATTACTTAAACTTGCCAGGGATATGATCCATAAAATACAGAAACAGGAACAAACAGACTTCAAGGCTTTGCAAGTGCAAATAGAGAAGTTGAAATCTCAACTCTATCAAATTAACCTATCAACGAGCAAATAGTCTGATAGATTGTAATAATCATATAGAGGCAAAGAGAATGAAGTAGAAGAATATTAATATAAAAAACATATGCCTTAACGAAATTCCTTAGATAACTATGATTAATATATCAAGAAATACGAGTAGTTCAATAAATAGGTTAATGATTATTTGATTAATCGAAAAATACCTGACCATTTGAGTTCAATACTTAATTCCAGTAAGGATTCGAATAGTGAGATTCATGAAATCGAATACATCTCATCAGATCATCCTCTTACTGATATCACAAACACCCATAATATCAAATAAAATAAATCATATTAATCCCAACCCTTGTAACAAATTGCTTAACCATCCCTCACTTAATAATTTATGACTCAAAAAACCACTACTTAATCCCATAACTTACCTAATGAAGATTCCCCTATAAAAGCATTGAATGAACAAATGATGATTGATAGTTTGGATAACATCAATGTGCATGATCCAAATAATTTATAAATTACCAAAGAAGAATTCGATCAACTAAAATGTAAACCTTAAACTTAATTTATTAGCTTAAAGAATGTCAACCATACATGAAAACGATGATGAAGATGAGGAATTAATGTATTAAGTTGATGAAAACGGATTCATTTTGAGTCAGGATGGCCATCCTTTGATTGATGATACAGGAAAACGAATACAACTAACAAAATAAGAGCTTCAATTCTATAAAAACAAAATTAATAGTTGATATAATATATATATAAGGCACTCATTTTTATTTATAATAATTGGATAAACACCCCTATCTCTTCAAAAAACATTCCATATGATTCTCCTTATTCTATTATCCAACTTTCCTCTATGTAGTTATTGGAGATTTGACTCTCTGATCCAAAATAACTCTATTGATCCTGTCCATCATATTTGAGATAGGGATTACTTTCTATTTGTTTCCTGATTCTTAATTACTATTTTAGGTTTTTATCCTAATAGGAGATACAAATGATTTTTCTTTTGGACTTTCCAGCTTTTCTTTATGAGGTTTTAAGTAGAAATCTACGTTTTAACGAAATTTTTAATAATTCATAAACTTTTAAATTAGTTTTCACTTTTACAACTACCCATTTATAAACAATTATACAATTTGTTAAAAACAGCACTCATATCAAAACAACAATGTATATACGATAATTAGCTACATTACTCTTAATAAACAAAATTAAAACAAATCATTTTTATTCATCTAAGTGATTATTCGCAATATGATTGCCATTACCATTGCCATTTGCATTAGATTTGATAAATAAAATTTTCTTTAGTTTCTTTTCTATTTCTACTTCCAGGTTTACAAAATGTTATAATTTTTCAATAGTTGTGAATTAATCATTTTCAATTTCTTATATTGTGAAATATTTAGCAACACAATCATTCTTGAAGCGAGGCAACTTGATTTTATTAATCTCAAATAATACTTGGATAATCTTACTTCCTCTTAAGATATGGAGTACTTCTATCTATTTTCTTCTATTCTTTGTTTCCTCTCTTCTTTATTAGGATTATCACCTGTATTAATAACACATCCATTTTTTCTCATTACTCCCTTTTTTTGATTGTTGTCTATCCAAACCTTTTCTAAATCAATCTACAATCCTATTTTATTGTTATAAATAAATCCATACCCATAAAATCTCCTAATGATTATTATCCAAGCATTCTCTATGTTTAAATGTATATTTATCCAATAGATTTATCTGGCAAACATTCTGATTAAATGATGCTTCTCCATTTGCCAATTCCGAATTTCTGTAATGCAAGCTTGAGTATCTTGACTTCTTCTTAGGACCAACCTGGAGATAGGGTGTAATTCCACAGACTCTTGGATTCATTGTGTGCTCCATGCTTCTTCCTTTTTTATTTCTCCATTATTGGCGCTTTAATTAATTAAATACAAATATATTGAGGAGTGGTTTTATATTAATTTTTATTATATAAATATTATGAGTACTGTGACAAATGAGTCAAAGAAGAAGGAAAGCATAGACAAAGCTCTTCTTTAACAATAGAGAGAACAACTCAAATAAACTGTTTTGGAAAGATTTATCAAGGATTTTGGGAAGAATAACAAAAATAAAATATAAGTAACTTACAATCTAGAGATTAGATAATCACCAATATTGTGAATGAATATTTCTCAAAAACTAGAGTTACCGATGTTACTTTGAAAAATTTAAAACAACAAGTTTAATAAGCAATTCAAAATGCAGGATCCACAACCCAATCTCAAGCAGAATAATCAATCAAGGAATCCTAAGGTATAGCAATGTTGTATTTGGTAGTCACACAATAACAATAGTTGTAATAGATACCATAATAGAAACCTCCAAGTAGTCAATCAAGGAAATCAAATTAATAAATGTAAACAGCAGCATAATAACATCATGATGTCTATTCTGAAACATCTTCAAAGGTATCAAGAATTCATTAACAAGGCACCCAAATCAGTGTACATGATGGAGGGAGATGAGGATGATGAATGGGCGACTTTAGTTAAATTTGATACTGAATTGTATAAAAAAGAAAAAGAACTTGAGCTTATAAGAAAGTAGGAGTTTAAGAAGAAGATCAAATCGGAGTTGGATAGATAAATAAATGAGAAATAAGGGAAGAAACACGAAGAGGTTCAAGATGAAGATGCTTATGTGAAGTTGCATCATTATCAATTGAATGTATATGATTAGAGAGAGAAGGACAAGCAAGATAATTTGAAGAATAAAATATATAATGAAAAGTTATAAAGAGACAAATAAGTAAGAGATGAATAGCAAAGAAAGTAATATAATATTCATTTTATTAATAGAAAGGTTGAATAAAAAAGAGAGAAAGAACTGGACAGTTTGTTGGTGAAGAAAATTAGAGAAGAATTAGAATTAGAATAAAGAGAGTAATTAAACAGAAGAAACAAAGAAAGAGAGCGTTTTCTAAGAATGATGAAAGAAAATGAAGAGTATAGAAAGAAAGCCTTAGAGGATGCTAAGTTGGAGAAGGAAGCAGAAACTTAAATGCAACAATAATACATCAGTTTATAGAATCAATTAGAGGAATAAAGAGAATTAGAGAGGAAATAGAGAGAGGATAAGATGAAAAAGGTTATGGGAATGTTTGCTGAAGGAGTTGTTCGAGATCAAAAAGAATTGATTAAATAGGAGGATGATAAAATGCTTAGGAACATTATTTAATAGAATGACAGAGAAAAGATTGAAGAAGAGAAGAAAAAGTTAAAATAATTAGATTAAAGATAACAATTAAGATCCTTTTTGAATTCATAAATTGAAGAAAAAAAGAGAAGACAAGAAGAAGAGGAGGAACTCAATAAAAGACAAGCAGAAATTTGGAAATAAGATTTAGACAATTATAATGATCACGAAAGAAAGAAATTTGATGTATTCAAATCTCATTTTACATTAGTACATTAAAGAAGTAAATTTAAGACATGCGGATATATTAAAAAGTTAAATCTAAGAAAAACAAGGCAAAATCAAGTAAAAGTCTACTAAAATGAACACAGCTGAGTTATTATAAAATAAGGATAAACTAAAAGTTATTGCATAAGAAGTACCTGATCTAGGAGATAAAGTAAAAAAAATAGAGATTTGATGAATAAAAATCAGCATAGAATATTATATATATAAATATTATTGTAAAATTTTATGATACCTAATCGTGAATAGTAACTAAATTAAAAAGAGTTAGAAGCTCTAAATCAAAAGAATAAAATAGCATCAACTTTAATTGAAGATGCCTCATTTAATACTATGATCAATAAAAAAAGAGCAGAACTAAGTGATAAAGAATTTCTTAAATGGCTCGATTAAATAAAAAAGTCAGATCAGCAAAAATTGATTTCCATCAAAGTAGCTGGATAGGATACGGATAAACTTTTAGTTAACAAACCTAAATAAGGAAATATGAAATAAACTTAAAAACAAGAATAACTAAAATCTTTTGGTCAATTGAAATAACAATTAGAATTAGAAAATATATAGGCCCAAATTAAAAAAAATGCTTAAAAGGCATAAAACCAAATAGATAGATAAAGATTAGGTGAATTTGCAACCAAAGATAATAGTAATAAAAAAAGAGTTGAGGATAACCAAAAAATCCTAGAAGAGATGTTAAAGGAAAAATAAAAAGAATAGGAAAGACAGGATTACTTTATTAATGAAGAAAAATATAAGAATTCTAAATTCCATAGCCATGATTAAGCAAAATTTGAGAGCAATCCTGATAAGTTAAAGTATCAATCTAAAAATGAAAGCAAAGCCAAATTATTAACAAAACCTTTTATCCCATCTTATAAAAAAGAACTATGATCAATACTTAATTTATAAAAATAGAATTATTATATTAATGTTTTAGTATTAAGGGATTTATGAAATATAAATTATCAAAACTACTTAGAAAGAGTTAAATGGGAAATTTCTCTAATAATAATTTTCAATCTCATAAATAAAATGATGGGCATTTTGTCTTTTATATTTCTTTCTTCAATTCAAATTTGAAATGGCTGAAATACAAAGTTAAAATTGTTAAACCTCATAACATGACATACTTCAATTATATTTTAAGTAGAAATAATATAGAAGTTGAAATGTTAAATCCTTAATCATGTATACTTATATTATAAATTTCTATCATGTAGGTTGAATTCAGGCCTATTTTAAGAATTTTATTTATATTGAACTCTTAATAATTTTAAAGAATAGTGATTTTTTTAATTATTTTAAAATTTCTAGATGTCTATATTTGATCATTATAGGAGAAAGGAGGCAAAACAAAGAGGTTTTGTTGCAATTTTGTTCAAGTGATTAAAAATTTGTATATATTTAATGATCAGTATTTATTCATAAAATATAAAAATTTTTGCTTTAGATTTTAAAAAATCTTTAAAAATGTAATAAGAAGCAGATTATGTAAATATTCATTTATATTTATTTAGAATTAAGATGAAAAATAAGTATACTAACTGAGGTAGTAAATTATTTGTTACAAGCAAGTTTAAAGGTAAGATTGAAAGTAACCATATAGAAATCACCACATAGAAAATGAAAAATTAATGTTTCCATACAGCAAAGACTAGTGGGAGGCAGAAAGGGAAAAGATATTCCAGAATTCGATTCAATATTTTCATGACAAAATCGATAAAAATGAGGAACTAAAATCCATTTTTAGAGACCGATACCCAAAGCTTAAATTGGATCAGACTTGTGATGTATAGTCTTTGATATGATATCCTTAGGATATGTCTTTATTTAGTGAACGAATGCAAGGGTATCTAGAAAAGAGGAGATCGGATATAGAATAGGAGCTAAAGAAAACCCACCAAAATGATCCAAAATATGTGAGTTTGAAAATTGAATTACTGTTTATAAATTCAAAGGAATTTTATTTGAAAGTTAAAGAGTCTATCTTGAATCCATTATTGTAGGAAGAAAATTAGGCAGTATTGTAATCAAGGATGCTGGAAAGATTATTATTAGATAGAAATTATTTTAAAAGAGACAAGCCTTAGAGAAGGGCAGAGAGCAAGTTGTCAGACAAATTTGAATTAAGTATGATACGACACGAATAGGCAAGAAGGAAGAAGATAAAATAAAAAGAGTTCATGTCAGCAATATTTGCACATCAGATTGAGTTTATGGAATTTCATAGAAAGAAATACAAACATGCTAGAAAACGAAGTGTTTAGTTTAAGGTTGTATTGGAATAAAGAGAATAATAAAGAGATAAACAGATGAGAATGGAGCACATCCGAAGAGGAAATCTAGAAACTTATATTTAAGTTTTGGAGAAGTTGGATGAGGCTAAAAAAGAGAGAGTAGTTTCCATTTTGAGATAAACAGATCAATTTTTAAAAGATATAGGGGCGAGAGTGAAGATTTAAAAGGGTGAAGAAATTATGGAGGAAGATGAAGTCATTGAAAATATGAATTCGAGCAATGGTTTGGGGTATGAATTAAGTTAAGCTAATAAAGTATATTATAATATAACTCATAAAATAAAAGAAGTAATAACACAATAGCCAACATTATTGGAAGGAGGATAATTGAAATAATATTAATTATAAGGATTAGATTGGTTAGTAAGTTTGTATAATAACAATTTGAATGGTATTTTGGCTGATGAAATGGGTTTGGGTAAGACAATCCAAACAATCTCTCTCTTATGTTATTTGATAGAAATAAAAAAGAATTTTGGACCATATTTCATTATTGTACCTTTATCAACTTTGAGTAATTGGTCCAATGAATTTGAGAAATGGGCTCCCTCAATTAAAAAAATTACTTATAAGGGTTCTCCTTAAATAAGAAAGGAAATATCAAAATAAATGAGAACAACTAAATGGAACATATGTCTAACTACTTATGAATACGTATTAAAGGACAAGTTAACTTTATCAAAATATGAATGGAAATACATAATAGTTGATGAAGGACATAGGATGAAAAATTCAAGAAGCAAATTCGCAATGATCTTAGGATAGTAATATCAAAGTGAAAGAAGATTATTACTTACAGGAACACCATTACAAAATAATATTGCCGAATTGTGGGCTTTATTGAATTTCTTGTTACCAAAAGTGTTTTCATCTTGTGAAGACTTTGAAAAATGGTTCTAAACTCCATTAAACATAATGGGAGCAAGCGAGAAGGATATTTAATTAGATGAAGAAGAATAATTACTTATTATTAATAGATTGCATTAAGTGCTTAGACCATTCTTATTAAGAAGAGTTAAAAAGGACGTAGAGAAAGAATTGCCTAGAAAAACAGAATATGTTATTAAGATAAAGTTATCAGCTTGGCAAAAGAAAATATATGACTAAATTAATTAAAGAGGAGTTATGACCTTTGATTAATAATCAGGGAAGAGTGGATCTTAAGCATTATAGAACTTGATGATGTAATTAAGAAAGATTTGTAATCATCCCTATCTATTTATGTTGAATTTGGATATGAATAGAGTCACAGATGAAATTTGGAGATCCAGTGGAAAATTTGAGTTATTGGATAGAATTATACCTAAATTGTTATACTTTAAACATAGATTACTAATATTTAGTTAAATGACATAATTAATGGATATAATGGAAGCATTTTTTGAGTATAGAGGATGGAGATATTTGAGATTGGATGGATCAACTAAATCAGAAGATAGAGAATCTAGAATTCAATTGTTTAATTAAGAAAATTCAATCTATAATATCTTCTTATTAAGTACAAGAGCTGGTGGATTGGGATTGAATCTATAATCTGCAGATACCGTTGTATTATTTGATAGTGATTGGAATCCAATGATGGATTTATAAGCATAAGACAGAGCGTATAGAATTGGATAAAAAAATGAGGTTAGAGTACTCAGATTGATTACAGCTACATAAATTGAAGGGAATATTCTCAGTAAGGCTGAACACAAAATGGGGTTGGATGCGGTTATCATTTAAGCAGGATTGTATAATTAAAGATCAACTGATCAAGAAAGAAGGGAACGCTTACAAGATTTCTTTAGACAAAAGAATAAAGTGGACTTGTTTGAAGCAGAAGAGATTCCTGATGATACTTAAATTAATGAATGGATAGCAAGAAGTGAAGAAGAATTTGAGATGTTTAATGAATTGGATAGATAGAGGTATGAACAAGAAAAATTGATTTATAAAAACTTTAATGAGAACAAGGATGATCAATATTATAATTATAGATTAATTTAAGATGATGAAGTTCCAGAATGGATTACATCTAAATAAAATGAAGTTCAGGAGGTTAAAGAGTATGGCAGAGGTTAAAGAGAAAGGAAATAAGTTGTTTATTACCTTCCTGAAGCCTCTCCAATCCTGGAAGAATAATAAGATGATATGAATGAATTAGATTTTAAAATGGATGATTAAATAGATATTGAATAAAACCAAGTGTTTTAAGATGATCTTGATTTACCAAAAATCTAGAGAAAAACAAAAAAATTAAGATAAGTAGATAACGATGAAGGCAACAGTAATAATTTTGATGAAAATGAACCAAAACTAAAAAGTAAACGTAAACTTAATTGATAATTACAATTTATTCAATTTATTCCAAACAAAATATATAAAAATAAATTTATAAATTCATTATTATTTAGATTTTAAAAGAATATCAATTCATAAATAGGTCTATTCAATTATGGTTATAAGAACCGATTACCGGCAATGCTACATATCAAAGAGGGTTAACATTCTCATTTATAAAAATTGAATATCTTGAGGAATCTAAATTGTTTCTTAAAATTTTCATCAAAGAAAAATCAAAAAAATTTAATGTCTATTGAAATCTACTTCCTTAAGCCAAATATTTTAACTTTAGTTTATCCTTTTAAAATTTTTATACCTGAATTTTTTTACAAATAACTTATTTATATTGTCAGAAGAAGATGAAAATGTTTTATAAACTGCAACTTTAATCATGGCATCAGAATTTTAATGCTCGAATTCATACTGTTCAGTATTCTAATGTTTTTAGGAGAGGGAGAGGCATCTAACCAGCACCTTTTGGAATATTGAAGTTTTAGATTGATTTTAATTTAAGTTTCCCAAATCTGTCGCTATTTATTTTGATTGGGTCGAAACTTGTCATACTCTCCCCGAAATGTGCAAGATTTATAGAGGTTAAGGTTGAATAAAAGTGAGTTTTATGAAAGCATTATTGAGTATTTGGTTATTTTATTTTAAAATTTAAAATAAATCAAATCCATTATTTTGCATGGTTCAAGTAAAGAGATAAGATAGAAGAAAAGTCTATGAATATTTGTTATTGGAAGGTGTTATTGTTATCAAGAAGGTATATTTTCATAACAATTCAAGGACATGGCACTTCCACTCCATGCTGAAACAGGTGTAAAGAACTTGGAAGTTTGGATGCTTTTGAGAAGCTTGAGAGACAAAAAGCTTGTGGATTTGGTATTCTCATGGCAATACTACTATTATTACCTTAAGGCTGAAGGTGTTAAATATGTCAGAGATAAATTGGGTATATGAAAATCATCTATGGTAAAAGGCATTGTCGAGGATGTTATCCCAGCCACTTTCAAGAAAGCAGATAAAAAGTTTGATGAAGATGTTCCTGAATAAAGAAGAGGCCCAAGAGGAAATAGGCCCTTTGGAAGAGGTGGTAATAGAGGACCAAGAAGAGCAGAAGAAGGAACCGAAACAGCATAACAATGAGATTGATATATAAAAATGGTACATTATATATGTCTATCTATGCTTTAATTCAATCCCTTTTACTCTTTGTGTTTTTATTAGCTTTTTAAGGGTTGTCAGAAGGCATTCCTTTAAACATATTTTATATTTTCTTGTCCATTTCTGAGTAAATTTTTCTCATTGCCACCATAAATAATATGAAAACACCTCCCATAATTGTTATTGTTAAAATCAGATTTTAATAATATCTAGCTCTTCTCTCAAACATCAGATCTATTGAATTGACAGAACTTGACACTTTTCCAAATGTATTTATTAAAGCAACCAATTCATTTCTTTTCAACTTTCCTGAAAATTCACTTGGAGATTCAGAAAATAGAATTTTTAATGCTGTTCCTAATCCATAAGTCTACATCTTTCCAAATACTCTACATTTTTGACATTCCACACAATCCATGATTTTACTTATGTTGTGAATATATCTTTGATAATCTTTCTTTTAATCCTAACAATAATAATGTTTAATAAATTACGAATGTTATTTAATTGAAGAATTATTATTCATCAAAAGGTTTAGAACATTAACTATTACCTAGAGATAAGATGGTGTTCAATAAATATTTGGATCTAGTATCTTCTTCAAAAGACATTGAATTTATATCATGTTTTTGAATTCCTGGAGATGCTAATATGACTGCCCTTAAAAGAACAGAATATATAAAGAACAAGTTTCGAATTCTTTCAGGATGATTACCTACTCTTTCGAAATATAATGAATAATTTGGGTAGGTTCTATTTGTTGATAAATCAACATAAAACTCACTCAACTAAGTCGAAATCGAAGTATGCAATCCCTACACTAATTTATTCAATGCTCGCTTCTCCCTACACATTTCATTTAATGAACCTTAGTAACAGTTTTCTTTATATATAACATCCCAAATGTGTTGTCCTTAGTATCCTGTATAGGCTTCAGGATTTAATTTCAAATCAACATAGACACCCTTGTCATTTTCGATATCTTCAACATGCCATATCCATTCAGATGGAGCTACAACTCATGAATGAAATTACATAGATATCTTTCTGAATCCCAGAATGCAAAATCATCTTTTGGCTAACTTATTGGAGAGGATACTGGGGCCAACCAATTGGATGGAATCTTGAATATATTAACCTTATTACTTCTGAGGTGTTACAAGTGCAAATTACACATTTTCTACTTGTGCAAATGTATTCCCCAATAGAGAATGGACAATCATTTTCTAAATTGACTCTGAAGATCTTAAAATATTTTTTGTACTATAAATTCGATCCTTATTTTTACAGTCAATTCATCCAATAGAGGGAATATTTGATCATTCACTGATTTGAGAGTTTGAAAGTCTTAACAGCTATCCTCAACAATTCCTTCATATTTAAAGCCTTTTTCCAACTAATTGTTTGATAGCTTTAATTACTAATATGTAGTTCAATCCTGTTATAATTATTCCTGCTACGTATGCATAAATCAACCAAGAGATGCATTTCCCCATCATCTTTAATTCCCATTCTTTTCTTTGTCTTCTTTTAGCTCTCTCTATTTTCAATTAAGTGAGTTCGTCTACAATCTCATCTTACCCTCTTTACATTATAAAGTAATTATAATTTATATTTAATTAATTTTAGTTTCAATCTAAATCTAAATCTATATACACGTATGATAAATAAGGAATCTCAAATAATTCTAAATGAAATATTTAAGATTCCTTATGCTGTTAAATTTTGATAATATCAATTTGCATTACTATTAATAATTTAGGTATTTGTTGTATTAGAAAAGAGAGGAAAACTACAAAGAAATTCAATATTATGGTAATCAATTTGAAGGGTTTTAAAGTTTCAGTTACATTAGATTTAATCTGTTGATTACAAAAGACTACTCATAATAATAATTGATACTTTTGATTGTGATTACTTATAAATAATTACAATTTAATATGTTGGCTTCAAGATCTGATTCTCAATTAAGAAGTCTTGAAAATCCAGATAAATAAACGATGAGAGGAGAATCTTCCAAAAGAAGTGATAAATTGCTTGAAATTCCAAGAAAAAAGCTCAATATGAGGTTATTGTTTTTATTACAGTTAGGCTGTATACTGAGCAGGAACAAAAGATTTAGAATTTAATTAATTCTAAAACAGTTACAATTAGTATTATTGCATTGGTCGGAATATATGCAATTTTAATTTTTGTTATTGTAGCTTTAGAGGAATTGATGGATGAGACATAATTCAACAATGTGTCTGTAATACTGAGTTGGATAGAATTAGGAATCCTAATTGTTTTCATTTTAGAAATAGCAGTTGGTTTATATGCATGGGGTGTGATGGTAAGTATTAAAAAATAAATTAGAAATATTACAAAGATAAATGGTTGATTTTGGATACTCTCATTATATTATTGTCTCTCTTTTTTGTGATCTTTGAATTGGCAGATTAGAAAACATCAAATGTAGTCAAAGTAATCTAGGCTGTATTTCGATTTTTACGAATATTTCTACTTATAAGAAAGGCTTAAACTTTCAGAAGACTCTCAACAATGTCTACTATCTCTACACCAGCTGAAAAGATTGTCCGATTCTTATCAGAATTGAAAGAAGTGATCGAACTTGAAAGTATGAAATTAGATATCGATTATTGCATTGATAAAATAGGTAACAACTAATTGTATTAAATGGGAAAGTTGGATGATGATAATGCTGAAGTAAATGCTGAATATAATATAGGCTATGGGTTGGTTGAATCAAAGTCAATAGGGTAAAAGTAGTGTGAGGAAAATTGTCACAGTTGAATAACAATAGTAACAGAAAAAAGTACTAGCCAACTTTTAAAGATTGAACATTCCCAAAAGAGTAATCATTTGCAATATGTTATTAGGTGCTAGAACTGTTAGACAAATAACATGATGATTTATATATTGATCCATTTGAGTGTGACAAATTAAGTGGAGGGGAAGGTTTGGTGTATTTAATGTTGTTTCTCTTTGAAAATTACAATCTCTATGATGTGTTCTTGATTAAACCCAAAGTTGTCAGAAGTTATTTCGAGGAAGTAATGAGGGGATATCAAGACAACCCATATCATAATAGAGTGCATGCATAAGATGTGGCATAAACATGCAATTTTTTGTTGAATAGATGCAAATTTATTGAGATTGGCTAATTAGATGAATAAGATATAGCTTGTGTTCTAATTGCAGGTGCCATTCATGACTATGGACATCCTGGTCTAACGAATGCCTTTCTTATTAATAGTAAAAATGAGTTAGCATTAACTTACAACGATTAAAGCGTTTTGGAAATGTTTCATCCATCCTAATGCTTCAAAATCGCTTGGACAAACCAGAAAGCAAATATCTTTGAAAGTCTGACATTTCAAAAATACAGAAGGATTAGAGAATCTATTATCTCGATGGTTTTATCCACTGACATGGCTCATCATGCTTCTGAATTAGCCATAACCAATAGTAGAGTGGCAGCACGTAAGTTATGTTGTGAATTTAGCCGACTTTGAACCATACGGGAAGGATAAACAAAGATTAATGGATTTGGTTGTTCATTCTTCAGATGTATCAAATCCAACTAAAAGCTTTGAAATCTACAAGTAGTGGACAGAGAGAGTTCTGACAGAGTTTTGGTTACAGGGAGATAAAGAACGAGAACTCGGCTTGCCTATCTCCTATCTTTGCAATAGATATACAACCAACATGGCAGAGGCCTAACTGGGGTATTTAAACTAATCATATTAGCTTTATTGATTATGTGGTCAAACCAACATTTTCTTGTGTTCAGGGTTTTCTTCCAGCTTTTGAGCCTTATCTCGAAAATCTAGATAAGAATAAGGCTAAATGGCAAGAACTTGTTGGGTACTACAAACAATAATTGGCCTCCATTTAAACTTAATGATTAATAGATAAATATTTAATAATTTTATAATCTATATAAATTAACTTCCCTTTAATTAAAATGAATAATTTGGAAATTAAATGTTATCTTATGAAATGTTAATTTGGGAATATATGCTTAAATAATCACATGTACTCTTGTATATATCAATTTTGTTATGATCAACAAATAGATTAGTAGATACCTATAGTTAATTGATATACTGTTGTAAAAATATTTGAATGTGAGTTAAGTTTAATCTTTTGGAATAAAATGCCAATGTTCTACTAATTATATCAATCATCTAAAGAATAAAGATATTAACTATATGGTATTAATTAATTTATCTAATAATTAATGAATTTTGAAGATAAATAAAATGACAGGCTATACAAAAATAGATTCTATATAAAGCATAAGATCAGTGCAGGTACTTTTTGAAACTGGTTTAACTTTTGTAAGGTTCATTTGGGGTTGTATTCTTATGTTAAGATCTGCAGACCAAAGAATATGTGGCAATGAAAGTGGAGAAGGAAGACACCAATTCAATGAGTTTGGAAAGGGAAATCTAAATGTTAGATGAATTAAAAAAGCTTCCAGGTTAGAAATTTGCTAAAATAGGGATTCCAAAAATAATATGGGCAGGAAATGAGCATAATCATAATTGTTTGGTGATGCAATTGCTAGGCAGAGATTTATCCTACCATTTAAAGGCTTTAAAAAGGTTTTCATTGAAATGCGTTGTCAATATATCACTGCAAATAATATAAATAATTGAAGGTGTGCATAAGAAGTACTTATAAATTCATATAATTTGACAGAGGAATAATTCATAGAGACATGAAGCCAGAAAATGTAATGACTGGAAAAGATCAAGAATCAAACTAAATCTTTTTAGCTGATTTTGGAATTGCCAAATTTTACAGAGAACCAGATGGAACCCATGTGTACATTATCTCCCATAATAGAAATAAATATCAGACCCTTCAAAGACAATAAATCCTTTGTTGGCACAACCAGATATGCAAGCATTGGAGCACACAGAGGATTTGAATTGAGTAGAAAAGATGATCTAGAATCAATTGGATATATGATTGTCTACATGTACAAAGGAACCCTGCCTTGGTAAACCTATCATAACGTCGCAGAGAAGGAAAAGACTAAAATGGTTGGTTAGATCAAATAATAAACATCATTAGAAGAATTGTGTAAGGATTGTCCTTAAGAATTTTATTAGTAACTCTCATTCATATTCATATGTAGATATTTTCATTATGTAAAACAATTGTAATACAAATCTACTCCTGATTATAGATATTTACATTCCTTATTTGAGTAAATATCTATAAACAATGGATTTAAACATGATAAAAGGCTTGACTGGACTGAATTCTCTCAAGGAACCACTAAAATCTCAGGAGAATAGACCCAACAAGAAACAAAACAACCAGTTAGGTCTTCTAGATAAGATGATAAATTTAAAAATGTTGACTACATTCCATCGAAAAGGTACATATTTTATTTAATTATCAGATCCGATATTAATAATTTACAAAAAGCAATTAATAGTAATAGGAATAGAAGTAGACATCAATCAGAATAATGTGTCAATAAAAGTAATAACAGTGGAAATAGTTTCTCATCTTCATATATCAATAGTTAGCAATCTTCAATTCTTTTAAACTATTAAAACTCATAATTTTCTCAAAATAATATTAGAATAGGATCCTCAAAACTACTTAGCAAATTATAAGAAAGGGGAATCATCAGTTTACATCAGGATTCTAAAGGATCTCTAATTTAATAGCAATCTTCTAAATCATTTCATGAAAGACACATGTCCTCTCACTTATAATAGTAATTAATTCCTCAATAGCAGCAGTCATTTCATAACAATAGTTAGATCATGCAACTCTAATAAGAAGACTTTTAAGATCTGGAGGAACTTGAAGAAAGATTAAAAAATGATAAAAAGTCTAAGTAAAATATACATTAATCAAGAGTTAACGAAATTAGGCTCATAAAAGCAACAAACCATTAAAAGTCAAAGAAATTCAAAATCATTTTAAGCAACCTGATAACTAAACTGATTTGTAAGGAATGACATAATTAGAAGAAGCAAGCATCGAAAACAAGCTATAAAACTACACTTCTTATGCTCCAAAATTAAAACAAAACTTAGCTAAATATTGACTCAAACTCGATTTTTTATTCTTTATTTTAAGTAGAAATAATCTAATTTTGATTGCTAGGTTTTATTACAATTCTATACACTTAATTAAGTGCATAATAATATGTTTTCATTTATTAAACAATTTTGTATTATAATACTATGTTATTTCATTGATTTTTATTACTTAAAGACAGTTTTAATGATTATTGTTTCATTTCAAAATAGTTAATATGTAAATATTTTTTTTAATTAGAGATTTGGCATATTAATGAAAAGGGTAGATTTTTATGAGTTTGATAAGTAATTTCAAAATATTAATTATTAATTATTATAATTTATTACTATCTAATTAATTTTAGTATATATTCAAATAATTTGCATTGTAATTGAGAGACTTTTATAAAATAAATCATATATTCAAATATGAATTAAATAGAAAATTAACTATTTTATTATTAAAATTTAATTAGTGAAATTTATTTTATATTCATTTAATTACAGTATTAATGAATTTATTCGAGACTTTTTTTCTAATTATATTTTGAAAATTAAATTAAATGAAATACAAACAATTAAAATTAATAAAATCATTAAAATTGCTAATCATTATTATTATGATTTAGATTTTGATTTTGATTGTTACGAGGATTGCATTCGTATTACTCGATTATGGTATGCAAAAGTTAAACTATTTCATTTTGAGTTGGTTATTGATAATTTGTTAATTATATCAATTTTTACCATAACGAAGATCTGTCTGAGTATTCTCTTCGTTCTTCTATTTCTTTTAATTATAAGAAATGCTATTACTATTACATCAAGCTTTGATAAAACTATAGATCTAATTATGAATTTTAATTAAAATATTGCATCTCTAGAAATATATGATTAATAAATACAGTCTCTAAAATACTATTGTTGAGGCTATGGATAGCATAAATATTGTTATTATTGATTTTACATTTATTACTACGCTTACAAATATTGTTATTGTAAATAATAAAAGTCCAAATATGTATTTGGTTAAAAATGTGGGATAATGGGAATGTCTTCTTAAACTTTTGCTTTCTTGATAGTTTCCTTCTTCTATTTGGTTTTTGGAGGTCTGCCTCTCTTCGAACTTGGAATTTTATATTCAAGCATAGGAATGTCTTTAATCTATTATTTTTGAAATCGAACTCCAATTCTTTCTTGGTCAAAGTAAGCCACAAAATTTTCTTTATTCATAGGAATTTTGGTATTTGAATCGCAAAACAAGATGCTAGATTATTTTTAATCTGAGAATTCGTGATTAATCACATTTTAAAATCCTTGAATTAAAGTTCTAATCAGATTTACACTTCTATAGGTATTAAAAGTATTTATATGCTCCTAAGATTGGATATGCTAAACTAAGATAAAAAGTCAACATACATCTAAATATTCTTCATAATTTTTTTTGCAGACTCCACAATATCTATGTTTTTTGCCAGGCTTTGGAACTAACTTAAATATAATACAATAATTAAATACCATTTTGGTCTTCTTGATTCTCTATTCTTCAATTTTCAATTGATGTTCTTATTAATATCTCTCTAGATTGAATTAATATTAAGTTCTATCATATTCTAGGATGAATGTAGGGAGTCCGGGCTATCTATCGCAATTCAGAACAGGAACTATGTTTTCAAACTATCCAGTGAATCTTTTGTAATGTAATACATTTACTCATTATAAACAGGACAATAATCGAGAGTGATTTATGACTTAATCCAACATTCACTATATTTTGGAATCAAAATGAATTGATGTTCATAACAAATCTACTAGCATCTCTTCTTTGGTTTTAGGGAATGAATCATTTAATTTTCAATAAATTAATATATAAATATTCTCAACTCTCTGCTAGTAATTTCAATTACCTCAATTTTTTTAAATCTCCGTAAAAATTAGAGTAAATTTTATTTCTTTCATGTTGATTTAAGTTATTTATTTTTATAGCATCTGATCCTCTTGTAATAAATTCCTCTACTTTCTTCTAAATTTTGCTTTCTCTTCTTGTCTTGATGTCCTCCAACAATAACTTGATTCTATCATCATCTTTGATATCATCTCTGCAATAAGAGAACAAAATTGAAGAAATTTCAAAATAATATTGCTCCATCCTTGCCAATTCTAACTCATTTATGGTTTCTTCATCAAGTTTTAATTGCAACCTCTCAATAGTTAACCATTCGGGAGGAATGACTCTGCATTTATTCTTTTTCTTCAATTCAATTGCTACCCATAATGGAACTTCTACAATTTAATTAATTTTAAATGGTCCAAAATATCCCTTAATTAATCATTTTCGATATTACAGAAATGAATTGTAGCTTATCCAAATCAAAATTCGGTTAAATATTAATGAAGGTTGAATGTTAAATAATGAAATCACTCATTTCTGCATTAATATATCCTTATTACATTATTAAATTAATTTTATAAAAACATTAATTATTACAACCAATATATTCAATCCCCTTTTGGTAAATCAGTGCCTTCTTCTTGAGATTATTTTTAGAATGACACTTAAGAATCTTGTTATTGTTATTGCTATTATTATTTCTTCTTAGCTAATTTTGATTGCATATTCGAATTTTATAGTATCATTTTTAATTCTTCAAAATCTTCATCGTCACCATCACTATCCCCTTGTCTTCCAGCTCTATGAGTTTTCATGGCCCCGCCTTTCCTCGGCACTTTACTTAAATCAATCCTGGTATCAAGAGCAATTTATGACTTAGAGCCTCTACTTGACATCTGTGGTTTTTAGAAAGCTCTGTCGGTGTGATTGCCCATATTTAACTTTTATTTCAGCATAAACTCTTCTATTTACTTATGTACAGGCTTATTCACATCAAACCACTTAGGTTATTTAATAACATTATCTCGATCAAAGTGTTTCCTATATTTATATAAATCTGATATAGAATTTCTTATTTGGAATAATTGTAAATATAATTCGTAGAACTATAAGCAAATATTTGTGGCTAAATGTCTATAATAGTCTAATAATTGCAAAATCTAAAATCCTTTATAGTAATACCTCTTTGCTTAAAAAATTGTAAAATACAATTATGTCAGACCAGTACACCAACACTATCTCTTTTAGCAGCATGTCTTCTGGCACCATCAATAATGCTTCTTTCAATGTATCCATCTATCCCAACCCACTGTTTACCTGACTCTTTAAATCAATTATATACCAAATTGCTTATCTTAAACAACCACAATAGCTTTGTTTATATATCAATAAACTTTTATCCTTCCTAGAACAATGGGTATTGCTACACTTTACAAGCATGAAACACCTAAATGTTAACAGCAAGTTTTTGTAAATATTAAAAATAGCTTAGCTAAATATTTGCAGATAGCCATTCCTCTTTTTATTGATTTGTTTTAACAACACTTGGTGATTTTCGATTCATAAGAATTGCAAACTTCTAATTCAGAAAGTGGTCTGCAAAATCAATACCTAATTAAAATTCGTGCAGCATTAAATGACATGTCAAAAGCACTTTATTCCTTATTATATAAGAGTTTGCAAATTCCCTAAGAATATGGTATATATTTCTTACTGCTCACAAGTCAATTGGAAATATTGATCTATATAATAAGATGGTGCTTTTGTTATAAATTCTGAATGATTATTCTCGAAGCAAGAAATTAAGAACAAGAGATCATCCAATAAAATTTCATCGGATTAACTTAACAGAGATGAGTTTGCTATTCTCTTTTAGAATGGTGGCCTATTTTTGAAATACCCCATAAATTTATTGATCATAATATTGTATTTATAATTCTAATTAATGTTTGATTACAATATTATCATTCTCACAACATGCTAACGTCATTTTATATCATCTTATTCAAAACAAAGACATTTAAATATATTTATATTTCAATAACGATTCATTTATTTTCAATTAATTTAAGTTCAACTCAATATTTCAAATATAACTTATTTCTGTTTATAGTACTTATTGCTTTTCAACTAATATGAAATAAGATTTTATAATTAATGAGATAATTTCTATCATTAAAAATTTATATACTTATACAATTGAATGATAACTATGAATAGGCGTTAATGTAATAGTGATTGGACTAAAATGAACATTAATTCATTAAGTTAAATCTTTTTGTTTTAATAATTATAATCTTGTAATTATTAATTAAATTCAATTAATCCAATTTGTTTTATAAATTATGAAATTCTAAGTTGTTGATACTTTTAAATTAGAATTACTTAAATTTAATTTTATTAATTAAACAATCACTAAATATATATAAAATTGTAACATAAATATCTTGTTCACATATTTATAATTAGTATATGGAACTTTTGTTATTATTCTTAATAATTATTTATCCTAAATTGAGATTTTTTAATTATCTCTTAGATTTGAAGATTTTCTTTTCTAATTAAATTAAAATGTTTTAAAAGGTATTTCATTTAGTTCAACTTCACAGTCATCCTCTACAAAACATCTATTTTAAACCAATCTATATTTCTCTTCGTATATTATATAATTTTTTTCTATTATCATCAGGTAATAAGAATACATTATCTAAATAATAAATAGCAAGTAAGCAAAGGAAATTCTTCTTATTATTTATCTATGTTTCTGATCTCCTGTTTGGAGATTTGTAATAATTTTACAATTTTATATATTTTTGATTAATATATTTATTTAATATATAAATGAAGACAATTTCTTTGGACCAGAGTTAAACAAAAATAAAAATTTTATAGCAAGTCATTACTATTCCTGATGTCCCTTGCTAAAGACATGCTAAGGAATAGTTGGTGTCAGTGTGTACTTAAGGGTAATGTAGAGAAAAAGGTGCAATATGCCCATTATGTTAAGTGAATTATCATCATATGCATTTGGAGGATACTTGGAATCTGAATTATTTTGTATAATAAATTCATAAATAAATTGAAAGTCTATAGCCAGATTATAAAGCCATTAATGAATTACTTATCAGCTTTAAGTTAAAAATAAGTGAAGTAAACTTTGTATTAAGAATTAGTCCATTAAATCCTTAATTTTGTAATTGGAAATTATTGATAAGCAAGTGAATATGATTTTACAAAAGTCTAAGCAAAAAATTGACTTTGACATAGATGAAATAAAAACTACTTTGAAAAATTTAGGAAAAACTAGTTAAATTGATAATTTTGGAAAAAAAAGTAAATTATCCTTCGCATTTTAGTTGTTAAATTAACCTAATACTTTGGCATAGATCCTAAAACTCATGAAGTTTATAGAACAAAGGATTATGAGGATTTATAGATTTAGAAAATGACAGACTTAATCGAAGAAAACTAATAATACTTTGAAAAGGTGAAGGAAAGAATAACGAGATTATTGACAAAGACTTTAGATAAATTTTGTAATTTTGAAATACCATAAATGGAAATGGTTGTTTCAAAGTAATTTGAACCCAAACAATTGAGATGTTAACAGGTTATACATAGAGCACATTAGAATTGGATTAGAAGTGTTTCTATGTTTAAATTAAGTGAAAGAGAAATTTAGAAAGTAAAAGAAACAGCATAAGGACAATTGTCAGAATTTGATTAATCGTTACGATATGGTTAAATGGCTATAGTTACCACTAGTGATGATATGGACATAAAGGTTTGGTTAGATTCACCTGATGACCATAAATTTCATTTGTTATCGACTATAACTGGAGCACATTAAAGGGAATTCTTTGGACTTAGAATTCATTATTGTGATATTAATTTAATTACTAGATTGAGCAATGATATATCATGCAATAATTTGATTTTCAGTGCACAACATGGTTTAATCAAAGTTTGGGATTGGATTAGCAAAAAATGTGTTAATGAAATTAAGACTCAATCATTTTTTACTTATGATTTTGAAATAGTTAAAATGAAAGATCTTGGAATTTGTTTTGCTCATGGATCTAAAAATTCCATTTAAATTGTTGATTTCACTAGTCCATTTGGAATGCTTATGATATAAGAAATTAATCCAGATGAATAAAACAAAGACATAAGTACTTTCAGGAAGATATCACAAGTAAAAGAAAAATTTGATTATCTGGCAGTTGGCTTTATCAATGGGGTTATTAAAGTTTTTAAAAATGATGGCAAATTACTCTATAAAATATAGAGATAAGATACCGAATTAGCTTTTTGTGTGGAGTTTTTTAAGGATTGTGTAAAAGAAAACCCTAAAATACTTAAAGGTTCTATCTGGAGCTTTTTAGTTATTGGGTCTGATTCTGGGATAAAAGTACGCTTCAAATATTATAAAAAGTTAGTGCTTATGACATATAAACAGGAAAATCTGTTTGGGTTAACAGAAATTCCCATACTAGTTTTGTAAGAGGGTTGACTTCTATTATAGTTAAAGATAGTTCTTCTACTAAAACTATTTTGTTAAGTTAATCAGAGAAAGAAGGAAGCATCAACATATTAGATGGGTAATCTTAAAATTAAACATAAATTAGAGCTAATGGATAGTTATTACATTCGATGCAGGATGCTCTTGATTCAGGCCTCAGATTTAGAGGCTTAAGCTCCTATTAAGGAGTGTTAGATCCTATTACTCCTGATTCTTCAATTATTGTTGCAGGAACATGTAAAGGAACACTTCATATTTTCACTTTTTAAGAATAAAAATAAACTTGATTAATGTATTCATATTAAGTTTAAGTTCCTAAAATTATTTATTTATCTTATGATTGTTATCAAAACAATTTTAATCTATTTTTACTGAAATTAGCCTCAATTCCCATTTAGAACTATATCCAAGATCCTGATATAAATTAATGAAACAAAAATAATCTAAAATCTAAGGTTGAAAGAATTGATAGATGAAGTTAAAATTACAATCAAATATATATTAGTTTGAATAACACAATTAATCTTTAATTATTTATAACAAATATCAATTTTTTAATATTTCGAATGGATTTTAAGATTTGATTTATTACTTTTTAGATTCCTTCTTTTGTTTATTATGGTGATGAGCTATTGCAAAATCTTAAAGTTCATTCTATAATATGTATAAGTATTTACATGAGGTTTTCTGTCTCTGTTGATTACTCTCTTTTGATCTTCTTAATCGTTATTCTATCCATCTTTCTATTCTCTATCATTATCTCTTTGAGGCTAATTATCTCTATAACCTTTATTATCTCGTACATTGTCTCTATTTCCTCTGTTGTCTTAATAATCCTTATTATCTTTATTTTCCCATTTTTCTCGTTTTTCTCTATAATTATTATCTCTTCGCTCCCTGTTATCGTTATTATCTTATTAATCTCTCTTATCCCATTTATTTCTATTATCCCTATTATCTCTATTATCCCTATTGTCTCTATTATCCCTATTGTCTCGATTATCTCGATTATCTCTATTATCTCTATTATCCCTATTATCTCTATTATCCCTATTATCTCTATTATCTTTATTGTCTCTATTATCCCTATTGTCTCTATTATCCCTATTGTCTCTATTATCTCTATTGTCCCTATTATCTCTATTATCTCTATGGTCTCGATTATCCCTATTATCTCTATGGTCTCTATTATCCCTATTATCTCTATTGTCTCTATTATCCCTATTGTCTCTATTATCTCTATTATCCCTATTGTCTCTATTATCCCTATTGTCTCTATTATCTCTATTATCCCTATTATCTCTATTATCCCTATTGTCTCTATTATCTCTATTATCCCTATTATCTCTATTATCTCTATTATCTCTATTATCTCTATTATCTCTATTTTCTCTATTATCCCTATTATCTCTATTATCCCTATTATCTCTATTATCTCTTTAATATCGTTGGTCTCTGTTATCTCCATAATCCCTATTATCTCTTTAATATCGTTAATCTTTATTTTCCCATTTATTTCTATAATCTCTATTGTCTCTTTAATCTCTATTTTCTCTTTAGTCTTTATTATCTCCCTAATCTCTATTATCTTTCTATTCTTTATTTTCTCCCTATTCTCTATTCTCAATCAATTCTTTAGTTTCTCTTTTATCAGGGTTTTCTCTTTAATCTCTTTTATCCTTATCATAATCTCTATTATCTCTTTTATAGTCTCTATTATCTCTATTGTAATTGTCTTTTCTATTTTCATAGTGTTTGTATCCGCCTCTTGGTTATGCTCTATTATTTTCATCATTTTAGTCTCCACCTTAAACATTATCATTTTAAAAATTTTTTTAATCTCTATTTTAATATTTATTTCCTCTATATTATTTATTATTTCTGAATTGATTATCGGGATAATTATCTTTTTATTACTCTGCATTATCGTCTTGATTATTTTGATCTCTATTTCTATAATTATTTTTATAGTTATTATGATAATTATTATTATGATAATTTTTATTTTGGTAGTCATTTCCTCTATAATTATTATACCTTTTTTAATTAGATTCTTGATATTATGATTACGATTATTGTTATTGTTATTGCTATTATTATTATTATTGCATTTATTGTAATTATTCATCAGTTGGAATTTGAGATTCTTATTATTTCTATACCTTTTCCACTTATTCAACCTTCTTTTCCCCATCATCTGTAGGTGTTTATTCAATATTTTATGCAACTTAAGATTATTATGCCTTATGATTACTATGCAAAAATTACATTATTTTCTTCTGCTCTTGATGAAGTGTTTCTGAGTATCTTTGGGGGCTCTTAAACTTTTTAATGTTATTATTGATAATCATTGCCTCTTCTATTTTGATAGTCTCCTCCTCTATACTATTGATCTCTTCTTTTGTGCATAAAATCATTTTAGTTTTCTTCATTAAACTATCTTGGTTGCTTATGGTATTACTTTCCTTTATTTCCATAATTTCTGTCCCTATCAAAATCTATTTTCATAAAAATTCTTTCAGTCTTTCCATCAACTTCCTAAATAAAATTATATGTTATCTAATTACAATTTATAATTTATGGACATCAAGTAACTTTTGGGCATTATCCTTATCTACATCAAATCTAGCTTGATCCTCATGGATTGAGAAATTGTTCATTACAATGTCTTTTAAGACTTCCTTAATTTAATCCTCATTCAATTTCAGATTTTAGAGATGAATGAGAATGTTGACATTATCCCCATTAAAGTTAGCGAGTTACTCTTTCTTTTATTCAATAAAGCCTAATAATAGACTAAAACAATTACGATTGTTATCTTTATAATTTCTTCTTTGATTGTTGTCATTCCTATCTCCTCTCTCATTTCTATCACCTCTATAGTTATCTCTATTTTTATAATTCCTTTAATTGTCTTTATTGTCTCTTTGATCATTTTCTTATCTAGGATAATCTTTGTTATCCCTGTATCCTCTTTTATTGTTGTTTCTTTAATTATTATTGCCTTTATAATTTGATCTTTTTTTGTTTCGGTTATCCTCTTCATCAGAAGCATTTTTTGGTTTATCGTTGTCTTCATCTGATGTCATGTCACCCCAATTTTACATTTAATTTTCAGCCATTTGCGATTTAAATAATTATTTAATATTAAAGAATCTAATGACTTTTGGATATTTAAATCATATCCATTTCTTATTATCATTTATTCATTAATTATTTATCTGAAAGTGCGCAATAAAAATGATTCAATTAAATTATTCTAATATTTACTTAATCACAAATTCTCTCTTGAATATAAAGAAGATTAATTAATGTTTTATATATTATTACTTATTTCTTATGTGTATTCCTAGGATGAATACTTGTGCGGAAAAGGAGAAAGATAATCACCCATCAGTATAACAGACACATTTGTAAATTATTAATAATATATTTGTCATCAATCAGGATGCTAAATACTATAAACTTGAATTAAGGTTTAAAGAAGATGTTCTAGTAGGACTGAAAGAGGAAAACACCGAATCGAAGAGATATATATTTACAGATGATCCCAGTAGACAAATACCAGAATTTAGAATGTTAGGACATGATCCTCATGGATTAATGGTCGGTTATAGACCAACAGAATTTCAATTGATTGCTCCAGCCGAACATTAGATTTTTGAATAATCCTTTGATCTAGAACTTGTTATATGGGGAGATTTGCTTAATATTTACAAAAATCCAAATGTTAAAGGAGGACTCTCCTTTTTTTTCAAAGTTACCAATTAAGATGAATCGAACATTGTAAATGAAACATCAACCACCTTTCCTCAAATTTTTAATGTAATTTAAAATACTATTTCAAGTTAACAGAAGATGGTGATTAATTATCAATCAATATGATCAATTTAGCTGCACATTTAAAATTGTATGACAAATATATCACTTACAGAGGCAGTTTGACTTGGGGGGATTGTGATGAAATTGTAGATAGATTTTTAATACCTTAAGTGTTTCCAATTACTTAAGATCAAGTATAAAATTTTAATTATTTTCAGTATGATTAAATAGTTTCTAAGAAATAAATAAGCAATCCAAATCCTTTACAAGAAATAAGAAAACGAAGAATTGTGAGGGGTAGTTTAATAATAGAAGATGAAACATCAGCAAATTATAATCCAATCTATAGATTTTTGTCCTTAACTTTTATTGCATTTTTATTTTTTTTAATTTTTGCCCTGTTTATAAAAGAATAAAGAGAAAAGAGAAGAATGGATCAAGCTAAAAAGTTCAAAAGTGGAAATTGACATTATTTATTTTAATACATAGTAAAATATTAGAAATCTATTATAATATCAAATAGATTCTTAAACTGAGTTCTTTGTATTTTATAATGAATCCCCTTTTAAATTTAACTAATCAATGGAGGATATTTTGAATCGGATATATCGGATAATTCATTACAATATTAATAACAATGAACACAATAATAGTAACCGAACAAATTGCTAAATAACCTAAATATATTTTGATATCAAACAATGAACATTTTTGATATAATTTTATCCCATTCCAAATCAATTTAAAAGTGAATAATTTTCCAATATCCAATTAGATTAGGGAAACAATTAAATGAATATTAAAGGATGGATATCTATATAAATATATTCGATTGAAATATTCACAACTAGGCTTGAAAAAAATACAATAGTAAAATTATTAATTAGAACAAAATTGCTCAATATATACTATCAAGTATTTAGTAAAATTATTATTATTTTGGATGATAAGTTTAAAAGTTTGTAGATTAAATATCTAAGCATTCAAAAAATAAATCTGTGAAGATGAATTTAGTTCAATTTTCAACTTTTTGGATATTGTTCAGAGCAAAGATTAGATGATAATTAATAATAAGAATAGTGATATTATTTTTATTGATTAAGATTACTTTTAAATAAATATCATTGAATTCTATTGATTTAAAATAGTTTTCATAAGGATTATTCTTACTCAATCAGATTGGATGATTAACTTTATTATTATTGATTCTCTTGAGATTAGTAGTTTGTCAGATTCAAATTTAATAAGGTATCTGAATAGTCTTATTTTATTATATTTTCAATAACAGGATTTTTCAATGCTTGAAATAATACAGATTTTAATTTAGAATTTGAAAATTCCAAATTTGACACCTAATTTAAGATTTTATCATACTTTCTTCTCAATCTTCTCATATTCCTTTTATAAGGGACCTATTTTCTCTAAGGCCTCTCTTTTTCTCTTTTGTGCTTCTCTTGCACTATCTCTATTTCTCTTAACACATTGGCATCTTTTACAATTGCAAAATTCATCCTCCTTACTCTTACATTTGTTTTTAATCTTTTCTATTAACTTAGCATAATATTCCAAGGGATTTCTTTGTGGTTCTTCAGAACTAAAATAAAAAGACAATATTACATTTTATTTTCTATTACAATTTAAATGATTTAATTCTCAATTCTCACTAATTCAACAAACATAAATAAAAAGGATTTTAATTTATCATCCAATCTAGTTGAATTAAAGTTGAATTCTTTGCAATCAATTTATGTCAATTCGCCAAACAATCCTTTAATTAACTATTCACTTATTTATTTCTAATCATTATTTTAATAGATCCGAATAATTTTTAAATACTTTAATATATATAATTAATAATACTTTTTCTGCATGACATTCAAAATTACCGTTCGTATTAAATTACTTTTAATTCTCAATTATTTATTCTATTAGATTAGATTGATGAAAATATTGACCCATTTTATAAAACATCTTTGAAAATGATTATTAGCACTACTCTAATGTCAGTATTGATTATTCCGGTTAACAAAGAAATTAATATAGAAATTCAGCAGACCTATTATCATCTGACAATAAATCATTCAGAGTTTTTAAGACTATCTGTTGAGTACTATCTTAGGTTATATGTAATTTTTTAAATATGACTTCACTGATGATGTTGCTAAATAGAAGTGATTAACTAATTATTGCAATCTAGGAATCTATACTTGTTTAAATAATTACCATTTGTACATTAATTATCTTTAGTCCCCAAGTAAACTAGTTTCTTACTGACAATATCACAAATCAGTGTCCATTGTTACTTATCGATTACTATGGAAGTGGGATCTCTTATATAATTCAGTATTAGTTCATCAGAATCAGAAACACTTTATTTCATTAAATAGATCATTAGATTAGCAATGTATTTGACTAAAATGGGCATTTTCATCTATTAAAGAGAGTCTTTGATTGATATCTGAGAACCTTTCTGTTAAATTTACTCTAATAACTTTAATATTTTTTATTGAATAGTACTAATTCTAGTTCAAACTCACAGTCTATTAATTTTAATAATTAAGCTTGCATAATCTAATGGGGAGGCCTGAATCAACATATATTATTAAACATTTACATTTGGGACTAAATAATCAGGCTGTCAATACCATATATGAGATATAGGAATCAATTTTATCTGTTGGAATATTCTGGGTTCCAATTGAAGGTATAAGTGGTTTCATATGATCTTTATATTAATCGCAAAAATTTTAAAAATATTACACAACATATTAATTTGTTAATGTATATTAATTGGGAATCTATAAACGAACTTTTGTGAATTTTAAACATGCCAATTCAGTTAGAGAAATGATTTATTTATAATTATTACCCATCAGATACTCAACCTAAATATTGAAACATTTACAATATTAAAATATAATAATATATATTTCCGTATGATTAATAATGAAAAGACTGAAATCAAAATAGAGAGAAGGTACCTGATCATATCAATAAAGTTAAATACCATCTGCTTAACCAAAGAAAGTGTTGGTGAAGAAACCATCTACTAATACTGATAAATAAGAAAAAACTTCAGAAGAATTAGCTAAGCATTAAGAAATGTTAGATGATCGTCTTAAACAAAAACAATAATAATATGAAGAAGCAAAAGCCAAGATACTCTAAAACTAAAAAATTATAAGAAACTAGCAAAAATACAATCTAGAATTCCCGGAATTGCCAAAATGAAGCAATACAATATAAACACACATACATCGATATAAAAGTTCTCAAAATAACATCACAATTTCTTTATAAAACTATTATCATATTTAATTAATAATGTCTAATGATGATAATTTTCTGATCGAAAGTGATGATGAACACGAAGCTGATGATAATGATCTCACTTAATAATAATCTCCTTTAGTCAGAACATCTTTTACAAACCCATTACAATTTAAAATTAATTAGCATTTCAAGGGTGAAATAAATGATGATGATGAACAATAAGTTATTTTGACAAGATCATAAAACTATTGTGGAGATGCTAGTGCGCATAGTTAAAACAGCGAAGACCTCAAAGGAATTACTCATACAAATAATTCATCTGATGATGAATAAGAACCCACCAGAATCACATAAACCTTCAATAACCCCTTACACAAAATCAAAGAAGAAGTTGACGAGAGCTATGAAATTAATATAAATAACTCCGATGAAGAAATCATAGTCAATGAGTTTGCCAAAGCCCATGATTTAGTCATTAAAAATTGCTCCATCAAAATGGTATCCAAATATTATTTCATTACTAGATATACATCTTTATAAATATATAATTCATTCACTCCAAGAGGCTAGCCTTCCAAATACTCTAAACCAAATTAATTTCAGAAAAATAACACTAAATCTAACAAAAAAAGTAATTGGCCTCTCATTTAACCAAATGGATATTCAATCATCGAGAAAAAAAAATCAAAGCAACATATTTGAAAAAATGGAAATTGCAAAATGCTAAAAAGAAGCTTTATGATGAAGCTAAAAAGAGAAATATTGATAAGGCTAAAGATCTAAGACAAGCATAAGGAAGTGCAAGTACCTCTAATGATACAACTCTTTAAAATAAATCTTAAACTTAGGCTGGAGCCATTAATAGCACTAAATTAGCTACATCAACTTAACCAACTTCATTAAATTAATAATCATCGACTTTACCATAATAATAATCGCCACCTCCACCACCACCACCTCCTCCTCCACCATTGCCTAATAGTACTTCAAATGTTACAGCACCACCTCCACCTCCACCTCCTCCACCGCCTCCATTACCAAATTCATAAGCTCCACCACCGCCTCCTCCTCCTCCTCCTCCACCACCAATACCAGGTTAATAGAATCCTCCTCCTCCTCCTCCTCCTCCATTACCAGGATAATAAGCTCCCCCACCTCCTCCTCCATTACCAGGAGGTGCCAGACCACCTCCACCACCACCTCCTCCTTTTGGAAATGCTCCTCCTCCTCCACCTCCTCCTCCAGGTTCTAAAATACCAGGTCCACCACCTCCTCCAGGAGGACCTAGACCACCTGGACCACCTCCTCCTCCTGGATAAGCTGGTGGATGACAAGTAAACACTTTATAATATAAGGGGACCTGGAATTGTAGCCAGAACACCAAAAAAGGATATGGCTCCAAAAAGAGTTCATGTGAATGTGTTGTCTAAATTCAAACTGAAAACAACATTTTGGTCATAGTAAGTAGAGCCCCAAGGAATAAAAGTAAAATACCATTATTATGACTTAGATTCCATTATTGGATTTTGATCTTTTGGAATCGAAGTTTTGCGAGAAAATAGATCCAAATGCTAATAAGAAAGAAACAAAAGCTTTGCCAAAACCAACATTGATTTATATAGAAGAATAAAAAAAAGTAAACAACACAGCAATAGTAATGATGAAATTTCCTGTAAAACCAAATTTAATAATCGAATGGCTGAACGTGCTTTCAGAGAAATTAGATATTGAACTGATTGAAAAGTTGATTTCAATAGCACCTCTAGATGAAGATGCAAAGTTGTTAAGAGAATTTGAAGGAGATTGGACAAAAGTGAATGATGCTGAAAAGTTCTTAGCAGAATTCATAAAGATTTATCGATATCGATAGAGATTAGATAGTTTATTATTTAAAAGAACATTTGATTCAGAATTTAATGATACATTTAAAAAGATAGGTTATTTATAAGAACCAATTCTTCTAGTGAAAACAGATCCCCGTTTGAAAATCTTTTTACAATTAACACTTAATATAGCTAATTTTTTAAATCATGGAACTCCAAAAGCAAATGCTGGTGGAATTGGATTAGATAGTTTGAATGTAGTCGATTCAATAAAGGCAATAGATAAGAAAACAAACCTGTTGTTATATTTAACTAAGATAGTGAAATAATAAGAAATAAAACTCAAAGTCTTTTTTGATGATGTGCTTCTATTGGAGGATGCTTAAAAGGTAGAATTGGCTGATATTGAAAATAAAATGAATGAATATAATAAAGGGTACTAATATAAATAATATTAAGATTAAAGAAGATTAATGATGAAATAGCAGCGCTACAAAAAGCAATAGATAATAGTCTATTGACAGAGGAATAGAATGTTGCATCATTAAAATTCATTGAATTATTTCAAGAATTTTTAAAGGAAGGAGATTGGAAAATGTAAGCCTATTAAAAGAAGTTCGAGTAGATAAAGTTAGACATAAAGCAAGTGGGCTAAATGTATGGAGAGAATGATAATTACAGTATCAAAGATTTCTTAGGATAACTATTTACATTTGCAAATAAATTCAGAGCTGCTTACATGTATTATTATTTTACTATTTTAAAGTAAAATGGAAGTAGATGAGGCATTAGAAAATAAGCCAAAACCTTAATAACAAGATACAAAAGGCAGATCTAAGACTTTAGTATAATCTACTCCTGAAACCTAAGGGAATAAAAACTAATTAGATCCTAAATCTAACTTTTATAAAGCAACGACTCCTAGTAGTGGAATGAGGATGAGTACATCTGCAAAAATGAATGCAAAGAATGGTATCAATTATTAATATATAACAAAAGTAATGAGTGCTGTGGCTAAGTAAAGGGAAAGTAAAATGCATGAGAACATTTCAATAGTCTAAAAATAACAATAATAATAAATTATACCATAAGCTCCAACAAATGTAATTTAAAATGCTAGAACTGGTGTTATTTCTTTTAAGTAATGATAAATATATATTTTTAACGATTATAATTTTTAATATTACATGGAAAATTAACAAAGCCAATAAGCATTTTTATAGAGTGTTTCCCTTCTTTTCAGTAAATATATGTCTTAGAACATTTAGAAATTATCAAATTTCCATTCATTTGTTAAAATTGTGGAAATATTGAAGTTATGAGATAACTTTAAAAAATATTTAATGAAATTGATGAAATTGATATTGATGAATTATCAAGTAGGATAGTTTTAGTTTCAAAATAGATTCAGAAAAAGAAGGAGGAAACTTTTGTTTCTATTTAATAATAAATCTAGAAATCTTTGAATTATCTATAACCATTAAAGACAGACGATCAACAATTATTTAATTTTGAAAATCATGAATAATGTTTACAAAGAGTTTGTGATGTATGCATATTTTCTTTATTTGAGGATATTTTTGTCAATATCTAGGAACAATTAGAAATTTAGAACTCGTTAAATGAATTGATTGCCATAATGCAGGAACAACAATTATAAATTAATTAATTTCCTCAATCTAAGAACTTACAGTTAATATCTGAATACAACAACAACAAGATAATAAAAGAAAGATTGGAAGGAGCATTAAAAATTAATTAGAGTCATAAGGAAATCCTGAAAGAAATTCTTATTAAAATAGGATAAGACAATTCCAATCAGAAGATCAACTATCAAATTTCAATCAAGCAATCTCAACTAGATCTTATATATCTTATTCAATAAAATTCAGTATTAAATGAAAAAATAATTGAATTAGAAAGTTAATTAAAGGAAAAGAACAGTTAACTTCTAAAATTTAGTTATTATATTTAACAGATTGAAAATAGTTAATAAAATTAGAACATCCAGTATGTTGTATCTCAAAAGATCTCATAATAGGATTAGAATACTTAATCATAACAAGACCATAATAATGCTTAAGATTGTTAGGTTAATTAATCATAATCGGATGAATTCTATTCCATTATTGATTAGAGTCTGAATAACTTTTATGAAAATCAATGCAGATAAAGTTAGGCAAAACCTTAACAATCAATGACAGTCCTCAAACCCATAAATCAAAATATTATAGTTTAATAAAGTTTTCAAAAATAGAAAGCAACTTTAAATTCTGAAAGGAAGGTTAATTTTAGTTTTGATTATGGAAACCCTCTGGAAACAAACAATAGTTTTACGTAATAAGAAGATGAGAATTACTAATTTAATTTTTGAATAGATAAATTATTTTCGATTACTTATTTATATCTCAGAAATAATAAAATATAATTTATTATTCTTAATCAAAATTGAATTTACTTCATTTATGATGACTTTAAATTTCAAATTAATTATTAAATGGTTATTTAAATGGACTTTATTCTAAGAATTAGACGTTTGATTTGTTAATTTCAGTATATCTACTAAAAGCTAAGGTTGAAGCACTAAATTTTTATTCAGATTAATGAAAAGGTTTAGGATTAGCATTATGTATATTTGGTGAATGACTATTTTCTAAATTATTTATTTAAGATATTCTTGATTATTAGATAGAGCCTTGATGTAAGTTGAATTAATTATGTCCTTTTACATAATCTGGATTCTTTTTGCCAAAATTTAACTAATTAATAGAATTAGATCCATCATTTTCATCTGGTTTCCAATTGGCCAATACAACATACTGCATAAAATCCGTTTCAATGTATTCTTCATCAGAATCTTGTTTACTTTCATTTGGATTGTAAATATCTGATTCACAAGTACCCATAATAGAGAGTATATAGAAATTATATTAAATATAATAATATATTAATTTAGTAATATATCATAATAGAGCTTTTAATTTAGTTATCGTGTGATTAAACCATGGGATTTCTTTTAAAATGACAGGAGTTAGAGCTGTTCTAAATGTGTTATCCATAATATTTTGATAGACAATGACTTCACAAGAGTCATCTGTTTTCTTTTTCAAAATTATCAAACTCATCTTCTACCCTAGATATCAAAGTTGCTAATACCTTTTTAATCACATTTGATTTTGTAGTGATTTGGTAATGCTTTTGAGCTTGGAACAATAGTAATTTAATAAAGTAAGTCATCTATTTTACTAATTTCCTATTCACTGATGAATGCCATTTTCTTGAAAGTTGATTTATCTTCCCAGACATAATATTCAACAATTAGACTTCTAAATTCATCATACTTTTCTAAGACATCCTTCTATGTCATTCCATGAAACCATTGGATTTTGAGATCTGTAAAGATAACGATAGCTTTTTCGAGGGAACAATTAAGAGGATGAATTGTTTTTACAAATTAACCAGATAGATGATACATCAAATGAGTTTCAAATTCTATGGATAATCCAAATTATTAATACCTTAGACAAACTTCCAATTTAAATTCATTTAACTGATTTCATATAACTATTCAATTGAGGCTTCTTATTCTAGGATGGCATGTTCAGTAGAATTAGATTTTGTAGGCAAAAATTCTTAGAGATTTTCATTGCTATCTTTATTTACTTTGATTTCATCTATCATTTTATTTATATGAGTCTGAACAAAATACTCATACTCCTATAAACATTCTTCATCATCAATCAAGTATTTGATCATTTAATCCTTTAATTGATTCTGATTAATATATTTATGCAAAAGTATAAGAGCATCTTGTTTACAGTGTTTTTATTGTCCACATACATGAGACTAGATCTTTACCTTTTTAAATTGCTTAATGGATATTTCTCCAAACTACTTTAGTGCTTATTCGGCATCTACTTAAGTATGTTGATATACTTGGATTATAATCATATTCTAGGATTTTTCGAAAAAACTAAAACCCATTGATGCAACTAATATGACTCTAAATATCATTGTTTTGGATGGATAATTGCTACATGATTCCTTCGAGTTCTCTTTCCTCATCTCCTATGAACAACACCTTTAACATGGTTGGAGACACTTATTGAATTTTGCCAAAGCAATATTTTTCCATTTTTCTATACTTTTAATTTATGAATATACTAAAAGAGTTTGCCTCTCTCGTCTATCTTCTCATTCAACTTTTTTAAATAATGGATTATCATTTATTCTGGCTCATTCTTTGGCTGTATTTTCTTAGGACTGGCATCCAAAAGATCCTTTAATGCTGTTTCATCTCTACTGGGTTGATGTAGTTTAACATTTTAATCGAAACCGCCTTTTTAAAATTATTCTTTATATTTATTAATTCAATTACTACCTTTAATATTTAGGAATTCTAAAAAGATATACAAAGAATGATCTAAATGTTTTAAAAGGTGTTACAAAAACTCTTAGAATATTTATATTCTTTACATTAAAGCATGTCCTATCTTTAAGCAATAATTTTCCTTGAATTTGTTTGAATTAAAGTTTTCTAAGGGAACTTCGGCATAGATTTTAAGTAGGAGTGAAGCTAACATTAATTTAATGAATTACTTATTCATGCAATTTCTCAAACTCCGAATATCTTTTAGGAATGGTGTAATCAAAATAATCAGTTTTTATTTAAATAACATAATTTACTATATGTTTTTTATATATCGATTCATGGTCTTCATCCTTAAATATTTCTATTATTTCTATCTATTTAATCATTTGTTAATCGACAATCAAAGCATACAGATCTTTTCCTTACTTTTCCTTCTAGACTTATTGCTTTTGCCCAAGATTTGGACGTTCCGATTACTCTCTAAATAAAGTAGGAATGACTTCTTGCGTAAAGCTTTATGAAAGTATCTATTTCATAATAATAAATAAATATTAATATATTTTACAATTTTTGTTATTCACAACTTTTATTATAAATGCTTTAATAATTGTTAATTCTTGACAGAAAACCTGTTTTTTCATAAAGCAATTAAGCTACTAAAATTATCTAAACTATTAATGAGTAAATACACTTGTTCTTATTCTCATTTTCTGATAATCACATTCAGCTATTTCTCATACCAATTTTTAATTTACTGTTATAATAAATTCTTATATTTATGATATTAATCGATAACATCAACTTGGAATATTTTGAGAATCAATATTATTTGATGAAAAAATTCATAGCCTAATTAAGTTATTGATATTATTTCTAAAAATAAAATAGCATTTAAATTATTTTATTTAATATCTATATAAATTACAATATCAATTCTCAATTGTTCTTTTTATTATATAAATAATGTAACTTGTAGATTTTAAACTAAAATATCTCTATTTGTATTCTAAAAATAAACATTCTAAAACTATATTCGTTAATTATTAATATTTATTAAATTTTCAAATATGTCACATAATGCTATATTGAAATGGGTGGGGTATTTGGTGAATGTGCCTGAAGGTACTACTTTAAAAGATTTAAGTGATGGTAGAATTTTAACTAATTTACTGAATAAATTGAATCCTGAGGCTTATCCTCAAAAAGTTTAATCTTCTCCTTAAAAAAATTTCTAAATGGATATGTTATGTGTAACTAACTTAGTTTAAAATTTGAAATAATCAATTCCCAATTTACCTGAAATAAATAGTTTATTAATTGCAAAGCATTAAGATACTACCGAAATCATTAAATTGATTTCAATCATAATAAAAGTACTTATGTTTACTATTGATAGATTATGATCGAATCTCAATTAGCTTAAGAGGCAATACTTAAATTAAATGAAGAATAAGTGCAAAATATTTTATAATTTATCAATTAATATTAGGAGGAAGAGATTGGACATCAGCAATAGTCTGATAGAAAATTACTTGATAAAATAGATGAATTAGAAGATGAAAATTAGCAATTGAAGTAATTGATAGAACAATAGGATAAGCATTAAACATAACACTTTGATAAAATTAAATAATAAGAGCAATTATTAGTCTAAAAAGAGAATGAAATTAGTGAGATCAAAATATGTATGATATTCAATTCTTATAATACTTAGAACTTCAAAAAAATATTCATATAGAGGAGAATATATCAGGAACTCTAATAGAAAAATTAAAAATGTAATTGACAGCAATCAATAAAGATAAAAAAGAATTATCTGAATAAAATGAAATGTAATTATATATATGTTATTGATTTAGGTTATAACATAAGTTGTAAAATTATTCGAATTTAGAAAATATCAATTTACAATTATAACAAGAATTAGCATAAAGATGCAAATAAGACAAAGTTGTAGAGGAATTAAAAACAAATATTGAGATTCTAAAATAGCAAATGGATTTAAAAGATTAGAAGATCAGTAAATTGTAAGATTAAATAAAACAGACATCATAAAATTAATAAAAAGAATGTAGTAAAGTTGTAGAGTTGGAAATGCAGAATGAATAATTGAAATAAGAAATAGAAGATATTTAGAGAGGTAAAAATAAGGAAATTCATTAATTGCATCAAAAAATAAATGAACTAAAAATACAAGTAGACACAATGCAAATGGAGAAATAGGAAACATAAAGATCATCAGTTCATTATCAATAGAGTCCAAGATGTTTGGATTCTGAATTTAAGTCATTATTGAATGATAACATTGGTGGTTATTATTCAGAATAAACAATTTAAGAGTTTTAATAATAACTATAACAAAAAGAGTAATAGTTACAATAAAAGGAAATCCTGTTTGATCAAAAAATCAAGACTCTGGAGGCAAAGATAAACAAAGAAAAAGATACAAACATTTAACATATACAAATAGTAAGTATATTATATAATTAGACATCTTCATTGCAAGAGGAAAATAAGAAATTAAAATTGGAACTAGAGAAATTAATTGATACTAATTATTAAGTGAGTAGAATACACGCAGAAAAACAATAAAATATGCTCCTTATTTCAGTTATTGAATGTTTGAATGAAAAGGTTAATTAGTTACATTCCTAATCGAAGGAGCATCTTAAGAGTGATAAGAAAACACAGCCTTAAATTTTATCTAGAAATTCAATATCTTTATGGAGTGCTAAATAATGATTATTAGATGATATATTTAATATTATTTTACTGATTATCACTTTTTCTTTCCTTTCTTGCCACCTGCTGCTCCTCCAGCTGCTGCTCCTCCTGCTGGAGCTGCTGCTGCTGCCGCTGCTGCTTTGGCTGCTTATTATTTTTTGATTGCTTCTAAATTTGCTTTAATCTATTTTATAACATACACATCTTACTGTAGCTTCATCCATTCTGAAAGTTTGATGGCATGTTCCACAATAGTGTCTATCAAAATGCTTGGCCATATATACTCCTTGAGGACATTATGGACATTATTTATGTGATCTCTACACTGAGCCTTTATTATCTACAGTATAGAGTTTGAGTGTTGCCAATTTAACCTTTCGGTGTCTATGCTTCTTCTTCTTGGGCTTAGCAAAATTCTTCTTCTTCTTCTTCTTCTTTTTACCTCCTTCTGCATCTACATTTACATAGTATATGCTTTCACTGCCTATAGAGAATATATGATATTCTTACCCAATAAAGCAGATGCTGCAATAGCCTCACCATTACTCACGAGAGAGACTTCACATTACATTTCAGATTGAATCATCATCATCAACTCATTAGCTGTACAGACATCAGCTAAATCATATAGTCTTACCTCACCATTGAGGTGACCAACTTTAATTATCATTTTAAATAATAAAGATTTTAATTTAAAATAAATTACTCAAACGCAATACCAATCAATTTAATCTCAATCTACGATTTCCGAGCAAAGGTCTCAATTCACTAATTATGTAATGTTTATTAGATTCCAAATGCTTTGCTGATTATTCCTCTAAAATTTATTAGCAATGCTATGTAAAGTGAGAATTGGATCTTTACAATAAGACATGAAAATTTTGGAAATATACCAATTGAAATTCTTTCTATAGAAGATGAGCTTATAATATTTAGGAATTAATTTGATCTTCCAACACTATATCATTAATCAAAGACACAAAATTGCCTAATTTGATCAATAAGATTGCACTTAAAGACTGACTCATCATATAATTCAGGATCATCAATCCAAATTCTTTATGAGATTTCTGATTTACTTGAATGTAGATATTTAATGGAATGAATATGTGTTCATAAGGTTCATCCTTGATTTCAGAATATTATTGAACTTGCATAAGTAATGTTTCACCCATTAATTAATCATCATAAGTCTTCAGATATAATAGGAATGTTTGAATAAGAACACCCTAAATCCAAAATTCACTTTATGAAATCAATTAAGATTTCAATATATTTTAGACCAAAATGGCAAACTCATTTGAAATCTGGATTTTCTATACCTAACATTAACTTAAGAACATTAGTAATAATTCTGTTCCCATCTCAATTAAAATTTATTATTTTGAACTGAATATTTGTTAGATTATAAATATACATACCTCAATATGTTATGCCAATTAATCACTTCTAAAGATTATCTCAATCAAAGTTTCAATAATTTTCTCTTGAATATTCAAATTATTCCCTTGCCACTCCTAATAAAATTACTTTATGATCCAAGAGTGATCTGAAAATTAATCCTTCTTTGTTAGTTACGAATAGAAATTGAATATACATATTTTACTCTCTTGATTTTAAAAGTTGCTGTATAATTATTGTATGTTAGGCCAAAACTTGCTAGGCTAATCTATTATTTCTATAAGTTGATTTAAACACTCAATCTGCAACAGAATTATGCATTTATTTGTAGTTTGTAATGTCAATACTAAGTTTATAATAATTTATGAAATGTCTTCTGGGATTTACTCATTATATTTTAAATACTTTATGAATATTTATAAAATCTAGATCTTTAAAGGATCGAACAGAGCATCACTTGATTATAATTCCTATTAAAATTGGACTATATATTAATCCATATCAAATTGCATATCAAGCATCACATTTCTAATTAAATAATATATGGCTTCCTTCTATATCACATTTTAAAAGGTCTTGAGTTCTGGGGTTTATTGAAATTGATCATTCATTATTTAGATCACATCATCAGCCTTATGACTTTGAAGAGAGGCTATCAAAAAATCAATGGCCGTATCTCTGATTTCATATGACGAATTATTATTTTCAGCATAGGCCTCTTCTTAATCAAAATAGATGTCGTATACTTAGGCCGGACTTAAAATCAAAGCATACTGAATCAAGAACTTGAGAATATTGCTAAAATATCCTTCAAATAAAACTAATTCAAATTCTAATCCATTTTAATTTATCTACTCCAAGGCCAACAGAGGATCATAAGTATGATTCTATAGTAACAACTTTAGAATCTTTAAAACTTGTAATACTAATTTATTTTGTTAATTAGGAAGATCTTTCAAATTTTAAATATCATTTTTGAATTACTATTCTGAAACAAACTCTAATTATATTTGCTTTAAATGTTAATTAGTAAAATATATTTTATTTAATACAAATAACAATTAGCTTAAAGATTCTAATGAAAAATCTTTGTTATAAGTTAATTTGCTTAATATTATTTTTTATATTAAATACACAACTCTGAAATTGTTATTATAGATTTATTTCTCCAATTCCCCTAAATACTTTTCAAATTCTAGAATTGCTGGATTTTTAATTATTTTTTATGCTAAAACTACCAATTTTAATGAGATTTCTAAGGCATTATCACTAATCATAGTTTAGCTTTGTTGACACAAATATTGCACTCTTTGAGAGTCTCCCTCTTCTTTAAATAACTCTTTAAGTAAGTAATATAATAATTCAATATCCTTTTGGTTTATAATCCATTAAATCAATTCGAGATCTTATTGTTATTTTAGCAATATAAAACGTAATGCTTTTCTAATTTAAATACCTTTATTATTTTTATCGCTATAAATTTAAGTGATGATGGCTCTTAAGTATGAATATTAATTTAAGTCTAAGGAGTCCTTATGTTGTATTAACCAATAATTGAAATAAATTTCTGCCAGTTGATTCTTTTCAATAATTAAATTAAACAATGGATTCATGTCATCTAAATTCCTAAAGGTTTAATCCAACAGTTAGAGTGATTCATTACGAACACAATCTAATTAATCGATCGATCCCTATAACAATTTCAATAATTAAAATTAATCCATAATTATATTAATTAATTGAAAATAATTAATTATGCAATATAATCATAAAATTTATTTATATATCTTAATTACTCTCACACTCCTAATTTTTATTCATAAATCTAAAGAGTATTTGCCCAAAATAATTAAAAATCAATCATTTTATTAGATTTTATGAAACTCAACAGATTCATTAAAAGTTCTAAAATATTCATTCCTTGGATTTGCTAAGACTGTTTAATTAATTAGAAAAAATATTCGTTAATTTAAGAATTTAGAGTTTATTAAATGTGATTTAATTAATCTTCTGAAATATATAAGAAGATTTATTAAAAATAACGATAGTCAATATGACTGACTTTACATTATGAATAAGTCGTATGATGATGTAAGAATGTGAAAATGAGTGTAAAATTATTGGGATTTTGAGGAAAAGAAGATTTGAATAAATTATATTTTATGGAATTTATAATCAATAAGAAATTTCATTAATAACGAAATATATGGACAGAGATTAATTTGTCTATTTTACATAGTTATGATAGATTAAATAACAATCAGGAATAAGAAAAAATAAAGGAAAGTGCTAATTATCGGAAGTACGTAAATAAAATTGGAAAAATTATAAAATAAATTATTCGTGGATAAAAACAGTTGTTAAATATTGATTAGTTCTTAGATAAGCAGATTAGTTATTTTGATAAAATATTGTGGATAGGAAGTAACTTCTAAAGTTATATTCTTTGAAAGGAATTCAGAAAAGTTGAATGAGAAGTTCCAAAGTATCTAAAAACACAATTAGCAATACTATAAACGTAAGATAGAAGAGATTCGATTAATGAGTTATGAAATATTAATATTGAAATAATATCTATTAATGCAACGACACAATTAGTTACTTACTACGATAGCCAACATATTGGATGAAATAATTAAAGAGACTGATGCTTTAGAAATAGAGTAAGATTCAATATCTTGCTTCCATGCAACTAAAGCACCATCAATAACCTTATTTAATTACTTATAAAGAATAGCAAAATACACACATTGTAGTGAAGAATGCTTTGTTATTGCCTTAATTTACTTGGATAAATTGCAAGAAAAGCATCCCTATCTAGTGTTGAATTCGAAATGTATTCATAGGTATCCAATTTATTTAATCAGATTTCTATTGACTTCTTTGGTGATTGCCATTAAAGTTTAAGATGACGATTATTATAAAAATGAATATTATGCAAAAGTAGGAGGTGTAAGCGTAAAAGAGATTTTTGTTCTTGAATAGGCCTTTTTAGAATTAATGGATTATGAATTGTTTATACCGGAACAACACTATTTTATGTACGAAAAGAAATTACTAGAGTATACAGAAATTGAAATGCCCTGATAAACCTTTGATTATCGTTAATTTTTGATTTAGTTTAATTATTTTAAACATGTCTCAATATATATATCTAATCAACAACTTTTAAAATAATAAAAAATAAAAGTATTTTATTATAGAATTTTTTCAGCGTAAATTCTACATTTACATAATTATAAATAAATATTAAACCTTTAAGAAATAGTATAAAATAATCAAGCTCTCATTATTTTCATTAATCAATTGAGTTAAATATTCAGTGTAATCTCTCCAAAGAATTTATTCTGCATTATAAATCATAATCACCAATTATTTTAATGAGATGAGAATAAGTTTAGAATTATTTATTATTCATGATTTGAATACTAAATATAAATAAATAAAATCATAATAGTAATGTATTTCTTGATTCTTACCACTTCATCTCTCTATCACGATGTCTTGTTAAAAGTAGTACGAGATGAATCTAAGGCATATATATAAGATTTACCTTTCTTGACACTTTTATGAGGTGCATTATATCTGGATTTGTACTTTTATGCTAGCAATTCTTAATAGACCATGGATTGGCCTTATAATATAACAATTGATAAACTATATGCTTTTACTCTGACTGAATAGCATAATACAAGGGGGTTTTGCCATCTTAATCTATAGAATCAACATAGGCCCCATAATGAAGCAATCTCTCAGTAATTGATTAATAGCCCTTTTTAGAACTCAAATGTAAAGGTGTCTATCCTTCTTCATTTATATCAAATGCATAATATCTACATTTTAGGAGCATAAAGTTGATAAGTTATAAATTATTATCTTCTACACCCTCAAAAAATTAGAATGATCCTTCCCTTTCATAAGCTTTTTTTTAAATGACTCCATTCTAGAAGATTTCTTTTATAGTTAATTTCATTAATTTCATTTTTCTAACGCAGTTAACTATTTAATTAAACAACTTTTTAAATATTGATCTGACTTAAATGCTGAAAATAGTGTTTTATTTTTTTTTGAATCTATCCTTAATTTAAGATGATTTAATTGATTATTACATGAAATTTTAAGATTTTGATTATTTTTATTTTTATTCTTCTTCTACTTAAAATGTAAATTACTTTAAAAATGTTGTGGATATTCTCATTCTTTTGTTATTATTACATGATTTAGTCTATTCTGAAAGCTGTGTTAAAGTGATTTCTTATTATTTGCTTTATTCTTCTTAGTATGCTTTTTTTTTATCATAGTAAATTTGGATAACTGATTTTAATTTTTTATCTGGAGAAGTTGATTCTTAGAATGATTGATCTAAAAATTTTAGGTTTCTCGTAAACGCCTCTCTAACCTTACTTTATTTTCTAACCGAAGGATTTCTTTAATTAATAGCAAGCATTTATCCTATCTTTTCTATCATATCTTTTGGGTGTTAATTCTCTAATTGTTCAAACTGAGTTATTTCATTTTCTTATGTAGAAACAGTTTTTGAGTTTTAAACTGATTTTTTTTTCTTTCTCATTAACAAGTTATCTTTATTTATTAATTTTAGAGCCTTAGAAACTGAATCACTCCCTTCTCCATTCATTACAGAAATCTATTTCCCTATTGTTTTATAATATTTGTACATTAAAGTCAATATAACTTAATTTAGGTACTTTGAGATTTCTTTTTTCAGAATTATTTCTACTATTTTAGATAAGTATTTCATCTTCCATTCTGCTTTCTATTTTTCTAATACCAATATTTTGAGGAGTGTTGGGATTTATTGTAGAATTTTTTACGAATGAGGATTACCTTAGCCATCTACTAGTTTGAGCTCGGTTGTTACTTTATTTGATTGAATCACACTTTATTATTTATTCAAAGATATAAATACTTTAAATTAGGCAAGCGGTTCACTTTATTGCATCATTCCTTTTCCGCTTTTGGCTTCTAGTTTTTTTTTAATCGTAAATGACTTTTCTGTTTTACCGTCCATATAATTATACTCAAATGTTTCAATGTATAACGGCTTGATAGCATATTTAAACTTGCTCATCCAAATAGATTGTTATTATAATATTTAATTATTAAAATCACAAATCCTAAATGACTCTACCACAATTTCTCCAGGTTTGTTATCTTTTCTTGTATGGAATCATCATCAGCAATAGGTCAATCTAATTACTCATTAAACTAATACTCTTCTTGCAATTTTGAGCATCTTCATTAAACTAGGATCAGTAGTTTCATAAATGCAACCTTTAGACGACCATGGATTACATTGTTGAGATAGCAAAAGTTTAACTATATCCCTTTATTTATTAACTAAAGCATAATATAGTGGTGTTTTATAATTTACATCTTTTGCATCAGGATACGTCCCATAAGATAATAAAATTTCTGCTATAGCCATATATCCCTTTCTTGAGCAAATATGGAGAGCAGTTTAGAAGTACTCGTTTACATCAAACGCATAGAATCTACATTTTTCTAACATTAATTTAACTAAATCTAAATCGTTTTTCCCTATTGCTTTGAAGAATACGTATGATCCTTCTCTTTGATATGGTTTCAATTTGATAATCTCATTGTTTTTTAATATTATCTCTGGGTGCAATTTCATAAATTTCAGTTTTCTTATACAATACAATAATAGGCTCTTCATTTTTTCTAAGTTTGTCTAAGTTGAAATGCTGATATTGCACTCAGTTTTTCTCACTTTTGTGGGATCTTTTTTTGTTTTTATTGCGAAATCCCAATATTTATAAGATTGTTTTTGTAATTCGGAATAATCATCTTTTTCCTGATTCTTGAAGGATAAATCAGAATCGGCAAAGTCTTCAAAAAAATTTGTTTGAGTTTTTATCTATCTCTCTATTGAGTCCGATTATTTAGTTAATTTTCGTTAAAGATTAAAGTCATCCATTTTTTATGATAATCTTTACAGGTTAACACTTTTTCTGGATAAATAATTTTAAATTTTATCCTATAACTATTAATCCTTATTGATATTCTATGATTTTTTATTCTTTTATTGAATGTGATTTTATTAGGAATTTTTCATTTGATTATTATTAGTGCTAGAACCCTTAAAATAAAGAGGCTCTTACTCTAATTTTTCTAATACTTGTTTTTTCATCTATCTCTAGCGAAACGATTTCTAATATTACAGTAGCAAATCTTCAAAGTTAGTAACTTTTATTTATTTTCTCATCAGCTTTTTGTCCTGTATAATAAATTACTTAACCTTTTCATTTAATTCATTACCTGAATTCTTTTCTTTGATCTATTTTCTTCATATAATTACATTAAAATCAATATATTTTTACACATCTTCATTGGAACATTCCTAGCATCTATCCAACGTCATTCTTCTTTATTTTTGTTTCTTCTCCTAACAATTGTTTGTTTCGTGAAATGAGTTGCTTACGGTTTTAAATCTTTAATATTAAAAAAATTCAGCTTTCTTTTTAATTTAGAATGACTTTTCTTGATTTCCAACATAATATTTATATTGTTGAGTTTCTATTTATATTGGTTAATAATTCATAATAATAATTTATACAAAATATTTATTAATATTTAATTTATCTTAAACCTAAGACAATTATAAACAATTCAAACACCAAGCATTTAATTAATTAGTTAAATCTATACTATATTATATAAATAAAGAAATTGATATGCTCTCCTAATATATTATTTCAATCCCAGTCTTACAGTTACATTTTATCTATTTAAACTTAAAAAGTCAAAATTATTTTGTTATAAACAGAAATATAAATTTAAATAAAATTGGAAATCCGTTTTCAACTTCATCAACTTTATACTATCAACATTTTGGAATCACAAGAGAATCTCAAAGTGTATTAGTCATGATGTAGTTGTTAAATTTATACTATTTACGGCTTATTTTCAAGGTTAATTTAAACTTAGCTCTCAAAACTTAATAAAGCGAGCTTAATATTTAAGTTTTGAAGCAATTATAATTTAAGATCAAGTTAGATTAGTCTATATGCAAATGCATTCTTCAAATCCTGTTACTTTAGAAGAAAGGTATTAATGTTATTTTTTAATGTTCTGTAATAAAAGGAATATGAGTATCAACTTATAGATAAAGATTTAATATTCTAAACGATTATAAGGAATACAATCAAGAAAGATTAGAATATTCATTTAATATAACAAGTACAAATTTATAAATTAATTACACTACCATTATATTTCTGTTTAAAATATGAATATATATATAATATATATAATAAATTTCAAATATTTCTCAATCATCACTCATCAGTAGACAAGTACCACTGAGAATCCATTTGGAGGGGTCTGAATCCTCATTTTCCATATTAAGATTTGCTGTAAATACAAATGTAGGTCCTCTCATTGATGTTACGTAAACTGGACATTAATATTATCCAATCTTCTTCTTTTTCTCGGCAGTCACAGCAATCACATTAACAACTGGTAATTTTGGATGTAATTCCTTCTATTTCTATTCGATCAAGTATCCTTCTTATCCTTAACCACCCAATTCCCATGCAGCTCCTTCCAAATACAAACCATGAATATAAGCACCAGTCTCAGCCGAAACAGTAACTTCTTCATGTCCTTTGATTGCTGTCACATTTGTTTACAAGACCATCTAAATAATATAAATAATAATATCTTACATCATCTAAAGGTAATCCTTGTTCTCTAGCAGTCTTCTACATAATGGCAGTCAAAAATGACATGGGATTAAACAAATAACTAATACACAATGAAATTGGGGTGACCATCTCTTGTGTCCATACTGCTAATTAGTTTGTTCTTTCAATTAAATCATTGAACCAGGCAGCCAAACCCTTTCTTGAGAAATAAGCAAACTTCTCCCAACTGGCAGGGACTTTATTGAATTGTAATGATAGAGATAAGGCTTCCATTTAATCTGTGATATTCAAAGCACCTGTCATACCAAGTCTAAGATCCTCAAGTGATCTTCTGATTTCACCTAATAAGATGTTCATTCTTTCACATTCTTATAAACAGACAATTTGATCTGGTGTCTTTTCTGATGCCTTAGCTGTGACATCCATTAAATTAGTATCAGCAGGAGTTGTAGATTTTAATAATGTCAATTAAGTCATGACTCCATCATCTTTTTTACCTCCACCACCACTGCTAGATCCTCCTTGAACATCCAAAATGGTACTGAATAAGGTTTCACATTATTATGTCAAGTAACCAATTTCGGCATTTGGATGCATACCAAACATTTATGGAGATTCAATTGGTAATTTCTTCTCAATGTATTCCTTATATTATTCATATTCGAATCTTGAAGGATCTGGTGATTTAAATCCTGGACCCAAACTGAAATTTGGTTGTAATAATTCTGGTTTAATTAAGACTTTCAAATATGTGGCATTAGTTCTTCTATCCCAATCGTCTGTAATGTGTCCACCATACATAATTTCACCAAAAATATATTTCAAATCATCCCAAGGGACAACATCATATTTGGACAAATAATTATACAAGACATTAGCACATATGGTTAGATCACCATCATTGAAGTTGTAAATTCTAGACCATCCCTAAGCACCAAACTTCTTTTCTACCCAAGACTAAGGAATGGAAATGGCATAAAGCAAATAAGCATGCCTTGAATTCTTATGGTTTCTTTTAACATTTATTTAAGAATTCTTAATCAAAGTGAGCATAGGCTCTTCTGAGATTAGCCTTTAAATCTTAAGGTGCTTCATTAGCGACCTTAACAGATGCTTATAGAATAGATTCTGGAATAATCTTCATTTCAGGCAGAGGAGGAGGTTCTGATGAAATGAACACTCTAAAGTTTGGATGATGTTTAGCATAAACTGTTTCAAGATATCCTTCCAAACCATTAAGACCTGTCAACCAATTTTACATTAAATGTACATTTTGTAACATAATCCAATGTCCTTAAACAGCACAATCCAATAATGCTTTTCTAGCAATTTCTTCTTGACCTTGACCCATAGAGATGTTGATGAATTTGCCATTAAATGATGTGATATCATATTAGGCAGCCACTCTTTCCACTTCAGGAGTAGGATCAACTCCTGGGAATAAGACGAAGAAAATAGGTGTGGTTGGAGCCATCTCACTAAAGGTTTCAAAGATAGAGAATGGAGGTTATTCAACATACTTATCTCCCATTTCTTCAGCAACATAATTAGCCATAGCTGATGTCAATCTATCAGGTCTCATTGTTCTTAGTAATAGTAATCTATGGAATTTCTTAAGATGACTGAAAGCCTTTGGTAGATCACTGATTTCAGCCTTTTCTTCATTATACCATTTCTTCCATTGGAGATTGTCAACTTCTAAACTTTATCCAAGACCATTAAATTCAGGGATTGATTCCAAAGCTTTGCAACATGCCCAAATAGTATCATTCAAGAATGATTTCAATGATTCAGGCATAGGAGGAGGATTTAATTCAATTTTACCAATAATCAAATGGTCAACTTATTCTTTTGGTAATTTTCCTGCTTTCAAATTGATTCTCAAAGTAAGCATAGTTGATACAATCAACTTATGTCTTTCGAACAATCCTCTTCTGGCATATTGGAAAGATGTATAAGTAATACTTTCAATCAATTAATTAACTCTCTTTCTCAATGATTATGGAGTAAGTTGATCGTCATCAGCAGCTCTCTTCTATTCTTCAGCTTATTCTTCTTTCTTTTGTTCTCCTTCTTCACCTTCCTTAGCTTCTCCTCCTTCTTCTCCTTCTCCTTATTAACCTTCTCCTTATTCTCCTTCTTATTATTCCCCTTATTATTATTCTTCTTATTGTTATTCTTATTATTATTCCTCTTGTTATTCTTCTTATTATTCTCCTTCTTCTCCTTCAGCTGCTTCTTCATCTTCTCCTTCCTTCTTCTTTCCAAGATCAATCTAAGCTGCTGCTTTCTCATCCAACATGACACCTGTTTGTACATGCTTATGTTCAGAAATTAAATCAATAGCTCTATGAACTACAACCAAATAAGATTCTAAAGAATATTTATAGAAAGAGTGGATCTTAGATAGATCTGTCAATAAGAAATAAATTAAGGCGCCCCTTGCAGCTGCATTTCTGTATTATTCTGATGTTTCATTGATTTTAGCTTCAGTGGCCTTAGCAATTTCTACTTTTTCAGCAATTTCTGTAGAGATCTTCTTAGAGTATTCTAAATTTTCAATCAAAGCAATATCTTCTAAAATATCACCTTCAGCATTTGCTAATTTATATAATAATTCATCTTCCAATTCTTTTAATTTAATTTTGAATGAATTTTATTGTTAAATCAATTCTACCTTCTTCTAAGCCAAATCTGGTCTTTCTCTACCAACAACCAAGGCTAATAATTAATCACTTAAACCATCTTCAGTGACAGTGAAATTGATAAGAGTAGCTTCTGCTTAGATTTCAGGAGGATAATGTGGATTACTTAATTATGTGTGTAAGAACAATTAGAATTTAGGATGAACATCCAATTCTTAACCAGCGAATTTAATCTTCTTTTATCCTGAACTTTTGATGATAAATTGTCTTGCAATAACAGGCATTAAAACTGCATCTATTCTTTCATCCATATTTTCAATTAAACATGGATTACCAGCTTAGATAGAGAATTCAATTTATCTATTTGTATTTTTTTATCCAATACGTAAGATCTTCATATTGTTTGAAGATTCCTTTTCTTTAATCCATTTGATTCCTTATAATTAAGGATCTATGATCAATGGATATCTTTTCAGAGTTAGTTAAAATGGTACCATTTTCAGTACTGACAGCATCACTTGGCAATAATTATTGATTCCATTTTGCAATAGTACTTTCATCTGTCAATAATTTCACTGGATCAGCATTATTACTAAGTGGAACTTTGTTATCAATGATGAATTTCAGGAAGTAGTCCTTAATCATAACATCTCTGAATCTCTTGTTGAATGGACCAGCATATGAGACAAAGGCAGCTGAAACTAAAACATCTCCACTTAATAATTAAATTTAGCCTTCTAACATTTTAATTGCTTAATCCCAACGTTCATTTTCACTTCCTAAGGCTTTAACTAAACGATTGGCAGAATTAAGTCTCTTTTCACATTTGGCAGCTTAATCTAAGGCAGCTTATAATTGTGCCATAGCTTTATTATAATCAGCAGTCAAAACAGCTAATCTATCATTTAATTCCTTCACTTGTTCTTAGACTTTAGCCAATTTTGCATTAGCATCATCCAATTATTGAATAGCTTCTTTAAGTGCTTATCTCTTAGGTTCTACAATTTGGATGACATCATAATATTTGACAATGTTGATAACCCAATCGCATAGACCTCTAGCAGCTGATGATTTATTAGCCATAGTTTATGCATTGAAATGTTCTAAATTCAAATAGTTTTTCTTAACAAAATCTACATTTGTTGTGGGTACTTGATTTGCATCTACAATATCTTTGAAACCCATGAGTTTATTCAACAATTCTTTTGGCTTTTGCATCATCTTTTATGCACTCTTCCAATCATAAGCTTTAGGTTTCTTTGATTTTGGATCAACTTCGATTTGTTCATTATAGAATCCAGCCAATAAGAAAATGGTAGCTGAGAAGACATCTGGTACACCAGAAGGTGGAGTAGCAAAGTTCTTAGCAACTTAGAAATCTTTTTCACTCAACCCATTCAAGGCAGCCTTGGCTTATTCAACAAGTGGGATAGCAGCATCTAAATCTGCTTGGGTGGATGTCTTTTTCTATTCAACATCTTATTTGATGGTTGAACATTTAGCTTCTTCATCTGCTGCCTTTGCATTTTCAACTTCAGCCTTTGCTTTTTCTTTACCAACAACTTCAGCTACTTGATTAGCTTCATTCTTAATTTATTCAGCTTCTTATTGTTTTTCCTTGACTTGAATTTCAATTTCAGCCACTAAAGCTTAGGTAGATCTCAATTTGATAAGACCATTTTCATATCTTTCCTTATTCTTTTCAAGCATTCCCTTCTTAGTCTTCAACATGAAAATATATAATTTGATCAATTCTAAGAATGATTTAGGTGTAGTATAGACATATCTTCTTTCTTATTCTAACAATTTGACTGATAAATCATTAACTAATTTGAATGAGAATGGCATGAATTTAACAATAGCCTCTCTAACTTAATCTGTGGGTACATCAATATCTTTTAAGAATTGTTAAGCAACATTATAGAGAGCATCTTAAGGCCAAGGTTGGAACCAATCAATGACAGTAGAGTTGACAAGAGCAGGGAATTGACGAGCTCTTTTACGGAGTGATTCACCTACTGGTGAGAAACACAAGGTCATATGTAAATTCTATCTAACTTTATCAATAAACCATCCCCAACATGAATCTCTTGTATCTGGTCTACCATCAGCCTTTACTTTAGGTCTAATTTGATTTATCAACACTTCCTTTTCATCTGAGTTATAGAGTTCTGCCACTTCTCCTGAAGATAGTAGATCATTGATGTATGTTAAGAATCTCTCGTTTGTAATTTGACCTTCATTGAATAAGAACATAATAGGTTCATCTTTGACACCTGATTTCTAGTAAAGTAATTACAAGTCAGTTCTTAGATCATTCATACCATAATTGCTTGAGATAGTAATCATGAAGAGTGTGTATGTCATAATGAATGCAGCCAATTTAGTTAACGATTATTTACCACTACCTCCTACTCCTACTAATAATGAATGTCCTCCTGGTGGTAACACAATTCTAGTGATTCTACATACATGTTTAAGAGCATCTTCGAATAATACTAATCCCATATAAGCAAAGTTATCATTATATTCTTTTAATGCTTCAGTGATTACTGGTTCCAATTTATCATTTGGCATCTGATCATAAAATCTATCACCACCAATACCAGCTAAGAAGTTACAGAAGATCAGATTTTCAGGATTATCTTTTGCAAAGAATCTACTGAAATTGAATTTGGTGAATTATTTCTTTAACAAATCGAACATCAATGCCTTATAGGTATTAAGATTATCCATTGAGACTAATCTATCACCATATGTTCTTTCAGATTCATGAACCCATAATCTTATTAATTTATCTGAATCAATAAATTTAGCAGGATCGGCTAATAACAATCCTTATATAACATTGGAAATATGTCTAAGATTGAATTCATAATGGAAATTTATGGCTGTCTTTCTGAAATTCTATATGACACTTGTATGTAATTATAAAGCAGCTTTGATAATTGCAGGTCCATTTTCAGTGACAGCTGGTTTGAATCTCTTAAGATGTCCTGATAGGAATGTGTTGTAGATTAAGAACAAACTTTCATTGTCAGGAATAGGAATGGAAACAGTCCAAAAGTGTCTTTGATATCTTGGATTAACAAAGAATGAACCAGCTGATGGATTCATAGCAGCAATTGTTTGAGTGTTGATGATATCCTTCAAACTCAATTTACTTAAATCATACCAATGACCATAATCTGCATGTTATCTTAACAATGCAATAGCTGTCTAAGTATCATATGGATCTAATTAAGGCATGTTCAAATCATCAATGAAATATATTAATTTTCCTTTTCCTTAAGGTCCAAATTGTCTACCTGCCTTCTTTTCCAATTATTGTTCCAATTGTGCCTATAAATAAGTTGAATCAGTATAATAATTGAAATTGATTAATTGATAAGTAAAATTATCTGGTTGAGCTTTCACGATATCTCTCAAAATACCCTTGGCCAATTAAGTTTTACCACAACCGGATTAACCAATCATCAAAACTGGTTGTTAAACATAAATAAATTATTTAACTAATTCACTTGTAGCCAAAGTTTCTTTAGTTGGCACTGTAATATTACCCATAACCATTGATTAAGGATCAAAATCTATATTAGATAATCTTTTAGCCCATTCATCGAATTTAACATTCTCTGAATTTTATTCAACAAAGTAATCAAATACTGTACCCTTACTTGGGAATTTTACTGAAGTCTTCCATTCACCTTTCCACCAATTAGAGAAATCCTTACGATAATCAATGGAGTCTTTTTCAGATAAAACACCTCCAATAGCCCAAACACAGCAATACACGAAATGATATTCCATATTCTTCACTTCTCCTTATAATAATGGCAATAAGGCTTTGCATAATGAGATAATCATAGAAATTGGATTGACTGGAATCAAAGTCTTACAATGTTTCTTTAAGAATAGTAAAGTACCTTCAATATATCTATCAAATAGTTTTTGTAAATCTTATTTAAATTTATCATCATTAAAGTTATTCTTAACCCATGATTTCACGTAGGCTCTCCATTAATACCCCTTGTCATCTGAAATATATAAGATACCAGCTCTAGACACTGTGGCAGGAGTAGCAAAACGAAGATCTCTGATTTCAAAAAGCATTCTCATGTGTGGTTTCAATGGAATTCTTTCATTATTTGCCAACGTCAATATCTTATTGTCATCCATCACTGAATTCATAGACTCAATCCAATTAGCATCTAAATCTCCATCAAGTAATATCCATTTAGGATTAACATCTTGAATTTCACTTAGAGATCTCAAAACCTTTGAAACTAAACCATCTTTCCATTCCTTTGTTGGTAAATTGTAACCATACAAATCTCTAGTACTAACGACCTTTGGATCTAAATCAACCACTGTTGTCTTCTTACCAGCCTTATCTTAAGCTTTAGCCAACATTTTCCATGTGGTTGATTTACCAGCTCCTGGTGGACCCATTACGAAAATACAATGTCTAATTTCTAATAATTCTGATGCTTGAACAATCTTCAAAATATAATCGGGGTCTGGATCCAATCTATTTTCAGCAGTAACTTATTCAATGATTCCTTCAAATGCCATATCTCTCTTTCTTGGAATATTGATATTTGGGAATAGATCTGATAATAATCCTGAGAAAACATCCAAATCTTAAAATGCGATCTTTGGAATATTGAAATCTCTCAATGCTCTCATCAAAAGTGCCTATTCTGCAATATTTGCTTCTGCTCTCTTAAACCACCAGCAACGACTAAGACTGATTTAATAGCTCTAAGTCCCCAATCATAATGCAATTATTTTGATAATAAATCTCTGCATAACATATATAAAGTAACGAATTTATGTGCTAATGTCTTTGCCTCTTCAAATCCTTCAGCCATCAACATGTTTTCACAAATCAATTCTAAATCTGGAACAACCACTGTAATTGGTCTAAACAATGCTTTCAATCCTTCTGGTAATTCTGCTCTTCCCAAATAACCTGGATTCATTGTGATAAACACACCACAAGTTGGATCTAAAGAAATCTCACCTCCTCCTGGAAATAAAAATGTCTTTTTCTATTGTTTAATAGCATCAGTGACTGCCTTGAATTAGACTGAACAGACTGACAAGACTTCTGGTAATAAACGATTAAATTCATCAAAACAACCCCAACATCCAGAACTAGCAAGTCCCTTATAGATATTACCCATAGATTCATAATTCATTTCTGAACTGCAATTGAATACGTAGCATGCTTTAGCTAAAGCATTAGCCAAATCTTTAGTGGTTTCTGTTTTACCAGTTCCAGCAGGACCAGCAGGTGCACAACCCATCTTTAAATGCAATGCTTAAGTGGCTGTGACGTAGATACGATCTGTCAATGGCGTAATAACCAATCTTGGACCATTACCCAAATATTCATATGAATAATTGAAAGATGCATCAGCAATTCTAATAAGAGCATCATTATTGACCCAATAGAATTTCAATTAAGATTGCCATTAAAATTCATCTGGTTTACGAACATGTTCATCAATCAATTTACCAATAGTATCTCTTGAGTGAGCATCCATAGTAATCAAACACATCAACTTTTATCTTAATGATTTAGTTAAATCTCCTCTAACAAATCTAATTAATTCAGTAAGAGCTTCAACACTTCTCTTATAATAATCTTTGAGGGCATTCATATCTCCATTAGCTATTTTTCCAAATGCTTCTTCTACTTAAACTGACCACATAATATTATTGACTAATAAAGCAATTTAAGCTGGATCTTAATCAATCCAAGTTTTTCTATCCATTTGTAATTGGCATGTCTTAGAATCATAACATCCAAATGATTTCTTGGCTAATTCTCTTAGAGTATCAATCATAGAATCAATCATGGCTTATAAATAGGTTTCAACTTTATTTAACAATTACAATGGTTTAACTAAAGATACTTCTTCTTGACCAACGCATGTAATCATCTTTTTGGCAAATGGTCTTTCATTATCATTTTCTTATAATTCTAATTTATCAATAGCTTAGAAGATCTTCGACATATGTCTGTTAATTTTTGCAGGTGAATTACCATTTGAAAGAATATCCAATAGATCATTGACACTAACGAAATAGAATCTTGGGAATGCTCTTCTTTTAGAATCCAAAAATTCGTTCAATGCTTTTTCACAGACCTTCAAATCAGCTTATATTTTTTCTAATGATTTCAACATATTTGGTTATGTACAGAACTTCAAGATAATCTTAATTTAGCAACCAGATTCCATAATTTCTTTCATATTCTTATCAATTCCAACAAATTATTCTGATTCCTTGGGTAATTCCTTCTTGACTTCTTCTGATTGAATAAATAAGTTTTCCAAGAAGGACCATGTTTTCTGTACTTCTGATAATAATTAAATAACATCATAAATTGCTCCTAAATCCTATTTCCATTTTTCAACATCTTTCTCAAAGAATTTCACATATTTACTCAATAACATATTGTTGACCTATAATTAATGTTCTTCCAAGGTTTCAAAATGTTCATCCAACATTTTCAAAGTTCTGATATCAGTATCCTTATGTTTCAACAATTCAAATTGAACATCCTTCCAGAATGTATCTACCTTGATAATTCCCTTTTCCATTTTTAATTCTTATTTTGCTTATTCAGAGATATCTTCAATTTTTTCTCTAAAGTCGAAAAGTTTAAGATTCCAAATAACATCTAATTCCATATCATCTCCAATTGCAAAGTCTTGATTTACAACAACCTTGACTTCTTTCCAATGTCTACTATCAGTTGTATTCATAGCTGGATCTTTTAATTCAGTTAATAAAGGAATGAAAGTACCCCATTTACGTAAATCTTCATTAATACCAGTGAATACATTTGATCTTTTATCAATACCCTTCATATCAATTAAGAATTTACGAAGCTTTTTCACTTCATCTTCCATATCATTTGGATCTATAGTTGCCCATTTATATCTCTTGTAATCTGAGAATTTTTATTCACATTTCTTGATGTGTTCCCATAATAATTATACAGCAGCTACTTCTTATTTGATAGCATCTAAATTTTTTTAGCAACCAACAACCTCATCTGGGAAGTTGAACATTTTTGAATAATATTCATAATTTTAAAGTGTTTTTGTGAATTTATCTATTTAAGCTTAGACTTCAGTAAATCTTTCTTATGAATCTTTAATACCAGTTTTATATTAATAAAATGTTTCTTTTTTAAGACCTTGTAAATATTCTTTTAATTATTCTTCGAATTTCTTAATCTTTTCTTTGGTCTTATCAGCTTCTTATTTGACTGGACCACTTATGTCTTTTTCAACTGTTTATGAAATCTTTAATAAATTTTTCCATTCTTCTTGCATCTTGTTCACTTTTTTGATTTCTGTTTCTTTTTTCATATCATGTTTTTCTAGTGTTCTTAATATTTATTCATTTTCATCTAATAACAAAAGAATGTTTTCTTTTTCATCTGAAATCTTTTTAAGATTCTCCATAACCTCTAATAAACTATTGACATCTTCTTAGATATTCTTATCTTTGATATTAATATTATCTCTGGATGTGTCAATAAGTTTATTAATTTCTTCATTCTTATTAGTAACATAATTAACTAATTATTAGCCTGTATATTGGTTATTTTTAATTCCAACACCATCTAAAAATTATGCTTTCTTAGGAGCACCTCTAATTTCATTAAATTCACCTCTTTCATTTTTTAATTTAACATTAACAATAACTTCACATGGTTCTTCAATTTAATATTTAACAATATAAGATCCATCATCATTATCATGAATAGAGTATTTGATGTTAGCTTTTTCTTCTAATAATTACAATCTAGATTTTTCCTATGGTACCTCTTCTTCAACTTCTTCATATTCAGATTCTTAATTTTCACCTTCTTCTCCTTCTTATTATTATTTAACCTTCTTTCTCTTAACAGTTCTCTTCTTATGAGATTCTTATTCAATTCTTTCTCTCTCTTCAGGATCCATCTACTCTAATTACTATAATCTAATGGCTTCTCTTTATCTTTCTTCTTCCAATTCTGATAAAACATCAGGTCTAGTAATTTCAATTTAAAATTCATCAGCACCACTTTCTCTATTTTAATTATTCAAATTTCTAGTTTGAATATAGAACATAGTATCTGTTTTTATTGCATTTTCTCTCAACACTCCTGGTCCAAACATTAATGACTTTTCAGCCTTTGAGTTTAAGAAATAGGAATAGAATTGACTCATAATAGTGAAATCTAATCTATCAATACTGACTTTGACTTCAGATTTTCTAGCTCCATGTTTTTCATATGAAGGTGTTTCACAAGTTAATTCAGTTGGACTTACATATACTGCTTGAACATCCTCTGAAGCTTTTCCTGAAAAGAATCTGACAATAATATTTTAGGAATCCTTGAATCCATCTCCCGTAATAGAGACTTTGGTTTTTCCTGTTAATGGACCTAAACATGGTTTAATTGAATAGATAGCATATGGAGGTCCAACAATTGATGAGACATTCAATGCATATATATCATTCATCCAAGCATTTGACCATCCACCAAACATCATAATTCTAGAATCTGAAGGATCATAAATTAAAGTAGTTGATTCTCTAGTTTTAGGTTTGACTGGTTTTTCTTCTTCTAATTACACAGGTGACCATTTCTTAGCATCTACATCCAATACAAAAGTATCATCAACTAATCTACTTGCTGTTCTGTTACCACCTTCTTTCGAAGTTACCAACTTGTCCACCAAAAATGAAATATTTCCATGATGGAATAGATGGCACCATAATACCTGCCATATTCCACTTAGGTATTTCATGTGATATTTCTGGATCTACCCAACTATTATTATTAATATCATATATGATGACATTTTAAAATTGCGAAATTTGATTCCATCCGCCAAAAATCATGAGTAAATCATTCTATCCCATAATTTAAGAATTGTGTCCTCCTCTAGGGTCAGGTGGTGTTCCACTAGGTTCTAATTGTGACCATTCAAAACTTTCACAATCTAAAACATATAAATCATTGAATGATTTAGTTGCATATCCAACTCCTCCATGTCCTCCGAAAACATACACTTTGTTCTTATGAAATGTTGCTGAATGATTTCCTCTTGGTTCTGGTGCACCAATCTTAGATTCAGCATTTTTAGGTTCCCCAGTTACTTTTTAATTGGGTGGTTAAGACCATTAGAAATTAGTAGTTCTTAAGATGAATGTGTCATTAAAACGGAGATTTGATGTATAGAACCCACCAAAAATAAGCATTTTCTCAGGAGTAATGGCGCATGCTGCATGATTTGTTCTTGGCAGTGGTGGATCACCAGAACATTATACTAACTTCCATTCACAAACATTTGGTGCTACTCTCAACGAATATACTTATATGTTAATTACAATATCTACCTTAATTATTTGGTGCTATCTTTGTATTTTTCTTTTCTGCATCTGGTTTCTTCTCGCTGTCTAATCCTCCAAAAAGAATGTGAGTTTTTCCAACAGTTACAAAAGTATGACCTGATCTAGGTGCTGGAATTTGTCCAGATTGCTTCACTTATACCCAAACTAATGGTTGTGGCTGTAAAAAGATATGAACATATATATACCATCTGTAATTTAAAAAAAAAAATTAATAATATCATACCATTCCTATTCATATCACTTAAATAACTATTATATAGTAAATAAATATCATATATCTTTAAAAATTCAAATTCTTTTTTGTACCTTGCCTTTCTTTTCATTGTATTCATCACTAGAAGTCATTGGAGAATGATACCCTCCTTCGCTAAACTATGTTAAATATTATTTACCCTTTTTGAAATCTCACATATTTACTATTTTTCTTTGTTCTTCTAAAATGATATTCTTTTTTTTCTTCTCCGCCTCCTTCATTCAAAACTGATTTTTAAGTTCCTGTTGTCTAAATTGGTTGTGAAATTTCTTAAACAAATGGCGATGTCTTGCTACTCTATGAAAATATTCTGTCATTCGGATTTATCTTGCCTTTCTTTTACAAATTTCCACCCAATTTAGAATTCTTCATACTCAAAAATCCTTCCCATCCTTTTATCACATTACCAATATGACCTGTTTCTTCCAAATATCTTGTTTCCTCGTCAAATATACTCTTCTCCAAATTTTTGAGTTCATTCTCTAAAATAAACTTCTTTTCAACAAGGTCTTAGTATCTCTTATCCATTAATATATATATATATTTATATAAATTATATATCATTATTTTCTTAGATATTATTCTAAATAGTATTATAGAGGACAGTTCTTTAATTCAAGAATCTACTCTATAGTAAAGAATTCAAATCTAATATCTAATTTTATAATTATCTTCGATCATCAATTTATGAATATTCTCATTAAATCAAATGCTGTTAACTTTCTTTGAGTGCTTAATCTGTGAGATAATTATGATTCTAGATGTCAAAAGTTTCCAGGCTTCAAATAAATCCTTATTTAATACCTAAACTAAATATGCTTATTTATAGATATTTTTCTAATATTAAAATTAATAAAGTACTTTCTTATTTTCTTCTAGTAGTCTAATTTTTTTTCTTAATTACTCCTCCAACATATTTAAGTTTTATCTTGATTTTTATTATCTAATGTTATTAATTTCTCATTCAATGCATTGATTTTGTTGATATGGGTTAAATTTTATTAATTATTTCCTAAGCTTTTTATAGAGTTAGAAATTTTAGAACTGTTTGTTTCTTTATATTTGATTGTCTCATTTTAACTTATAATTTTAGCTAAGCTTAAAGATACATTTAAATCTAGTGCTAATAAAATGCTGATTCATGATTTAAGCACCCTAATTTTATTTAAGAAACTCAAGTATATTACAATTATTAAAAATAATTATTAATATCTAAGGTACTAATTTTTTTCCTTATATCTGTTTCTCATAATGCAGATATATTATTATTTAATCCTATTGTAATAAAATATGTAATTACAACAATGCAAAATTTAAATTTATTAAAAAACATTATGGTAATTTAATGGTTTAAAAAATAATAATTTTAGCAATATACTATCAAATTATCATAATCGTGCTCACTTTACTATATCCAATCATATTTTGTTTTAGAAAATCATTCTTAATGATAACTTTAGTTTAATTTGATGACAGAAAACATGAATTGATTTTCTACTTAACTTACTCTTCATTATCATTCGGAGATATTTTTAGAAGAGGCAGTGATGTATTTTTGTTGTTAGGAGTAGTAGTAGTGTAATTAGAATGTGGTTTGGTTCTATATTTAAGATTAATATTTTCTAATTGTGTATTGATTCTTGCAGCTTATAAAATTGGAGGCAAAGGTTAAGAAATTTGATCGCTGTAATCTTCTGTTTTATGAACTTATCTTTTAGTTTTCTTCCTATAGTATTTCAATTGACCACCATAGCAGATAATGTATTTTTTATTTAGAATCTAATTTTTATTCATTAATATTTATATATTAATATGTATGAAGATTATGATTTCTCTAAAGATGAAAAATGGAATCTCTATATTAAATCAGCTGACAATTCAATGTACTATATCAAGTATACTTAGATCTAAGGAAAGAATGGAATATTTAAAATAGATTTGGTATAAGGAAAATGTGAACAGAAAGCATCAAATTGACAATAATAAAATATCAAATGTTAAAGAGGAATCTAAATTACCATATTATATTTATAGTACTGAGAATATATTCAAAATGTCATTTATGCTTTTACTGTTTATGCAAGGAGTAGCTTAGATATTTGGATATCTTTTCAATTTTTTAGCATTGTAAAGACAAATACGAAATACTTAAATTTAATAGAGAAAACAATATGTGAAGCTTTTGATAAATAATGAATTCTTTCATAATTTAGTGTTTTTGTTCTTATTTCACTTTTTTGAGAGAATGCACAATATTTTCATATATAGTCCAATTCTTATGCACTCCTGGGTTGGTATTTCAGAATTTCTATTCCTCCATCATAAATCAATATACGAAAGTAGCAAATTTTTGTGATAATTAGTTTAGGAATGCAACAATATATAGATAAAACTAAGTAAAATAAGGAACTTATTATGATACAAAAATAAAAAATTGAAATTATTTTGTTTCCAGCCCTTTTGTTTGCAAAATTCTTCTTTGATATAGGTAATTGGATATTAGTAATATTTTATCTCATTTTTTTAAAAATGAAATACCATACAAATAAGAGGTCTAAAGTAGCTTGGATTTAAATTGATTATTTTATAGAATCCCATTTGCCTATCATTATTGTTTCTGCCTATAGAGAATTCAGATAAATTGCTGTACATTTCTTTGTGGATTGATAAATTTATTATAATGTAATCCAAGAATTCAATTTATAAAATATCTAATTAGAATTGAATATTAAATGCTCTTCCTGATTTAATATTATTATGATAAATTTATATTTCAACTCCAGAATATATTTCAAATGTTTTTGTTAAAAGTATACTTATTTAAATAATAATAATTTAAATATGCGTTTTAGAGTGATTCTAGTGGTTTTCATTGCTTTGGTTTTTGGCTATAATAAAAAGGACTCTTGCTAGAATATCTAAAAGTTTACCTATGATGAATGGGATGCGAAATTAATGTGCCCCAATCCTCTAGCTCCAATTCTAGAAACTTAGAATATACCAAAGGCAAAATGTAGCAGATTTAAACCTATTTTTGATTCTTCAAATAGAAAATTGAATACTCAAGATGTTGAAGAACTTAGATAGAAAATGAAATAGAGGCAAGAAGGAAATCTAAAATTTGATCACGATCAACAATATAAGTAGTATAAGGAATAATAAAATAAGTAATAAAGAAAGGATGATTTATGATGAAATGTCTACTCTATAATTAATCATTATTCTTTTCTCTCACCTCCCCAACAAAAAAACTATTGAAAAAAAGAGGGTTTCTTTTATTCTAACTATTATTATTAAGTCTTTTATTTTGTTAATTATTAAGTCTACGATTAGTTTGTTAGTGCATTTTATTGATAATTTTATAGAGTTTGGGATTTCTCCAATACTTTAAAAGTAATTTCAATATCCGTCATATAAGATAATTAACCCGTCCATTCATCGGCTTCTTGTATTGTTGATACTCTAAATTGCTATTGAACTGTATTTTAATCATTTACCTAACATTAAATTTCTATAGATTACAATAATTGTGAACATTCGATTACATTACTCAATTGTTGAAATAGATTTCAATTCAATATTTGAATATTCTTCAGTATCAACTAATTCCCAAAATAAAGCATGTTCCTTCAATGTAAGTATAACATTTTTCCATTGGGTTGCATTAATCTTCTTTTCAACTTAATTCTCTAAAATAGTTTTTCCCTTCAGATTAATAATTCTTCTTTTACTATCCTACATTTTATAGACAGGTATTTAATTAGTTCTACTTACTTAAACAGGCATACTATTATTAATTTGTTAACATTTAATGATATAATCATGGAGTTTCTTAGCATCACTTAAATAAGGAAAAATTAATTCGAATACTCGACCATTGAACATAAAATTTATTTGATATTCATTAGTAACACTAAACCTCAAATTTTAGATTTAGTATAATTCTATAGTTGTCTCTATTACACTAATACATATAATTATTACTTGTCAATGTTGCTAAGTTGTTTTCATATTTTAATAAATTTATAGTATCCAAAGTATATTATTAAGGAATGAACTTAATAAATTAATGAATCTAGTCTAAAGATTCAATACTTATGGAAGTAAAAAGCAACATCCATCTCTTCTTTTTAACTAATGGATTCTTTACAGACTTTTTTTCAACTAACAATCTCAAAATAAACTCTTTGTTCTTATATTTTACTAAATATTACTTTATCACCCATAGCTTCAATTGTCTATTAAATATAGGATGATTTAATTAGTGAACTTTATGTATCTTGTGTTTTTTATTGAATAATATTAGATAAAATTTCTTCTCTTCTCAAATAAAATTAAATAATTGTTTGTATAGGTATTTCATGCCTTGAAAATATTTATTGATTACCACTTAACCTTATTCATAGTGGATAATTCAGACTTAGTTTTGGACATTTAATTAAATGGTACTTTCAAAATGTCTAGCTGAAAATCAAACATTATAAATACCCATTTTTCCTTTATTTCCTTGCTTTCTGCTTTTAACTAAAATTTTCTCTAACCAACATGAATAACAAACTCGTTCTTATTAGGATCTAAATAATCCACTTAAACAATATTCTATTTTATTATTACTCCTTTATAATTAGATATTTCTAAATACCTTTTGGTTGATAAGGAGGTAGTAGAATATCTAGTTAAAATTGAATCATTAATTTTTATATGGCTTAGGAGATTTGTTATGATATCTGTTTCATCATTTGCCGTTAATTTCAATAATTAATGTTTGGTTATTCTTACAATTACTTTGTTATTAGATTAATTATTAGGTTTGATTTGATAAATTACACACCAAGACTTCATTTCAGATGTTAATTTAGTACTATGATTTAAATAGTATAAATCTAGAATCAGGTTCTATCAACTTAAAAATTACTCATAAGATATATAACCTAAGTAAAATTACAGTTTTTGTTCGTATAAATATTCTTATATATAATTTAAATAAGAATAAAAATCAAAAAATTCTAGTTTTTATTTTTTTATCTATTAATCCTTTGACAGCATTGCTATCATAAAACTTTTCTGCGAAGGAGGATTATTAGGATTCAGTGTTCAAATTCTTAGACACGTAAGATCTAATAGGAAAAAACCTATACTTATTAAAAGATGATCTATATTATCCTTCAAAACTTTATTTAGTACTAAATAATCTCGGACTAACCGGTCTTATCAATTTTGAAGGCACAGAATAATGCGATTAAAAAAAATGTTATGAAGTAGTTTCTTTAATTAAAGATTAGGCATTCTCGCAAAATGGTCCTCTAGATGCTTATATAAAAATACAATTTAATGTGCTTTTGTAATTCAACTTTATCAGTTTTAATTTATTTAAAATTTTTGGAATAATTAGTTTCTGCAATAAAGGGTAAGGTTGACTACTATTTAGGGGACAATTATTAAGTAACTTTACCTGGATATTGGCCCTTCCAATTCATAAAATTTGAGTTGTATGTTGATAAGAATGTTGATTAGTTCAAATTAGGATTGTATTCTGGTTTAAAATTATCAACTTTTTCAGAGTTCTACGGTACAAATTATGACTTAAATATTGAAAATGAATACATTATAAACACTCTTTTTTTATAGATAAGCCAAATTAGAAGCATAATACTATTCATATGCTTTTGATTAATTCAAAAGTGGTTGATCTGGGAGATGTTTAGACCCAGAATAATCTCTTGAATATTAAGTTGTTTATTTTTTGGGTTGATAATATTTAATTTCATTAAAATTGATGTTCTTATTTAGTAAATCTTGTTGAGCTAATTCTAGTTTGCATTAACAAACTTTCAGTATACTTTGAAAATATTCTGCATTATTATTGACAACTTCTTCAATGGTTTAATTTTATTCCACTAAGTCCTTCCAAATTTCGTGCTCTAAAGGAAATATCTCAATCACTGCTTAATACAATGTTTTGCTATTATTATCAACCAATTATTAGTCTGATGAGTTAATTAGTGGAAATTAGATAGTATTCAGTTTTTTATCTTCTAAAATTGAGTTATTGAGTGAAAGCTAGAATTAATTTTCTTATGGAAAATATGATTATTTTACATCATTGTGATCATCTCTAATGATAAGGTTATTTTTTATTTTTAATACTTTCCTTTTGATTGGAGATTGATTTCTTGATAATTCTTTAGAATTCATTTATTTATTTGTAGATAATGATGAATTATTCGTTCTTGAAAAGTCATTATTTGATAGTATTCTTTTAACTTCATCACTAATGATCATTTATTTTTAATATAAGAGAATATATTTGTTTATGTGAGGGGGTTGTGTGTGTCTATGTAAAAGGAATGTGATAAAATACTTTGAATTATTCTATAAATGTTTATATACGATTAAGATAAAATATAAGCAAAAACAAAAGTTTATTATTATTTTTATTTTGGATGAAAAGTAAACATGGATAAGCTCAATTAATAAACAAGTAAATTATGGGAGTGGGTGGAAATGGTGCTTTAGCTACACAAGTCATAAAAACAAAAAAGAGAGAATTCTAATATCAGCAAATCGATTAGTTACAGCAAAAGAAAAATTAGATTTTACAGCCCAACCAATAGAACAAGAAAGAGATTGCTGCTACGAAAATATTTAGATTTTTGTATAAAATTTATAAATAGTATTATTTTAATAATCATTATTTAAGAAAAGAGAAATAACATCGGTATCGAAATTTTGTAATTGAAGAGTTGATAAATACCGAAAGAAATTATTTAAATGATTTGAAATTATTAATTGTCATCTAAAGTTAAGTTAAACAATGGCTAAACAAACAATAAATTGAAATAATATTTAATAATCTCCAATAATTGTATGAATTAAATAGCTCTTTTCTTTAAGATTTAGAAGGGTTTCTTCCTTATAACAGATCCAAATTATTAGGTCCAATAATCAAAGGATTAGCTCCTTTTTTTAAAGTGTATTTCCCATATTATGAAGGATTCAATAAATCTATGGCAACTCTTAAATAATGCATAAATGATAAAGAAGACTTCAGAAAATTTCTAAAAAATATGTCCTCAATCAAAGACTATAATAATTAAGATATTGACAGTTTTTTAATTAAGCCTGTTTAAAGGATACCCAAATACAATCTCCTCTTAGAAGACTTAATAAAACATACTGACAAAATTCATCCTGATTATAAAAATTTATGCGAGAGTTTAGAACTTTTTAAAAATATAAACGATGATAACAACAAAAATATGGATAAATTTTTATCCAGTAAATTGTTTGATATGGAGAAATGGTTTGGAAATAAACTAAGCTAGAAATTAGTAGATACTAAAAGAAAATACATCACAGAACTTTTAACATCAATTTTAGATCAAACTAATAAAGTCATCATTGTGACTGCTTTTATTCTTAGTGATTTAATCATTATTGGAGAAAGATAGGAAAATCAATACCAATATATATAGAGTGTATTTTTAGATGAACAAAGTGGATGTTTAGATGTAGAAAATTAATAACACCTTTAAAATATTTACATCTTATAGGGTATGAGAGGGTAATCAATTACATTTATAGAACAGACACCAAATGATAAAATTGAAAAAATGGCTAAGTTACAAAAAATAATTCAAGAATGCAAAGAGAAATCAAAATATACCTTTTAAAGGCAAACAATTCGGGCAGGGTCTGAAATAAAGGTATAATTAAATAAGATTAAAGTGACTGTGTTAGGTCTTGATGAAAGACATGAAAATTTGAGTAGTTATAAAGTATATATAATTGAAGTTGGCATCGAAGAGGTTTTTTAGAAATTATTTTTAAGATTTAGTTAATGTATTAAAATTTAGGATTATATTAAAAAGAAATACCCAACGACCTAATTAAATTTCTTAAAATAAAATACAACTTTGAGTTTATTGAATGATTAAAAGGAAATTGAATCAAGGATGATCGCGATTCCTCTTTTTGTTTAATCTGTTCTAATATCTGATATTACAAGACAGAATCCATAAATTTTGAAGGACCTAGGATTACCTGAGAATTTTTATGATTTGCCATCTGAGGCTGATAATTTTAGGAATCAAAGAACAGGCAATCAAAAGGCACCTGATAGATTCAATTATGTGACTCCTACTAGAACACTGATTAAGACATTTGACTATGGAAATGATTAATAATCTCTTTAGAGTAATTAATGCAATCGTAGATTATTAAGCGCCTCCTCGATGATGAGTAGAAATATTACTTTAGTAGAAGAAAAAAAAAAGTAAAAAGAAAAGGATGCTATTTCAATCATAGTAAATCATGCTATACCTAAAGAAAAGCCTTGGGAATTTAATGTTAAAAATAATACTAAAGTGTTGCACGTATTAGACTAGATTTAGAAGGTAATGTAATTGCAATAAATATATGACTTTAAATTATATATTTATGACAATAAATCTAGAGTGAAAATATTGTAAAATGATGAAAACATATGTGATTTATTTGGGGATAGCTTTATTTTTGCAAAAAAAAAGAAAGAGCTTTGGTTTAAAAAGCTCTTGTATTAAGATATAGAATATGAGAAGACCTTGTTATAGGCTGATAGTGCTAGGATGAAACTTTTATATTACTAATTAGTTAAGGACATCTAAATTTCTACATTACCATTTCCAACTTAAAATTAATATATTAAATTAGCTGCCATTCATTTGTATTTATAGAACTGCAATCTCTCTTATAATGTCATACAATAAATCATCCCATCATCCATTTTATAACTTAAGTAAAGAGAGTATTGGAATTGTGTTGTAACCTAAGAATTCAAGGAATTCAAGTCAGGTATTTAAAATACTTAATCCACACTAATTCAAATCAATGAAACTGAAGATATTGCAAAAGCTAAATCAAAAGGCATTTTTTCATCAATCATTCAATCTAATCAAAATCAATTTTCCTAAATTGAGAATGTTAATGTTGATTCAACAAAAGTAATGATTCAGTTTATTTAAGAATGTTTGAAAAACGAATTTTGCATTTAATAATTATTTTCAATTGTTTGCAAAGAAACTTTGACTTTATTTGGCGAATAAAACTTATTTCTGGGTATTGGTTATCATGGAATTCGACTCTATAGTAGCTCAAAGGATAGAATATGGGAAAAAATCGATAAACCACAATCTTTCAATGTTTTCCCAGGATCTATCGAAATTGGATTTAAAGGTAGGAAGCTTAAGTTTGAAACAAATTAAGGATTTCAAATCTAATCTTTGTTTGATGAATATTAAGCAATCAAATCTTAGAATTAAGAATGACATGTTATTTTACATATCATTATTATTTTATTATTGTTATTAATATTTTTTATGATCATATTCGATTCATAAATGAAGCAAAATGAAAATATCGAAGATGAATCTGAAGATAAGTATGAAGTAAAAAGGGATATATTAGATAATTATATGTACCATTATTTCCTATGAGAAAAAAACCGTCATCAGGATCTAGTCAAATATCTTCACAATCCACATCATAATCAACTTAAATGCTTACCTAATATAGAAGTATGTAAGATTCAAACGAGAAAAGAGAATTAGAAGCTACAATAATAAAAGAACTCATGAAAGATAAACGATCATCTGAATTCTATGCTGTTCAAGAAAATTGGATTTCATAATATAAATAATATTTATATCAAAATGGAGAAAGACCAGGAATTTTAGATAATAATAATTGTACTTAATACATAATTGTGAATGAGGCAGTTTGGATTTTTTTTAAATAAGAATATAAAGCTCATCCAGAGATTATTTGCAGATAAAAACATTCAAGAACAAATGATAAAAGATCAAAAACAGTAGAACCTACTATAAATCGTTAATCCTGCTCTAATTCTTAATCCAATTATGAGTTGCCTCTGATAGGGATGAAAAATGATTCTTATTATTGTTATATGCATTCTGGATTACAATCCCTCTTAAGTATAGCTGATCTGAATTATTTTATAATCAAATACATCTAAAGGATAAATAAATAATAACTAATAGACAAAAAAAAGGTAAATGGAGTTTCATTTACTTGGGCTTATTTCGAATTAATTGAATAAATCAAAGCAAGTACTATTCCTATTAAAATTAACACTATTAAAACTCTGATCATAAGTTAATTTCATCCAAAAAACCAGCACGATTGTCACGAATTCTTACTATATTTATTAGGACATATTGAAGATGAAATATTAAATTTCAACAAGGAAACTAAATCAACTTATATAAACTTTGTAGAGTAGATCTTTAAAGGTAGCAAACTTTATATTTAATAGGAAAGCTTTAGACAAACATTATATGTCAAAATTGTAAAAATAAAGTAAAGTAAATTGAGCCATTCCTCACTTTATCATTAGCCATTTCTCAATCCAAAAGTCTTGAATAATGTCTTGAAGAATTTCTAAAAGAAGAAACTCTCAAAGATTATAAGTGTACAAAATGTCAGTCAACTTGCATAAAGAGCCTTCAAATTGTTTCTATTCCATCAATACTAGTATTACACCTGAAGCGATTTTAATTTTTACCCCAATGCCATAAAAACAACAAAACAATAACATATCCTATTGATATCCTAAATTTTGGCAATAAAACTTATAGACTCAGAGCAGTTATTGTTCACACTGGGAATTTATAATAAGGTCATTATTTCACATTTGCAAAAAGATATCACTAATGGTTTCTTTTTAACGATGAGACTGTGAAAGCAGTTACAAAAAAATAAGTACTTATGCAAGCAGCATATATCCTCTTTTACTAAATTAATGAGAATCCATGATTTTGAAATTCAAATATTCATTCATATATGGATTCCAAAGTGTATTAAATTTGTAAATTAAATAATGGACACTATATTTGTATATCTTTTTTTTTGATACATAGTTATAAATAAAATATTATTCAACTCAATTTGTTATTAAACTATTGAATAGTTTTACCAAATTAATGAGTATTTTATGTTGGACTGTTGTTATGTTAGCGAAATTTATATAACTATTTTTCTCTTAAAAATAAGAAAGCTACCAAAATTGAAAAAATAAAAATCTGAATGACAAAAATCTCTTATAAATTAATGATAGTACTATAGGAATAAAAAAATCCAAATCTACTTAGAAAAATAGTTTTCCTAAAGAAATGATGGATACAATAAGTGTGTTTAAGTAAAATTGAAAAAGTAAATTTAAAAATAAGATTATTCAAAAACAAACAAATCTTATAATAATATAAGACTAAATTTAGTATTTTCAATATATTTCTTAATTCAAATTAGTTATAAAAATACAATTATATCTATTTATCTATTA